GTTTAATAAAAGAGAGAAAAGAATCTTTATCTAGATCTAAAGAAAAGTAAGCGCTCTCTAGTTAAGGCTTAGTAAGCTAAGCATAGGCTATGCTTATGCTTTACTTCTAGGGCTTGCCTCTTATATATAGATTAGTAAAAGTAAAAAAGTATTAAGAATATATATCTCTACTAAATCTAAATATAATATAAAAAACCTAGTAAAGTAAAGTAAACATATAAGTAAGTTATATAGAGGTAATATAGCTTTATAGACTAATTAGATTTATAGAGTAAAAGTAATTATATATATCTATAAAAGAGTATATATATATATATTATTTACTAGATATAATTAAAATAGATTCTACTATAAGTAGAGATATACTTAGCTAGTTATCTCTATAGAAAGAGAGCTTATAACCTGCTAATATAGTAGAATTGTATTGCTTGACTACTATAATATAAGCTACGCTCACATCTATATACAGCCCTCAGCCCCCTATAGAGGGGTGGCTGAGAGCGAAGCTCCTACGTGATACACGTGACTAGTTGACATTTTAACAACCGCATCTCTAAGAAATAGCAGTTTTATTATAGTAGTTTATATTAGCTAAATAGAAAGTAGTTATAAAAGATTATTTAAAGAAAAAGTATATATATTAGTTACTACTAGAATGCCTCTAACTAGAAGGTCTTATATAGAGGGCAGAATCCTTTATAATCTGCGCTGACTAATCCTCCCTATTACAATATCATTCGCCGTAGGCCTTCTATGCTCGCCCAAATATAAAATGTAATAATCTTATCTGGAAACCGACTTTATATGCCGATTCTTTCAACTTACATCACAGAACATCTATAGTACCATTCTCGCTCAGACGGGTGTATATAAGATTCACCAAATCTACAATCCCGAGTCAGCAATTGAATAGTAAAACCAGGGTCTAGCAATGGTTTTTATGCCTCGGAATTGCTAAGACGTTTATAAGCCTGTGGATTTTAATTACTTACTGCTGTTTGCCCCTTTCCGTTTCCACTTTAATCCGCTTCACTCTTACCTCTTTAGGAAAATGTTTCTCTAGGTAATTCTCAAGCTTGATATCAATGTTGCCTTCATCAAGAGTCATGATACCTTTCCGTCGACAAAACGGGCATTGTCTGAGCATTAGATCGAAGTTAGCAGTGTGACTTAGACCCAGGGTACATATTCCTTCTATTATTTGCCTGCTGCTCCTGCTTCTCCACAAAGGTCGCGTCGCTGCTTACCTGTCTCTTAGCTGTTGCATGTTGACAGCGCAACTAATGCAAATTAGGTGTCCGCACACAAGTTTGACGGGCCGCCAATTAATTTCGCAACAAAGCGGGCATGCAAAGTCGTCGAATTGTGGAACTACCGAAACTAGATCTTGTGACAGCTGCGAACAGACAGCCTTTGCCATAGCCTCTGGCATCACTGAGCCCGGCTGTATCGTACTTGGTAACGCCTTAGACGCATGCAGCTATGCAGTGTTAGTTGTAAATACTTTCTGACAATACATTCAATGACAATATCCTAGGCAAAATGAGACACTCCTACCTGCGTTCGCTTGTCAAATTCTCATACGAGATTAGCTAGGAACAGCAACGTTCGGAGGCTTCTTACTCTTCAGTATCTTGTAAATAGCTCTCTGATTTATTTCCTGGAATTTAATATTCAAAAGAAGCTGTTTGTTGATATGGACGAATCGTTTAAAGGCTTCGTGGCTAGCTGGGAGTTTGAAGGTATTCTGCAACCCTTTTCGTACAACCTCGCTCTGGAACCATTGGAGCTATGGATAGTCAGAACTATGATAAAGTTTCAAATCATATAAAACATCATCAGAGTGTTAACTCCACATACCTGTTTCGTTGCCGTCGCGCTATCCCTACGGCCGTGGTCTAGTTCGTGGGTCGAAAAGAAGATATTGGCATCTAAATAGATTGCAAACAGCTCCCTCCATCTATTCATGTCGCTTTTGCTGAATCTCGATGGCTTCGACAAGGTCGTGACCTCCTGTGAAAGTGCAGCTATCTCATTGGTCAAAACGCCTTGCTCTCCTGACTGAAGGGCTTCTAAAACAGAAACTTCCTGCTGGATGGTGTTGAAAAATTGGGAATCGAATTTCAGAGGAACTTCAATTTGCTGAATGCCAGATTCTTTCTAAAGTATGATAGGTCAGAAAGAGACCTTAGAAACCGTGGGCCCTTTTTGACCGAATAATCCACTTACGGCGCTGGTGTCGAGGACGCTTTCCGAAATTTGTTCATATTCCTGAACCGACGAATCATTAATAACTCCCAGCGAACTGGGTACCGTTCGTCCCTGCTGTAGGACTAGGTTTTGGAGATGACTTTTTGTGTCAGGGGATAGCGAAGCATCCACGGGAAGTCCGTTCTCGATGAATATAGTAAGTCTGGGATGGAACTCGGTCTTATTGCCTACAGTATACGATTAGCCAAATGTTCTCACAGTACAAGACATTTCGCTGACCGTTGAATTCATATTGAAAGGAGGCCACACCACCGCCTCTACGGCCATGCAAATCAGTGGCGGTGGTTTCTGGTGGGAGCAATCGAGCAAGCGTGGCGGAATCGAGTCCCAGACTACGCAACTCATCGGCGACCCTTTTGATGACCTTTTTGAGTTGACGGTAATGGACGGCGGATGCGACCCAGTGCTCAGGGAACCCCTCGGCGAGCAAGGTAGCCTGGAACTCGTGGGCGAACTTCATCTCGAAGAATACCCCACGAGCCGTGAGACAATATTGACCCCTTCACTGTGCAAAAGTGCACAGGAGAATGGTGTAAGTGGGGCGGTTGAAGTATGGTAATATGATGTTGTTCCACGAGTTGATAAACAGATAAACTGGGTTGGAGTATGTAATAAGCGTGGAAGAACAAGTAGTAGTAGCTTGGCTAGGTACCTAGTCTGCAGACAAGTCTTCCCTCCCGTCTCTTTTACTTGTAGGTACCAAGCCACTTGCAGTTTGTAAGTACGCACGTGGGTTATTCCTGTTACACGTGCGCACGGAGAAAAGCATAGGTAGGTAGGTACCTAAGGTAGTGGTACTGTATGGAAGATATCGACGATCTCCTGCACGTAAGGACCATCAATTTGGTAACTTCGGCAGGTACCGTACCTAACATATATCTCACTAGTATAACCCCTGCTTGTGGCTTGGCTTGGCCACCATTAAAATACTCGAGTACCATACATTAATTTGTAAATTTTGTTATCGTTCCTTATCGCATTTTCACCCCTCCCTTCATCCCCTCCCCTTCCATCCCCTCCATCTCCGGAATACCTTTGATTGCTACAAGTACCATACCATGGGTGCCCAGCAATCATCCGGCCGCGATGCAAGTCCCCAAAATGGAGCAGCTCCTAAAACCTGCTACTACGATGTGCTTGGGGTCGACCGCCATGCCACTGATGATGAGTGCGATATCCTTGCTTGCTAAAGTGTTCCACTGGAAACCAACTGACTTTGGATAGAATCAAAAAGGCATACCGGAGGAAGGCCTTAGAACTGCATCCAGACCGGAACTATGGAGATGTCGACAATGCTACCGTCAAATTTGCCGAGGTGTCGTCCGCCTGGGAAGTGCTCTCAGATCCCCAGGAACGGGCCTGGTACGACTCACATCGCGAGTCCATACTGCGTGGCGACGGGGGAGGGGAAGCCGATCATTTCGAACATAACGTGCGGCTTACTAGTGCTGGGGACATCGTCAGTCTCATCGGGAAATTCAGTACGAGCATTCCTTTCACAGACGCACCCAACGGGTTCTATGGAATACTTCGGGATACCTTTGCAAGACTCGCCTCTGAAGAAGACTCCGCTTGTGATTGGGCTGGGCTCGAGGTAGTGGATTATCCAGATTTCGGTTATGCTGGTGACAACTACGAGGATGCAGTCAAGCCTTTTTACCGGGTATGGGTCAATTTTACAACCAAAAAATCATTTTCGTGGCGAGATGCCTATAGAGCTTCAGATGCGCCTGACAGAGCGACTCGGAGGCTCATCGATAAGGAGAACAAGAGGTTGCGAGAAGAAGGCATACGGGAATTCAACGACACTGTCCGGTCTCTTGTTGTCTTTGTAAGGAAGCGGGATCCAAGGTACATCCCAAATTCGCAAACAGAAGCAGACAGACAGAAGATACTTCGGGACGCTGCTGCCGCACAGGCTGCACGATCCAGAGCTGCGAACCAGGCTAAACTTGGTGACCATGTAATTCCAGACTGGGCAAAGTCACACGAACCCGGCGAAGCAGAGGAGTTTACGGAATCCGAGGAGTCGGAGGTCGAGCATATCGAGTGTGTTGTTTGCAATAAGACCTTTAAAAGCGAGAAGCAGTATGAGGCTCACGAGAAGAGCAAGAAGCACATCAAGGCTGTGCAGCAGCTCCAGTGGGAGATGAAGAAGGAGAATAAGCTTCTGAATCTTGATACCCCAGCTAGCAACAGTTCCCCGAATACTCCAGTCAGCGAGTTGGACAATTTGCACTTGAATACAAGTGATATTGAAGTGGAAGACACTACAGCTCCAGATCTTGAAAGAAATGAAAAAATTCCAAGTATACCCGGTCCAAAGGGTTGTCTGTCAGATAATCAGGTTTCTGTAAAGCCTGCAGTAGGGACCACGCCAGACTCTCTCTCCGACTCTTCTGAGCTAGATGATGAATATGCACCAAGAGAAGATGTCGAGAGTCGTATCGACAGCTCTTTGGCTGGAAATGACACGACTGGAGCAAGTATCTTTGAATCAACAGTTGACATACCAACTGTTAGCGATTTCGATGGCCCTGAGCAACCAAAACTTGGAAAAGCCAAAGCAAAGCGTGCAAAGAAGGCAGCTAAGCAGCAAGAGACCGAGACTATAGAAGGCTTGGAGGTAATGCCCCTGCAATTGTGAGAGAGTATAAGAGCGCTAATATCCTGAAGTTCAAGTGTGCAGCTTGTGGTGACTCTTTTGTGTCTAAAACCAAGCTCTTCAATCATATTAAGGAGCTCAATCACGCTCAACTAGTGTCAAAAGCAAAAGGAAAGAATAAGAAACGATGACATATAACAAGGCGCTCTTGCATGTGGTATTTTGGACGTGGTGCTGGTTTTCGGGGGCATAGCGCGGCGTCAAAAGGGGTTATGGGAAACTCGACAAGTCGATTAATCGAAAGAAGATGAATTTGAAAATCTTTCTCATTCGCCAGGTTCCGAGTACACTGCGCGGTGTCCCGCCCTTGAAGCTTTGTCAATCACTAAATCTAAATGGTTATCCCCTGCAACCATACGCCTAAACAAAACCGCCCCCTTTGACACCGATCCCTGATTAATTTCACATAGTATCATCGTCCTCGTCATCGAAGGTCTCAACTTCATCTATCGCCCCGTGGCGCTCTCCAGCAAGTCCAAGTCCTGCTGGATCTTGATCCGCCACATGAATCACGACTTTCCCCTGCACTTCTTGGACTCCTTGTCGCCAATGCTTCCAGTCTTTTTCGTCGCGGATTAGAAAAGCAATTAGCATACTAGGATCCATTTCCTTGATGTGGATCCTCCGAAGTCTACGAGTATGGCAGGAATCTATATCTTCTTGGGTGTAACCTTCAAGATTTTCTGGTAGGGGCAGTGCTGGTCGAGTCTGATGGGGGTCGAGGTAAAAGAAATATGGTCCTTGTACCCCGATGAAGTAATGGGATGAAGATGGTTGACCACTAGAAGTGTCAGCTCATTTGTTTAACGCCCTTACGGGTGGGAAACTGACCCTGCGATGCCAATAGATTGTGGCATTTGTAAAGATGTTTTCAAAGCTTCCCAATACACTGGAGTGACTTTGTCCAGACCCAACCGTGTTCCTACCAAGATGAGGGTGGGTTTGAAAGTGGACCCGTCTGGCTTTGCAATGCCCAAAAAGGTATCCTCATACACATCCGAACCGTCACCGGTGATGTAGACTCTTAGCTCTGAAGGCTCATAGCTGTTTGTTAAGGCTCTACGATATAATTAGTAATAACCTAAGCACTCTCTGGGAGCCCTCACTGAATACAGCGTGCAGTGGCTGAAGGTCCAAACCACTCCCCAGGATGCTTTCCACATGCTGCAGCCCCATGTTCAACAAATTTATGTATCGAGTAGGGAGCTTTAGGATCGTCTGCAAACAGCGATAAGATCTTCCGTTCTTCATCGTTCGATGAACCGCGTCTCCAATCTGTCAAGACATTAATACTTAGACTCTCCTTAGATATCAAATTAACTGACCTCTACCCATGCGTAGCATAACTAAAGAATTCGCTAGAAGGCTTTGACCAGATCTGATCATACAGCCCCATCCTGTATCGGAGGTAAATCCACCTTGATCAACCAGCTGACTCCTGATTCTCACGGCAAGAGACATGGCGGATAAGGCGGCAGGATCTTGAGATTTGGGGATGGCTGAGAAGTTGGAACGGTAGGTGAGCCAGATTCTGGCTTCAAAGTCATCTAAGAATGAAGGGGGCCATCCTCCATCGTCGTCTGCAGTTCTGGCCTCGTCGTATGCCAAGCCAGAGTCAAAGCTGCTGGCTGCGCTATCTGGAGGGGTTGCGGGTTTGGCGTCCTGTTCTGGCTCTATAGGCTCTGCGCCGGGAGGGGATGAAGGGGGTGCTGCTGTGTTTGGAGCAGATGGCCTATCTGACGGTCGGTATTCTTTGCCCAGGCACCATATGGGAGATCCAGATGTGGCATCGTTTGTCGGCGCTGGATCCCAGAAAAACTGCACAATCTTCTTATATCTACCAAAGTCGACGTTGGCCATGGTTACTCCTCTCCTCCTCGAGGCCAAGGAAGGGGGCCAACTCTGGGCTTGGACTTGGCTGAGATGGCGGGGAACGTGGGGTAGGTCTTTCAGTATAGCGTGCTGTGTTTTGAAGACTAGGTTTGCGGATATACAAAGCAGGCAGAAGAGAGAGGGGAATAGGAGGTGAAGCTATGAGAAAGGCCGCAGCGGCGGCAAGGAGAGGTGTTGTGTTGTATTGTTATTTGGTTGGGGCTAAGGTCTCGCACCTGATGTCGAGGTAGAAGATGATGATCCACCCATGAGTCCGACTCCTTGTCCGTTACTGGCTTGGCAGGTCCAGGCTGACTTGTAGGGGTAGGTGCCCTAGGTGCCTTGGTTATTACTGTAATCTCAGCAACGGAATGCGGGGTATATTCAGCTGAATAGCGGATATAGCGTCGTTAAGATAGTTTATTGAATATATAGTGCAATCACTCGGGAATGGTTGGATACATGAAGCCTTTAAGAATACCAATACCTTATAATTTGTAACTCGTCGTTACTGGGTAGCTATGGCCTTTCCTGTGAATTACCGGTAATACTCCGTACATTCATTATTGAGAAACGTTATCGATAAGACAGACCATCGGGATCGGGCTAGGATTTGCCGGTATCAATATTTCCCTTTATATATGCATATGCATGTCCTGCGTCACGACGAGAAACATTATATGTGCAGCACTACCATGCGTATGCCACACCAAAGCGTTGTATTATCCCAACACCCCGAATGATATAGGTATTGGTCTGTTTTCAACATGCCTTCGAAACCAAAGAAGGCCAAGGCTTTGCAGCAGAAAGCGAGAGCTACTCAGCGGGGCAATGGCAATGGCAACGGATCTTCCTATGGCGCGCGAAGCAGTCTAGAGACCTCAGTTGTGCCATTTGATGGTGCTGCCGCTCCCAGGCGTGGTCATAATGGTCATAATGGTAAGTAGAATGACTCGTTCGGAGCAGGTCCTATATAGTTTGGCATTATGGAGTAATAACACATGAACCAGGCTTCACGTTGCAAGAGGAGGCGCGAAATACCGAGCGTCATCAGTCTTCCTGGAATACCGACCAGAGGCTTCGATACAACAAAGTTGACTTTGTCAGCGCTGGTTCACTTGATACGCGGGAGCTGGAGGAGGATCCGGAAACCACTCTCGCGAAGATGACCTTAGATTCACCTCGAGAAGACTTGGAAGCCTCAGGTGAGGAACCCATTCGAGATCCAACACCTGTGGACCCAAGCCCACTCGTTGAGGAGCAATCATCAGCCTACTTTGTTGTCGATACCCTGGGCGAACCTGTCAGTACTGGCTTGGCTCTCCCACGAGTCCGATCTTCCTCTCCTACGCCTTCAAACTCCAGCGAAGAGGTCATATTGTTTGGCGGACGAGACCTGAAAGGCAAGGGTATCTCGAGAGAAAGGAAGGCCCGCAAGCCACAGAGTGCTTCCATTGATACAAAAATCAAGATAGTCGAAGACCAGATCCACGTACGAGAGAGCTTACTCGAGGAGGTCTTGCGAGAGAAGAGTTCCCCTCCCAGATCGTTCCAATCGCAAAGCCAAGCACCAGTATTGAATCAAAACCGAAGTCTTCCAATCCGAGGGCCTAGACGAAATAGGCACCAAACCGACGAGGACGCAATAATCGCCGACTACATAGCCAATATGGACAAGGACGACGACCTCCTAAGCAATAACACTTTCCGCCCCCGCGAATTGGAAGGTGCTGAAAATGCAGTCTGGCAGTACGAGATGTCTGAATCTTCTGAAGAACCCATTCCAGATAGCGTCGAGCCAGTCCAAGGTGGTTGGGAGCGTTCAGACATCTGTGACTTCGATGAATTGAGTACATCTGATGAAGTTATGGGTACTGTGCAAGAAATTCTATCCAAGAGAGAGCGGGAATCGGGGGTTCAATACCTCGTTGTCTGGGAGCATCAGACCACTGATGACGCTAGATGGGTTCCTGTCACTACCTTAACTGCTATCGGTGCTCTGTCGCTTATTGAACTGTTCGAGGCTGAAGAAAAGCTTGTCGCCGAATTTATGGACCAAGGGGATGAGGATACTAGCGACTCGGAAGATGACGCTGATATCTATGATAGTGGAGGTGATGAAGAGGATGACGATTTAGTGCAACGGAAGATTGATCGTATGAGTGATGAGCAGATAGCAAGAATGCTAACGAAGCAAGAAGAGCTAGGCATGGGCTCAAGTGAGCTTTTATTGTTTGGCGGCGAAGCTGATGCTGGGGATGATATTGAAGATAATTTGGATATGGATGTTCCAGAGACTGTACTAGATCCCTTCTTACTTGGTCCAACATTGGATCAATACAGTGGTCGCGGTGCGAGACGTCCACGAGGCGATTTTCCCTCGGCGAGTGCACTGGCAGATTCTTATGATGGATTTGACGTTATGGATTTCGACCGGCCGAGCCTCAAGAAGAAACCCAAGGGTCGCAAAGGCAAGATTTCTTTCGATCTGTCTGACTCGGAATTTGAAGCGTCCATGCAAGTGGCGGTTGAAAATGACCGACTCAAGAAGAAAGCAAGAAAGCAGGAGCGAGAAGAACTTCGGGCTCAAGGCCTACTAGGAAACAAGAACGGCAAACCTGATCTAAAGCAAAAGTTCAAGGAAGGAATGAGTATTCACGACGTCAAGGATCAGATTAAAGGCTTCTTGATGGGTTCCAATACTACGTAGGTCTCACTTGTATCAGGTCTACGTACACCAGCTCACTTTGTCGCAGACTTTCTCTTCCTCCCATGGCTAAAGCAGATCGGAAGGTTGTTCACGAGCTAGCCGCCGCCTTTAATCTAAAATCAAAGTCTGTTGGTGGTGGAAAGTCCCGTGCTCCTATTCTCACGAGGACAAGTCGAACTCCGCGCTATCTAGAGAGCAATTTTGACGCTGTCGAAGCGCGCCTGAGTCGGTGTTACCTTCCTCGAATGGATGTTGGCCACAAGCAGCGCGTTCAGCGAGCTCCCCGAGGCGGCAACAACGCTGGTGTTAGTTACAGAGATGGTGACATCGTTGGAGGATCCGCACCAGAGCTTGGAGTGGAAAATAGGGGCCGAGCCATGCTGGAGAAGATGGGTTGGAGTACTGGTACTGCTTTGGGTGCTCTTAACAACAAGGGCATCTTACAGCCTGTCTCTCACGTTGTGAAGACCACAAAGGCCGGATTGGGATAAGGGCCAGCGATCTAGTAACTCCTGTTCGAACTGGATCAGGCCAAATGCTGGGATGTTCTCGAAAAGGGGGTTATTTGCATTGTTTCTGGCCAGCTTACTTAGATGGCTATGGCGTACCAGGTATTGCATCAGAAGGGCTTTTAGAAACAAGGATGACATGAGCTGTAGAGTAGAAGCACACGGATAGATGCCCAAACCGAGTGCCTTGCAAAATTTAGTACCATGAAATCTGCTCGAGGGTGACAGGCCCATCAAGGGAGAGTTTCTCGAATACCTCCCAATTCTTTGAAGAGTAAGCACACCCGAAATGCCCAAATACCTCTGTTTTGCGGCGACCAAATTTAAGATCGGTAAAATGCAACTTTAGACCAGAGTGATCGAGTATACCCTTAAACCCGTTCAAAGATGGAGCCCCCAGATTCTAAAGTTGCCATGCTGCAAGTATTCGAGAATCTGCAATTGAGCCAACAAAGAGGGGTATCGCTGGGAGCGTTGAGTTGAGTCATAAAGAGTGGATGATAGACAAGGGGACAAGGGGTTGGTTTTGATTTTGATGTTCATGTTTCAATTGTCTCCATATTCCCTATTCTTGAAGACGCTTATTGTACAGCCACGTACCCCTAAAGCAGACCGTGAAGACATATGCCCCCATAAAAATCAGACCATCCATAACGCATTAAAAAGAGACCCGAAGAACCCGAACCCGCTCGAGCTTCATCATCGCGATAGATGACCCAAAGCCAAAGCAAATCCAACATCCTGTGAAAACCCGAAAGAAACTGCCTATTTCGTGGACGAAGAGTACTTGGTGACTGCCTTGGTACCTTCTGAAACAGCGTGCTTGGCAAGTTCACCGGGTAGGATAAGTCGGACACTGGTTATGGTCAGCAAGGTGGTACGATTTCAACGAATGCGGGGTACTTACGAGGTTTGGATCTCGCGGGATGAAATAGTGGACTTCTTGTTGTATGCGGCGAGTTTGGATGCCTCAGTTGCAACGCGCTCGAAGATGTCTGGAAAACGCGTCAGTATTTTTGGAAATTGGAACTGGACCGAGCTTGGAGCAACATACCGTTGACGAAAGAGTTCAGGATTGACATAGCGCGATTGGAGATACCAGTATCGGGGTGTACTTGCTTCAGAACTGTAAAGTGAAAAGTTAGCGCATGTTTTGAAATGTAAGACGCGACTTGAAGACAATGTGGGAGGCTGGAGCAGATTGGGAGCAGTGGCGCAATGTTACGGACGCGACCCAGTGTTGTGAAAAGGACGCGACGTGGGCAAAAGGGCGCTGCATACCTTTGTAGATGTATGAAGAGTATGTCTCCTTGCGCGTCTTTGTGCGCTTCTTCTTCTCGCCAGTCGCGGAGGTCTTCTTTCCAGCTTCCTTCTTCTCAACGGGGGCCTTGGCAGGTGCCTTGGAGGCGGGCTTCTTCTCGGCGGCGGCCTTTGGAGGCATTTTGATGAGATTTGAGATTAGACGTTCGTAAAAGTATTTGGGGAGAGGTGGGTGAGCGTGATGGAAGACGTGTGATGGTGTTGTGGATGGATGGTTGATACTTGGGAGGGGGAATTGAAAGAAAGTTGGGAAGATGGAGCAGTCGATGCTTCTTGTACTGCAGCGCCAGCTAGCGTGGTGATTGCAATCACGGGCCAGGCGCGACTCGCTTCGGCCTGTTGGGGATTAGCGCGATGGCGGCTTGTTTTGATTTCGCTTCGCAGGACAAGCAAAAGATGGCCAAAACTTGACGTTGCACCTCTCAACCCAATCACAGCACGCGCCTGCCCGCAGTGATTAGCGACGCCCGCATCGCGCTGCCGGACTACAAAGGCAAACGTCTTCCCCCCATCGCCAGCTTTCCTTCCTTCATCCACAATTTTTCATCGCCAGCACGACATACACGTCCCATCAACACCATCCAACCATCATCACCAGATAACTTCATCTTTCCCACTCACCCAAAACCCCCCCCAACAACTTTTTCAAAATGACTGGAGGCAAATCCGGAGGAAAGGCCAGCGGCTCCAAGAACGCGCAATCGTGAGTACCCTCCTGCTCCGGCCCCCTTGCACCTTCCAGGCTAGTTTGTTTGTTTTGGTTCTCAGATGTATTTGACGCGTCTGTTTCTTCCAATTGCATTCATGCATCTACTTAACTTTGGCTTCGCTTTTCAGGGTCATTCTTCACCTTTATTCGAGTCGCATTGCTAATTGCCTTTCCTTTTTGTAGACGATCATCCAAGGCCGGTCTTGCATTCCCCGTCGGTCGTGTCCACCGTCTTCTCCGAAAGGGCAACTACGCTCAACGTGTTGGTGCTGGTGAGTAGCTCCGATTACACAACGAGTCTCGTTTCCCATTCTGACGCGTCATTCAGGTGCTCCCGTCTACCTCGCTGCCGTTCTTGAGTACCTGGCGGCCGAAATCCTCGAGCTGGCTGGTAACGCTGCCCGCGACAACAAGAAGACCCGTATCATTCCCCGTCATCTCCAGCTCGCCATCCGAAACGATGAGGAATTAAACAAGCTTCTCGGACACGTCACGATCGCACAAGGAGGTGTCTTGCCAAACATCCACCAGAGTAAGTTTCTCCGCATTTTCAGTCTCGCTTCAATCACTAACAAACGATTCAGATCTCTTGCCAAAGAAGACCGCAAAGGGTGGAAAGGGCCCCAGCCAAGAGCTTTAGATTTCTTGTTATGGCTCGTTGGGTTTCTGGGGATTTTTGCTATTCATGATAATGGGGTGTCGCTGGGTCTGGGTTCACGGCTGCTTTTTCCGCGTTCTGGTTGTACATTAAAATCCATGGCAATGGATTAGGATTGTTAAGAGATCAATCTTATGAGAAACCAATTAAAACTAACTTGGCTTCTCCTGATGCACTTGTGATTCTTGTTTTGTTGGGTAAGGCTTTTGATTTTACTTGGTGTTGGCTTCTCTTCTGATCAGCTTCTGCTTGGATTTGGGGCCTCAAGAAAGATGGGTGGATTCAATCTTGGATTCCGGACATGCGCGTTCAGGGTTTCATAAACAGTCTTCCGTCATGTACAAGTTTTGGCGCCCCGACTTCCGTATCTGACTTTGAAGGAGTACTAGAAGTGTTTGCAATTGAAGACGGCAGGTCTCGCCAGTCTCATCTGTTGCAAATTTGGTGACCTGACTTGGGGAGCAGAAGAGTCACTTATAAAGGCGCATATACGGGCCAAAAGAAAAATCAATAGATAGTTATCGCCAACACGCTGGTTCGTGACCACTTTGCATGAATTCCTGCTGCTCTATGTACAAAACCCCGATAGCTCAAACCAAACCTTGTCTCTACCAATAGTTCTACATCTGGATGTGTGGAGGAGCTATTTGTAATGTTAGTCTCAGAGGCTCGTAAGGGCTACTAATACTTACGGTCCAGATTTGGTGGTGGTAGATTACGCTCGAATTTAGATCCTAGTAACCAGCAATGTCAGCACTACATACGTCCAACCAAAACAAAGCTTCTTGTAGCCTAGGATATGTGACCGACCTCCAGGTGCTGTGGGCGCATGGTATGGATCCGGGTGCTTCCACTTCTCCAGCAGAAGCTCCGCCTCTTGGAAGAGAGCCTGTATTGCAGTATTAGATCATGGAAATAATTGGGGGCGCCTGATGCCATCGACTTGCCTTCTGCTGTCTCGGGTCTCGAATGTTCTTGTTTGCGTCGAAGAGGCTTCTTATGTAGACTGCTTGTCCTCTCCACAAATATCGGTGGACGGACCAGTCGAGGGCGAGCTTCAAAGAGCGTCGATAGAGGGATCTGAAGAGAAATGGGATCAGCTCGCAGCTCGATTGTCTCCTGGGCTATACTTACGAGACTACTTGCTTGGTAGACATCTTGATCTTTTGTGCCGTTGCTCTGTCTTACTATAGCCGAGTCTCCTTCCTCACTTCCGTCGACTCGTGGCTGCAATCTTCAGATCTCCTGGCTCATAGGGATTCTGGTCTCGCGGTAGAAGTTCAATTGATAGACAGAGGGCGAGGGAGAGGGAGAGGGGCAATGAGAGACGCGAAGATTGACGTTGATTGAAGAGGTGCGGCACTAGCTGTCGGCTGTTGCACTTGAGCCCCAGAAAATTGTTCGGAAGCAAGGCAAGCGAGGCAAGCCAAGCTCCAGAAATACTCACTTATAGCCGCACCTGTCCCGGTTTCGTTTCCCAGGCCAAACTTGATTTGTTTTCTTCCTCCTCTCCTTCCTCTTACACATCCAATTAACCCTCCTCCTACTTACCTCCCCCTCCCCTCTGGTCCCTCCTAATTCCCACACCATGCTCTCACGGAGACTACTTGTTGCGTCGCGTTTAGTGCGGGCTGCGCGTGCGCCACAGTTGCGATACCCTTTTCCAGTTGTCCAGCAGTTCCGGTCATATGCGGATAAGACAGTCAAAGTGCCAGAGATGGCCGAATCCATCTCGGAGGGCACTCTGAAGCAGTTCTCGAAGCAGGTGGGCGATTATGTCGAACTGGATGAGGAAATTGCGACCATTGAGACCGACAAGGTATGTATGGTTGGGGCCATTCCATTGTTGTTTGCTACTCTATGCGCTATTAAGTCCATGCCATGTGTCTAACACAACTTCCACCAGATCGATGTCGCCGTCAATGCCCCTGAGGCTGGTACAATCAAGGAGTTCTTGGTAAATGAGGAGGATACGGTTACTGTTGGCCAAGATCTTCTTCGTCTCGAGCTTGGGGGTCCCCCAGAAGGAGGGAAGGAGGAAAAGGCAGACTCGACACCAAAAGAGCCTGCCTCCAGCGAACAGCCAACATCTTCAGACCCCAAGCCGTCGAAAGAGGAACCAAAACCCAAGGACGAATCGAGTCCACCACCTCCCGCGCCCAAAGAGAAAAAGCCCGAGCCAAAGAAAGAGTCTCCACCCCCAAAACAAACCGAGTCAAAGTCCGATTCCAAGCAGAGTCCAGTACTAGGAAACCGTGAGGAGCGTCGTGTATGTAGAGCGCGTTCTCCAGACGCAGTTTCCATAGCTAATCACCCCCATAGGTCAAGATGAACCGCATGCGCCTACGTATTGCAGAACGTCTAAAGCAGTCACAAAATACCGCAGCCTCTCTGACAACTTTCAACGAGGTTGATATGTCATCGCTGATGGAGTTCCGGAAGCTCTACAAAGACGACATTCTGAAGAAGACTGGCGTAAAGCTCGGTTTCATGAGTGCCTTTTCACGTGCTTGCGTATTGGCGATGAGAGATATTCCAGCTGTCAATGCCTCAATTGAAGGTCCAAATGGTGGAGATACCATTGTCTACAGGGACTACGTCGATATCAGTGTTGCTGTGGCCACTGAGAAAGGTCTGGTGACTCCAGTTGTGAGAAACACTGAGGCTATGGATTTGGTCGGGATCGAAAAGTCCATTGCAGACTTGGGCAAGAAGGTACGTCGAAACCCAAGACACGTCATTGTACGTATACATACTAATCAGTCTATAGGCCCGTGACAACAAGCTCACTATTGAGGACATGGCTGGCGGTACCTTCACAATCAGCAATGGCGGTGTTTTCGGGTCCTTGATGGGCACACCAATTATTAATCTCCCGCAGACTGCTGTTCTCGGGTTGCACGCCATCAAGGACAAGCCAGTGGTTGTCAAAGGTGAAATCGTTATTCGGCCCATGATGTACCTAGCTCTGACGTATGACCACCGTCTCTTGGATGGCAGGGAAGCTGTACAATTCTTGGTGAAAGTCAAGGACTATATTGAGGATCCTCGCCGGATGCTGTTATAAAGTTCGTATACCATGTTCACTTAGACGACTGACCAGATTGTCTCGTAGGAGACACTGATTCTGGCTTTTCGCATTGCGTTGTATACTAGAATCAAGCCATGCACTCTCGGCGTTTAGTTGTATTATATTACGAGTTTTATGCAGGTAGTAGGCTGTCTTAACTTATGCATATTATTCTCAGCTTCGAACTTGATTCCCTTCTCGCCTCCCTCCCGGCCTCTCCTAAAGCTGCTGGAGTACTAATTACTTATGTGATATTTCTATATATAGATCTTTATTAGTCGATGTCTAAGATAAATATTATATCGCTTGATTAGTAAGTCGTTTTTGATAGGTTGCTATAAGTCGACTTATTAACTTTTTAAGCCGACTTATACTAACTAGTTTAGTGAAGTAAAAATTGCATATGTAAATATATAAACTACTACTTACAAATACGAAAGGTAACTTATAGTTATACCAAAACAAATTGTAGAATCAAGTTACTCTTATAATGTATTATAAATCTATAACTATTCTTAACTTTTATTCAATATATATTAATTTAAATAGTATACTTCTACTTATTACAATATATATATTAAGAAGAGGATATAACCAAATACCCAAAACCCAGTTTTGTGATTAGTCATGCTTATGTCACCAGCTAAATCCAACAAGTATGCCATCCCCGTCATGGATAACGATACAAGCCCCCACCCAGAGTCCTCTTCCTGGGGTCATAATATCGCATTACATGCGCCTGGCCTCCCTCACCACAAATCCAGAGAAAATAGCCTCCGAGCGGCGACGATTCATTCTCAATGTGCATACTCACCCAACCCTACCTATATCCTTCAAATGGCCGCCACCAGAGCAGATTCGGAGTCGACGACTCCCCGCAGACAGCCCCCCAGGTCATTGAATGATCTCCCCGACGAAATTATACAGCATATTCTCTACTTTGTACCGCCATTAGACATCATCCTGAAAGTTCAGAGAACATCCCAGCGACTGCATAATCTGTGTAGCCAGCCTCTGTTGTGGCGATACCACTGCCGTGTGCAGTTCAAATACTGGGATCCAAAGCATCGAATTCGACAAAAGTTCCTGGGGGGTGTTGGGGATGTAGACTGGCAGGCGCTATACGCTCACAGAGCCAAAGTTGATTTGGAGACTACTCGAATTCTCGATAGCACACTTGAGCGCCAGGTTGATCGGATACAAAAGTTTGAGCTAATTGCCGACTTTGGTTATGATGCCAAAGATACACTCCTACAGCATTGCCATATAGATGAAGAAGCGGAGGACGTCCTTGCAAGGAGGTAAACCAACCATCTGTGCACGTTGAATCATTACCTCTAACATCCCAAAAAGGTATTATGCAAATGCAATTCTCGACCACGTTCATCGAACAAAAGCTCTCGCCGAGTGGGAAAAGATTCTGAGGGGTGAAGACATTCCTATTGAGAGAGCTTTGGGATCATTTGACCTGTTCGTTTTGCACGACCAACCTGGAGATCTTCTTGAGGTATGGACACTCGGTACCAAAGTAGTGCTCACCTAACATATTCTAGATCTCTGACCTGCTCGACGATATTGTGACACGGCTCTGCGTGGAAACCCCCGACATCGCGCAGCTTTGTGCCCGAAAGAAAGCTATTGCCGTGGTAAAGTTTCTGCGAGCATATAACCTGACTGGCATCGCATCAGAGATAGCATATCGGGACTTACAGAACAACTATATCGGTATTGCGTTGCAGGACCAAGGGCACCCGTCGCTTCCATTGATCTCCGTCGCTATTTTCTGTGCTGTTGCTCAGAGATTGGGTCTGGATGCTAAATGTTGTGGAATACCGAATCATGTGCATGCCATGATCTGTCCGCGTAACAATGAGTCGCTTGATGGTGGGCACTTGACAAACGATAACAATGCAGAGCCCATGTACTTGGATCCATATCGCTCAGATGCCGAGGTTCCCGTATGGAACCTACAAGTCATGCTAGCAGCCTGGGGTATTCAAGAAGTAGACCAGCCACTATTCCTTCATGAGTCGAGCACTGCCGGCCTCATTGTACGAACATCAAGGAACATATTAGCAACTGTTCATGAATTTCGAGGGCAGGTTGCAAACACCGACGATAACCATCATCCCACAGTCCGACTTCATGCTAACCCTTATGCTGATCTGGATAATGCATTCTATTCGGCTTTATGGGCTAATTTTTTATTTGCGACTCAACCGAGATCTGAGGTCAGGAGCCAGCGGCACTTCATTCCTCTAATTCTTGAAAAATTTGAACACCTCTATCCCATGGATGCATCTTTGATCGAACAATACATTTGTCCTCTGTTCAACAATCCATCAGTTGCTGAGCATTGGGAGCTTCACGAAGCACTACGAGTAGTTCGGGCTGCAGATCAAACTCCTAAACAAGTCACACCCCGAGACACATTAGCTGCTCGTGCAATAAAGTATAAGGTTGGTCAAGTATTCCGCCATAGAAGATATAACTACATGGCCGTCATTACCGGATGGGATGTAGAGTGTGGCATGGGCACCGATTGGTGCGCGCACAATCATGTCGACCTTTTATCGCGAGGCAGGAATCAGAGCTTCTTCCATGCCCTGTGAGTTGACACGGATTCATGTCAGAGCAAAAGCTGACAGACAGAACTTCTAGTGTGGACGACACGAGCATTCGCTACGTGGCAGAAGAAAATATCGAAATTATTGAGCCAGAAGTTCCAATACCTTTGATGAGTTTAGCGGGACGCTTTTTCAAACGTTGGGATCAGGAAAACCACGTCTTCATATCAAACATACGAGACGAGTATCCTGATGATTAATGGAGTACACGTTCGTAAATATTCCTTAGGGCATGAAATTTGTAGTGAGGTAGGGGCTAGATAATGATGGAATCTTTTTTATTGGGAATTCTTGGTATATCAGACGAGATACATCCAAATGGTTATTGGAAGTTGAGGGAAAACACGCCCTTGCACTACTTCGTATCCTTCCTTTCTCTGATGTCCTGTACAATCTCCTTCATCACCCCAGCTTCAGCAATAGCCTTCATTGAGCTGTAAATCCGGGGGCTATGATCCTGCTTTTGCTTGGCTGCCTGCTCATTCTCCTGTCCAATGGAGACCTCTTCCACCATATATTTACCCCGAAGCGCCATCTGGTCCCTCAACAATTCTTCATGTAGTTTTATCAGAGAACTTGGGTCCATGCTTGCCAGCTGAACTCGCTCCAACGCAGACGCTGGCGGTTTGGCCTTGTCGATAAGTTCTTGGGACAATCTGAAAATTTCGTGTAATTCATTCAGCTTTGGGACTTCGTCACCTGGCGTGAATGCTTTCCAATCTGGCTTCATGTTGTCGAGGCTCTGTTCAATAGACATAATTAATTTCATGTTTTCTGCCACCCGTTGACGAGTTGACTGTAGAGGGTTCTTGCAAAGTGAGAGGAGACTGAACTGAATGTCATCTTGGTCGTTCTGATGCAGTCGTTCGTTGATATGGGCGCGGGCAACTGCGATCCAATCATCGCCGCTTGCCCCTAGAGTATTATTAGCATGACAAATCTAGCTTTGGGAATCTTAAAGTAGACACGACTTACCTAGGTTGACTGGGTGCCTTTGAAGCCCATCCAGTCTCCAGACCGAGCCGTTGATAGGTACGTATGCAATGAAATGGAAACCAGATTCTTCCTCATCTTTCTTCTTTTTACGATTGCTGTTTGTGACCTTCTTGCGCTTGGGATTCTTCTTTGATTTCTCCCACTTTTCGAAATCGTTCTGAAGTCCCAAGTCGGCATTGATCATATCCATTCTCCTGAGACTTTTTAGTACAGTAGTGGTCCATTTGTAAAGGAGACGAATAGGAGGGAACTGACCTCGCAAACGAATTGTGAATGTACCTAATGGAGTCATTTTGGCTGAGGCGCTGACCACGATAGGCAGGCTTCAAACCCTGTGTAGTCTGTTTGAAGGAGGCTAGAGCTTCGCCAAGATTGATCTCTGACACATTCATGACGATATTGAGAAGAGCAACCGTAGCACAGGCATTGCTGGTAGTCTAAGACTTGTTAGCACAGAACCAGGCGGGGAAACAAGTAGAAGACATACTTGATTTGCAAACCATACATGCCTTGGACATTTGGGAGGGTCTTCTACCTCTATTTCATCATCCTCATCGCGGTATCTAAAGAGAAAAATGAAGCCATATATTGGCTGCCTATAATCCTTTAGAGAAGTCGAATTAAGCCTTTTGGAACTTACGGGAGCTCAGCCAGCATTTCGGTGTCTAGACTAATAACCTCCTGGACTCTGGCATCCTCAACCCCATTCTCTCGTAATATGAAATTGAACAGTGCCTGGTGAACAAGTCAGTTGCTGTAGTAAGGAGTGAATAGCTAAGGTTTGATAAGAAGGGCCCAATGCACAAAAAACCTACAGGATCTGACTCAAGCTCAACCCAGCCCTTCCAGTTCCGACGTTCTTCATCAGTCAGAGGCTTCATAGCTTCTGCTACGGCGTCTGGGCCAGAGCCATTTTGTCTATCGCTACTATGCGGCCTTAATGTTCGTGTTGATTGGGGGAACGAGGTAGTATCGGCTGAAGAACATCGCTTTTGAGGGATGTTCTTCCCTGTTGGCTCACTAGGAGTACTGGAGACCGTTCCAATTCTTGAATAACGTCGCCTCTCTTCTTCACTAGTAGTTTGCTGGTCATCCAGACCGTCTTCCATGTGGAAATCCTGAGCCATGCCGGCGGGGAATTTAATAGAAACGATGAGTATGTGTAAAATCTAGCTTAAGGGCTGCTGAGATTAAGAGCAGATAGATAGATGTTGAAGTTTGTCAAGCTTAAGTCAAGGGAAGATGCGACCCAACAGATGGTGCTGGGAAGCAAACAGAACCTTCTTGCATGAATGAATGATGAGGGGAAAAGAGGGTGTAAAGCTTCGAAATATCATATCGACCAAGAGATCATAAAGCAGGATGGGAAGGAGAAGGATATGATGCAGAAGAAGCAGAAGTAAAGGAGAAAAAGCATAAGGCGGAAGATAAAACGGTCTCAGATACAAGCTCCTGGAGTAATTTCATACTAATGGAAACATTCATTTAAAAGGAAGCCTTTTATTCAAGGTTGCAGAAGAGCAGAGTAGGTTCAAAAAGCGGCAGTCATTATCATCGACGATTAATGTTCCTTTCCGCCTGACACAATATAAACTGGTGCCGCTTTTCTTTTCGAAAACTGCGCGTTGATCCTCTCTGTACGGAGTAGTACAGTACAGTACGCGACGCGAACAAAATACAACCAAACTAAACCAAAACACCGAGAAGGGATCAACACCACCTCCACCTCCACCTCTATAGTCTGTCTACAGCGAGGAATCTGCGAAACTGCCCTGTTTTGCTTGCCACCTGCAGTTTCCTTCCTACCTGCTTTCTCGCCATTCACGAGTAGCTCCCTAGAGTCTCTACAGCAAAGAACCAAGTCGCAAGAGCGCAGAGAGCGCCTGTGAGAGCATGCCATGAACGAAACTCCTCGTCTCCCGTCGTCGTTTCCCTCGACCCCGGGAAGTGGCCAGCGGAGCCCAGCTACTTCGCAGAATGGCCCAAAGGTCAAATACCCTCTACCAAGCCTCCCTAATACTTCGACCCCAGTGCCGTCTAGTGCACCCTTAATACCCGTCAACCTGGTAGATGCTCCCAGCCAGCGTATGTACACCTTGGCGGTATACGGGCTCCTTCTGGTATGGCGCCTTTACGACTGGTGGAAGTTGGTTGAGGAGGATACTCATTCGATAACTCTATTCGTGAAATGGGGCTTTATAGATCTGGTGTTTTTATTTGGCGTGCCATTGTTGCGGATACCATGGCTAGAATGGTCAGAGACGACGTCGTTCTCGGCATATTTTGTACATGCACTTATAAATGGGATGTTGATGTTCAGAATACCTGTGAGTTGATCACTTGAGAACTTTGAGCACTCCGCTAATAGTGGTCAGCTTCCGATTGAGGGATGGTTACTGTTTCTCACGAAAACCCTCTTCGACAGGGAAATGTCTATCTCAGAGAACAGTGTTCGACCTAATAGCATATTGCATAACAGTTCTCTAATCATGGGAAAACAGATAATCAACATCCTGCCTGAGGGGTAAGCCTCCATCAGATCCCGTTCGGCTCCTATGTCAGATGTGCTAAATATCCCCAGATCTGTGACTATGAATCCCGATGGCCTACCTTTTTGCATAGATGATGCCCATCCAAGCGTCGCTATCCCTTTACATTTTAACCAGACGGAACCGCAGCTCGTTCAATTACTGCGACTCGACTTCGAGACGAATATCAATGAGACCATTACGCTTTCACAAAAGGAATTGAGGTATCCTACCAAAGCAGCGGATGGTTTAACTATCATCAAGTACAACGTTAAAAAGCCAGGACTCTACAGACTTCAAAAAGTCGTGGATAGAACTAAATTAGAAGTGCAGCGGAGAATGTCCGATACTCTTGTTGTTGCATGTCCCAAAGGAACCATCAAATCCACAGTATCCAACAAGTGCCTAGGCGATCTTTCCGACTTGGTGATGGTTATTGAAGGCACCGCACCGCTGAAAGTCGTTTATAGCCGTACTGCAAATTCCGAGCAAAGTGTCCACCACTTTCAAAGCATTCAACCGGAAAACTTCGCCTCGCCTTTACTAGCATCTACACAAGCGGGAACGCTCATGCTTGCCGGGAGCAAAGACGTCTCGTGGGCACGTATGCAAAGCGTCAATGTCCCTCTGAACGAATCCATGGCACCAGGGGGTCGTTGGTTGTATTCTATTGATGAGATTCATGATGCAACTGGCAATGTTGCTAACTTTTCTTCTGGGGCTGATGACGGGGAACATAATTACCCCAAGGGCTCTCGAATGGAGCAAGATTTTACTGTTCACGAACGCCCAGTCGCTCGGCTTACTGGTTGTGATTCGCGAAACCCGTTGATGGTAGCGAATGGGAAGTCTGTCCATCTTCCTGTTCAGTACAAGTCCCCAGGCCGAACGCCTGATGAGACGTCCCATACCCTGACCTGGAAGTTCTCCCCCCTTGGCACCTTGACTAAAGCCGGAGATCACGGAGACGATGCCATCCTTGAAGAATACCTTGCCAAAACGGCACATAACACCCCTACAATTCGAGAGTCGGGGCTCTACACTTTGACTGGTGTAAAGAGCAAATTCTGCGACGGTGAGATCAAAGAGCCTGCATCCTGTTTGCTGATCAACCCCGACCCCAACTATCGATCACTGCGGAAAACATCAACGACAAATGCGCAGGGAAGCCAATCGGTCTACTCGTAGACCTAGATTTGATCGGTACTCCGCCATTCACTGTAAGGTACGATGTCATAACTAAAAGTGGCTCTCATTCTGAGTATGTCACGGTGGAAACCTCTCGGTACCAATTGGAACTCAAGCCAATTGCTGCTGGACACTACAGATACCACTTCACGTCTGTAGATGATGATGTTTACAAAGCTCAGCCTCTAAGTGGCTCCGCATTTATATTAGAACAAGATGTGAAGCCACCCGCCCACGCATCGCTAAGACCGCCACCGGGTGCGATTGACGCATGCATCGAAGAGCCCGTGGAGATGAATGTTGACTTATCTGGAGAGAAGCCCTTCACACTTGAGTATGAGATTGTCCACGATGGCAAGAGGAAGAAGCACAAGGTTGATATTGAAACTGACATCTTCAAAATCACAACTGATCCTCTGCTATATGGTGGGGAGTATTCTCTTGCTCTCACAAGCGTACAAGACACTACTGGTTGCAAGATCTTTTTGAACAGCGAGGTCAAATTCAACGTTAGGCGTCAACGACCCAAGGTATCTTTTGGTCATCTTGAGGGCAAACACAAGACTATGGAGGTTGAAGGACGACCAGTCAAATTGCCTCTCCGATTGACAGGCCGAGCTCCCTGGACCATCAAATATACTAACATCGACGATCCCCAAGCAAGCCCCATTGAGAAGACGGCAAGGTCTACCAATGATTTCATCACCGTTAGCCAAAGCGGCACATATGAAATTCTTGATGTATCTGATGATCAGTGTCCTGGAACCGTTGACTCCAAAGCCTCCCGGTTTGAAGTGGATTGGCTCGCAAGACCGCAGATTAAGGTTGCAGATACGGCAGTACTTATTCCTGATGGCAAGAAATGGCTGAAACGCGAGGTCTGCGAGGGCGACATTGACGCGGTGGAGGTTCAACTTTCTGGTAAGACGCCCATCTATTCGATCCAAGGCTTAACTAACCATTTCAGGGAATTCGCCGTATAGCGTCAAGTATCAGGTCCGCCACAAGCCAGAGCACGGTTCAAGCTCACTCATCAACAAGGAGTTCGAAGCGGCACTTGGCCAGGCCACTATATCCATGGATACAAGCAGAGCTGGAGTCTATGAATATAAGTTTTTCGAGTTGTCCGATGCCTTGTATGACCATGACGGCAAGAAATATACGCCCCTTGTCTTGGAACAGAAAGTGAATCGCAAACCCTCAGCTCATTTCGTCAAGCCTGGGCAGTCATACAAGTATTGCAAAGAGGAAATCTCCGGTGACGAAATTATTCCAATCAAGCTGGAAGGTGTCCCGCCTTTCAACCTAGAGATTGACATCAAACACCAGAGCACCTCGCGTCCCGAGACTGTCAAGATAGCGAACATCGAGTCGAACCGTTATGACTTCCGGATCCCCCACAACGTGCTCTCTCTTGGCATCCATCATGTCAGTGTAAGGAAAGTGCGGGATTCACGTGGATGCCAACAGAAGACTGAATACGGCGGCGCCCCCCATGTCCAAGTCCAAGTCTACGATGTTCCTACTATATATCCATTGGAGTCGCGCACCGATTACTGCGTTGGAGAACGGATATCCTACACTCTGTCTGGGACTGCACCTTTTGAGATATTCTACACGTTTGAAGGAGTGCAGAGAAAAGCAAAATCGCCCAGCACAGCATTCCGACGTATTGCTGAAAAACCAGGGAACTTTACCATCACTGCAGTGTCGGACAAAGCTAGTGAGTGCAAGGCTCAGACCAAAATCTCGAAGCTCATTCATGAGATGCCGAGCGTCAAGATTAGTAAGGGGAGACAACTCGAGGTTGATATTCATGAAGGTGGCGAAACACCGATTCTGTTTGAGTTCTGGGGTACCCCTCCATTTGAATTTACATACACCAGAAGTACCAATGCTCGGAAGGGGCAAAAGTCTCAAGTTCTGGAGACGAGGCATGAGGTATCTTATGAGCACAGTAAGACGATTCAGTCTTCCCAAGAGGGGACGTATGAAGTGGTGGCGATCAAGGACAAATTCTGTTCCTTTTCCACCCAGAAAGCGGATACCAGGAGCGGGCAAAAGCTGCTTCAATTCTAGATATAGTATGAGGGTTGGATCCATGTTTGTAATATCATAGCACGGCGTTGGTGGCATTAGTCTTTAGCGGATAGGACTTACTCATTCTCACATGTCGATACTTTTATTGTTCAGATACTAGAATAAATCCGAAGATACAGAACTCATATACAGTGTCAGCTCAATTCGAACAGTCAATCACTTTGCTCTACCCTTTCCAATTCTTTCAAATATTCAACCTCAAATCTAAATCTCCGCCCCTTATTCCAATCCAAACCCCAATTAATTTCTCCAGGAAGCACACTCACTGCCCGAATAGCTCTTAACCCATCCAGTACTTCTTTTTTCTGTGGCCAGGTAAAAGTTTGCGGTGGCTCCTGCCAGCTGATTTCCATTCTCTGGATATCGGCCCCTGATAGCCACTTGTCAAGCTTTTTAATGCCTTTTTTTACCTCTTGCAACCTGGCGTAGGTTTCACCGACTGGTCTGTTAGCCCGTTTCTCGGAACCCAGGTGGATGGAAAGATTGATGTTTCTGATGCAGGAGGTTAGGGCGGAGGTGAGGATAAGGTCTGAACGGCGGGTTTTGTGAACCCACTAGGTGTGAGTTAGCTCCTGATCTCTCTCTACCTTATAATACGTTTTTTGATAGCTCTAGCATCCAATTGCTCTCTGAGTGATAGTGTATTTAGAGCGTAAGAAGACTCACGACGTTGTAATCGATCTTTATGTATACGGTTTGACTAGGAGAACCGTATAGCAGTGGAAGGGCTTCCGAACGGATTTGGTGATTGAGACGTAAGAGGTTAGATGGTATGGGCTGAGAGAGATGGATGTAATTTTGCAATTGTCTGGGATGAGGACCTCGGATCGGAGGAGAGCAGGAAGGAGGAAGTAGATGGGTGTAGACCAGCGTCCTAATTTCAATAGGCAATTTTAGAAGTGGTGGGAGGTCTGCTGGTCCGGACGGTTTAGACTCGAGATTTGTCGGTGGCGGAGACAAGGGACCCAAGGGATAGGGATGAAGAATGTATCCTTGAAGGGCGAGAAAGTAATTGCGAAGATCTTCTTTCCGAAGGCCCCAAACTTGGTCCTCTGGTATTTGAATGATTGTCTGAATTGGAGGAAGTGTTGCTCTCTTTGGGGAGACGGAGCTGGATTGAGATCGGGTCAGGGCATGCTTCGTAGGAGTAGCTGCTGTCCTATGTGCGTAGGGCCGACGTGAAAGATCTTCAGAAGATGAAGCCATAGCCAGGCTGTCTGTGATGGCAATAACAATTATTAACGATTCTAAAAGGACATAAAGTGCTTGTATATACAATATACATTCCGGTCACTCTACTTACCTGACCTGCACCCTTCACCCGCCAAGCTGTCCGTGCAGTACTATAACTAAGGTAGGTAAAGCAGAGGTACGGTAGTTGTAAATGGGGTCACGATCTACAGCGGGGCAGTAGGTACTTGTATCTAAAAATATACCTAGTGTACTATATATACTACTAGTATGTAAGGAGTATCCGCCCAGAATGAGCGGGGTATTATTATCTCTGGGCAGGATTCAGTCGAAACTCTCTCTCCATTATTACTGTCAATTACATGTAGTGTTTTAATGGTAAATGGGAGATGCCTTTCTTCGACTTGATCTTTACTTAAATAGGACGTGCCAACCATCCGGGACAGAAACAAAGGCCTATCCATGGTTCTAGGAAACACGCTGTATTTCTGATGAAAAGCTTGACCTCCAGCATCTCATTGCAACAAGGACTATCAGAACCCTAAAGTCCATTCCCTTCCAATTTCCGTTTCAAGCAGCATGCATCCTGATCTCCACGGGATCTGCCAGACTATTCTTCAAGGCAAGATTATGGCGTATGACAGGATCCTTTCCCAAATACTCCATCTGGTCGAAACGCTGTAGTAGTCGCACAATCACATAACTTGCCTCGGTCAGACAAATGCGGGACCACCATTGAACTACTCCCTGGTCAGCTTTTGTATTGATGTATGATCACTTGCGATGATGTCTGGATGTGGACAGTCAAGTCCTTGGTGGCCCGTTCCTGACTTAAGAGCCCCAGAATTACAATTTGCCAGATCCATCAGGCTGCAGTTGTAATTTGGAGCCCCATTCGAGGGTTGGTAGAATAAATGCCTTTGACTTCCAATCAAGCCCCGCGAGTGGAGCAAAGCATCACGAAGCAGTCGGCTAGTACGAGCTCATTGATTCACGGATTCGAGCGCGGACAAAAGGCGTGACTTACCGGGAGATATTCCCATCTTTCAGGGTTAAACCTCTCGACATCTAGGCCCCAAATATCCGCTCGGTAATGCTATAATCGCCAGTCAGTATGTGTCTACTTTGAAGCAACAAAAACGCAAAGGTGTAGGCTGAGTTTATAGCAGTCGTCCATAAAACACTACACAGTTCTCATGGAATCTGGCGCTTTAGTTCTGACAACCAAGCCAGGAAACTTCTCACCATTGCATGTACACTATACTCCACCGCCATTCCCTTCGGAATGAAGATTGGTAAAAGTCCATCTTGACCACCTCCCCTATGTAGTGTCTTTGTTGGCGGTTCTTGCATTGACTGGTACGGCAGGATGCAATCGCAACACCTCGTCATTGCAATTCTGCAGATATCGGCTGTCTTTCAGTTGAGAAAATGCTATTCCTGAAGGTTTATCGTAGGTGCCGAACTCCTCAATGATGATACCCCTAAGTTTCTTGTACCGAACTGGATCCTGGGACGGCCCAAGGAACAACCAACCTAGGTGTAAGGCCGTTGTGTCTCGACTAGCCAGTAACAAATGTAACGCTTGCGTCCTCAATTCTACCGGATCTCTTGTCTGAGTTGCCAAAGCATCTAGGAAAACATATTTCTCAGCTGCACCAGCCGACCTTTCTTGCTTCCCCATGGATTCTTCGCAAGGGGCAGACGGACAAAATGGTCAACGAAGTCATGACTAGAGATTCGATTGTTAGCCTCTACTTATGTGAAGGTCGAAGTTATGAGTGGAAAATTTCATGATAGTGATTCTTATGGAATGCCTATGATTGATTGAGTGCATTTCAATATAAATTTAAGAACTGTTCCAAACTGCCAGTTTTCAGGGGTAACACACAGCGGACAACCCGAAATATTAAGCAAGTGTTATGAGCTACAACGCTTCGTAGGTTCTGAATATATCGTCTTGAAAACAGTAAGAATGTCCGTAAACGTCACGACTACAGGCTGGGAAACAACGTAGAAGGTAGATATCAAGGTTAAAATGCCCCCCCCCCCGAAATTTCTGCTAACTATGATTTGCAGATTTTTCATGAAGCTGTTCGGCGAGAAAATCCAGTAGAGTCTATCGAGGCGAGCTCGTGTAGCCAGTGTGTTCTGTCATCCATCAAACGTAGTCGCAAACTTAGAAGAGTTAGGAGCCCCGGCTTCGCTATTTAACATCCGTGACTTGGGAAAATGTCTAGCTGACTGTCCACCGAGGTTTCAAATAAAAAATTCAGTGGCAGAGTCGAGTGTCAAACGGATGAACAGGACTCCTAAGTCGACAGACTCGATCCAATTGCCAGATGTCAAGGAAAGATTTAATGCTCTCATCAAGTTCTGCACTGTTAATGATAAGTACGTGTTAGCAACCACTTTGACGTGGAATGGACTTTGAGCCCGATGATCTCACCATGTGTCTCTTCTAGATTTAAGTCTGACACCTGCTCACGAGCAAACTGAGGTCGCATCATAAGACGTGAATGCTGCCATCCTTCCCCATCGTGGGTGAATATCCCATTCCCTAACAATGGCCTAGATGACAAGAGGCTTAGTCATCTTCTATTTAAGATGATTTAGGAGTAGAGGAATCATTTGTTTCAAGTTTAGGAAATTTATAGGAGTTAGAGGATACGACATGGAATGTAACAGAGGGGATGGGATGGGGCGCGGGGGAGGGTAGAACCAGAAATCCCGTTGTACTTACCAGAAATTTCCTTCGTCTTGTGGATCCCAGGTCGAAATCTTTCAACTGAGTTGCCAAATTAGCTAGGATGTTCTTTGAATCCATGGTAGAGACGTGATGGTAATGACCGCCCGGGAGTGTATACTTATAGGTAGTGTCACCGACATCGACGAATCGCTGGATCAAACCGACGGGGAAGAGTTTGGCTTTGTCTGCACTACGAAGACGTAGAAGTAGGTCGGTGCCAATCAGGTAGCGACTCTTCAATTCGGGCGGGTCTTGACACTTGAGTTGACGAGCCTTTGCAGTATTTTGTCGACTTGAGAGGATGCTAGAAAGTGATATGTATAGGAAGCATGCGGCGATGATATAGGCAAGGCCTAGAAGGCTGGTAATAGGTATTGGTATTGACATTTTGGAAGTGATACTATCAATAGCAACGTGGAAAAGAAAAGGAATGAGATGAAGATGAAGGACATTGAAAGATGTCAAGCATACGCCTTTTGATAATACTCTGTCAGCACGGATGAATTGGTAGAGTGAGGTTCGTTGTTGGTTGGAACTTGATCGTAGGATGAAATTGATTGGTTATAGCAGTACTCCATAAAAAGCCCTTGGTTGAGACAAGTCACCTGCGGACCCCACAAGCAAGAGCCTGCCTACCTAGGAAGGTATCATAATCCGCGCCCGCGTCTTCGACACATAACGCGAAAATAACGCGAAAAGTGATCCTCTGAAACAAGGAAGCGATGCGCCAATATTATACCTACGCGCCACGCACCCACCTACCCACTAGCAAAACATACTCCTGGCAAATGCACACTATAAACTCCTGTAATAGACGAGACGAGCTGAGCGCCAAAGTCTTAAGATATAATTCTCCTCCCATAACGGCCGTCTCTCGGATGACGATTCGTATAAATCATGTGCAATGAAAAGTCAATATGTTGTAGCGTGAAGTTCATAAAACAAAGCAAAAATGACGTTGCCATAAATCCGTCAAATTGATCACGAAAGAAGGTCTCCACCAAGCTGCATCCCCAAACCAGTGTGTCTGGGAGCGCTGGAATTGGATTCTCGCAGATCAGGACTGGAGTTTTCAAAAGTGAGGCGTCGTCGGGCCACTATGAGTGGTGTCTTTATGCGAGGAGTTTTGTTCCAAACCCTTTGGGCGGGGCTAGGTGTAATGTTGACAAAATCACTAAAGTCAAATGCTTGAGAGGGTGTATTGGGGCCTCCAAAAACCGACAGGAGCCCGGAACCTCCACCCGGAGTAGTCATCATGGATGATGGGAGAGCATGGGATTTAGGAGGTGGCGTCGAAGGGGGTTGCATTCGAGCTCGTGAGGTTGGGTTTGCAGGTGAAGGGGAGGTTGCGAGGTAAAGTAGCAGGTCTGCTCCTTCTTCACCAGATTTCCCATTCCTGTCCTTGTTTCGGCGGCCTCGATTGCGGGCTGGAGGTGGTGTGGTAGGAGGTGAAGATTGTATACTGAACGAATGGGCTGGCAAAGAGTTCTCATCGTCTGATACAGCGGCAAAATTCGTAGATTGAAAGTCGTCTGGCATGTGAGAAGAGCCTCGGTAGAACGACACATTTGGTCCAGAGGAGGTAGTGAAGTGAGTGTGTTTTCGAGGTTTGATCGGGGACGATTGGGTCAGTTGGCGATTGCTCTTCCAGGAGGGCTGGGTTGCATTCAGTGACCTGGAAGGTCTAGAAGAGGGTGGGGAAGAACGGAATCTTTTGTGAGAACCAGGACTCAAGGACGGAATATCGAAACTGTTATGGTATCTTCGTTTCCTGTGGCCAGAACTAACCCCGCTGCCACTTCGTGATCCAACTTCGTCGGAGAAGATAGCAGGTCCTTTGAGAGGTGAGCTCATGAGCTGCCTGTTGTTGGAGTATCGAAACTCGGAGGCTGCGCTCGACGATGAGTCGGAGAGAATATCCCCGCTGGAAGTTGGCCTCCTGAGCCTTAATTCTTGTTCGACTTTCGGTTCAATTGTGTCCAGCGGGAGATCCTCCCAACCACGGCTGGCCTTGTATTGTGCGAGAGCAAGTCTGGTCTTTAGCTTGCGGCCGATCTGAGGATAACGTATGTATCAGCATCGACCGAAGATAATAGAACCGGAGGGAGGGAGGGAAAGGTGGGGAGGAGGGGGCGAGGGGGAGAAAGAGTAAATTACCTCGTTCACTTCGGCACGCAGGAGGACCTTATTAGCTACGGCATCAGGTCGCAGTTCCTTCTGGAAAGAGGAAGACATGCTGAAGTGCAGCAGAACGGTAAGCGCGGCTGATATATACCTATCTGCTCCAGGGACTTGACTTGACTTGACTTGACTTGAGCGAGAGGCCTCTTTCCAGACCAAGCTAAGGTTGATCTCTGCTCTTTATCGGGCGGAAAATGGAGACCCGTGTGGTGGAGTCGACAAGTGAGCGAAGGGCTTTGATGAAAATTTAGGTATCGTATTTTAACTCTCTCTGGCAACAAGAGTTGAAATCTATATCAATATAATAACCCAAATATTCATCGGGACCAAGGTAGGGTAGGGTAGGGTAGGGTAGGGTAAGGTAGGACTCGGGTTGGGATTGAAGTCGAATGCTGAAGCTCATTCCACGGCGGTTGCGGCTGCAAAATAGAAGCAAATAAGGTGCAGTAGGTACAAGTCGATCTGCGGAAGACGCGAGCGAAGGTGGGCAGTGGAGTGGAGTGGAGGGGAGTGGAGTGAGTGGTGGCAGGGGACTCGTGCAGTAGTACCTATAGGTAGTGAGCAAGCTGCCCTGGCCTGGCCTGGCCTGCTCTGGTTTGGCCGAGCCAATGAATCTGGACCATACCATATAAGATGATGAACTTCAAACCGGACACTGAATGCGAAAGCCACATATTTACAAATGTCTCACTGCTGTGGTATGGTATGGGTCGTAGTAGATGTTTATCTCCACTCCCACCAGTCAGACATCAACAGGCAAGGCAAGGTTATCACCTATCACATAAAATAAAAGACTAAATAAAGGGTAACGGTTTACTAGGATAAGACTCTTTATCATAAGTCAGCTGTACAAATAGTAATAAGGAAACAATTAGACAAAGTCGTTTTGACGCAATACAGTAATAATTACTCTATCCGTCTACCAATCTACTCGAGTACATCTACCGTATCTAGACGGGTGCACCTATTCACCTATTGATTGCCTAATGCAAATACTACCTATCTATTGCCGTATCTACCTACCTTACCCGAGCTTACCTATAGTACGAGTAGATGTTGCCAGTTCTTGTATACCTATACCTACCTAGGTATTTAATTTCATGATGGGATTCTAATCTACAATTGATGGCCGTGCTCTACCTGATCCTGGTCCACTTTTCCAAGATTTAAATTTAGCTTCGTCTTCGTCGTCATCCTTCTTGATCGAGATCAGTCAGTCAGTCCTTCTTCACTTTGGGCATGTTGAGGTCGGGAATCCATCGCCGTTATTGACATCGACATTCGCATTCACATCTACTCACCCTCACCTCACCCCACCTCACATTCGCTTGCTTGCTTGCCTGTCTTGTTATGATTTCTTCTTTTTGAACCTCTTCAATTCGTTCGCTACACTTGCCTACGGTATTAGCTGTTGCTCCACCTCAGCTCAGCTCCAATGCCTGCCTTCTTGCGAGATCTGAGGCGCCGCAGCAAGTCGAGCTTCAACAGACAAAAAAGCGATGGCACCGACTCGAGCACGAGCAACAGCAATAATGGTAACGGTAACGGTAACAATTCTGTTCCGAGCATGCCAACCACCAAATCTTCTTCAACTCTGAATTCCTCCTATGGGGGTGCGACCCCGCCCATGAGCAATTCGCAGTCTTCTTCCAACCTCCAAACTTTGAATGGCATCGCGCCTCCACCCCCCATCCCACCAACTCGCCCTCCAATTTCATCATCTTCAGGCAACAGACACTCGGTGAGCGGCATGTCGGGTTTGGGATCACCGTCGCTAAAGTCATCAATTCCCCCGTCACCATACGCCCCTCGAATACTGTCTATTGCGGACAATACTTGGGTAGGATCAGAGATTCTAGGAAGGGAGACCTGCAGCTAATATTCGGTTAGGTATACCAAAAAGTATTGTCTATGTATGGCACAATTGCAGACCCCGCAACCCAGGCTCTGGAAGGCAACCTCACCGTGAGCAGGCTCGACGACCAACTGCCTCCTACCTACTGGCCCGTTTCTGCTTCGCATTTCAAAGCCCTGATCTATCTGATACCGGGACCCAACCGATTGCGCTTCGATTTCACATCCCCTAAGCTTGCTAATAGCAATACGACGAATCCTATACACTCGTCATACCTCACTCTGCATATGCTTCCGCGGCTATGCGCCCCGCCTTTGCAACTGGTCATCCTATTAGCCAAAGACTCCCCAGCTACATTTGATGCCGTGCCGGCTCGGATAGAGCAAGAGGGAAATGGGCTAGAGACGGCCATTCAAAAGTTCAGGATGGCAGCATACCTCTGGCAGGCTTTCACTTCTGAGCAGATGTTCCGCAATAAACTGGGAAGGAGAGTTTTCAGAATGGAGGAAGAATGGATTACCGGGACAGCAAATCACCGAGATCGCGAATTAGGGACCATGAGGAGTGAGGCTAAAGTTCATGTTATACGATGTTCTAAAACAATTGCTGAGCTTCGGGATCTCGATTTGGCACAGCAAAACCCCAAGGCTAGTAGAAGCGGTGACCTTTTCGCCATTGCTTCAGAAGCTGTGAAAGATCATTTTAAACCAGTTCCTGGCCAGAAGCAGTATGTGTCTGTCTTACTGCTAGATTCTCATTGGGAGAAAGCTTCTCAGACCATCACCGGCCATGCTGCTTTAGGTGGAGGAGGAGGTGAAATTCAACTTGCAATTTTTGGGTCACACGCCTTGCACACTTACCCCTCTAGTATCGAGGAGGTGGTTCCCGCTTTCTCGGACTGCACACCCACAGACACTAACTACGTTGCCAATGACTGCAACGAGTCCGGGTCTGCTTGGGAAGCGGCGAATATTGGAATTGGGTATGTGAATCCTCAACCCCCGGGCTTTCTGCTGGGCTTGCGAAAAATGCCTCAGCATTATGAAAAAATTAAGTTCTGACTCGGTTGTGATTTGTAGCGCTCATATGCACGAGACAGGCCATCTATTCGGTTGCCCTCACCAGGAAAATGGTGTTATGCTCCGAGACTATGTTACGTTGAATCGATCCTTTACTACTCTGGAGCCATATTCAACCCGGACCAAGTCGAAAGGCGGCTTGGTACTAGCAAAGGACGAATGTACATGGCATCGACTTGATTGTCTTAGATTCAAAGGACACCCTTGCTTTGCCTTGCCGACCGATCCTCCAAGGCTAAGTGATGAATCAGTTCAAGTTTGGCTCGTTGACGGCGGAAACGTCGTTGTCACAGCTGCTTCAGGCGTTGCTTATCTTGAAATTTATACTGAGGGTGACGACTTGTGCCATGTTTGGCAAGAATTTGGTGACGGGAATGGCAATGGGCCGATTCAAAAGCAAGTGATTCTGACCGAGCAAGAGCTGCGAGGTCGATTACCAGCCGATCGAAGAAAGTCCAAATTAAAGCTTTCGATAAAGTCAGTTGCTGGCGGCAGTCACGAAGTAGAAGACTTTAGCCTACTCACTTCTAAGGCGTCTAGACTCAAATTATCCAATGGCCAGCTGGCTTTTAGGAGTAGCAAGCTTGGCTTCTCACAAATGGAGGGGTCTCAATCTCAGGAGATCATATTCAGTAGCGCAATCCAGAAGACGACGCTTATGACCTGCGTAAGAGTCTTCCATGGGTTTGCCTTGGATGGAATTGAATTTGTATACGAGGACTCCACTTCTCAACTCTTTGGGAAGAGAGGTGGTCAGCCTGGCGGCAGTGAGTTCAATTTGGGTACGTGCACAATTTTCTAATTTGGTGGGCGATTCAATTGCTGACTATGTTAGATACCCGACGAGGCGAGTATATTACCGGATTTTATGTGAGGAGCGGGCTCTGGTTGGATGGCATAGCTATCATGACGAGTCTTGGGAGAAAATCACCTGTGTTTGGGAATGCCACTGGAGGCTCGGGGTAAGTGTTCATATCATAGCGCCTTCAGGTCATTCTAACCCGTAGCAGAAGTTCTCTGGTACCTCCGAGGGGGTACAGCATTGCTGGAATCACTGGAAGCTGTGGGCAGTGGGTAGATGGATTTGGTATACTTATTACGCGTTGAGCGATGCATAATTTTGGAAGGAGAATGATTTGGGCACTTTAGCATGCAGATACAGGAAGGTATGGGTTGTATAACCGTACATGGAAAGCATTTTGCGGTATTGGCCGCTTCTCTGGATCATAATAGCCATGCGGAACACCAAGCAAAGGATACAAGCATACCTTACCTTATGATAGGGACAATCTTGTGCGGAGGAGAGTCATAGGAGTACACAAGCAAAGAGGCAAATACTGCCAGATCTCATAGGTTTGTGGGGATGCAGCGTCGGTAATGAAGATAGAGGATTGGGACTATGATTAGCCCTGCAGCTTCCAGAATGATGGAAACAGAAGATGGTGATGATGATGATGATGATGTGAATGTTTGGTGACAGAATCCCGCTCCCTCTCTCCGCTCCGCCCCGCCCCCCTTCCTTTAGCCGAGTCATGCCCAGTCTGTCTGTCTGCAAGCCAAGCCCAGCCAAGCCCAGCCAATCACAGGAAAGTGTGGCTGAGTCCTCCCTCCCAACGTCATGAAGCTAAAATGTCACAAAAGCAAGGCGCAATACTTGTACCTACGACACCGACATCTTCCTCTTTTCCAGCAGACTTCGGAATCTGCTTCCCTCTCTTAACTACCCACCACCGAACATCCTCACGTCTGCAGTGAAAGCTCTATCCTCAACCAACATGTCGAAAAGAACCACTGCCAATGCCCCAAATGGCTCATCGAAAGACTCAACAGTTGGTGAACCTGGTATGTTCCTCCCATCGCGAGGTATAGGAGACAGCACTGATTTTGCATAGCAGTTGACAAGCAAAAGAAGCTTCTCGCTGAAGATACTGGGCATTTCTCTATGATCAGGATGCTGCATCTTGCAGATTTCATCACGGAACTCAACGGTACAGTTTCAAGAGCGCACCCCCAGACACAACTATACTAATCAAGGCCATTAGGATTCTGTGGTGTCATGTCTGTCTTCTCCTCCATGCGCTACTGCCTCGGCCCGCCCTCTGCACACGCAAACTTATGGGCAGCCTTGGCATTAATGCCCTTCGGTCTGTTCTTCGACTTCATGGATGGGAAGGTCGCGAGATGGAGGAAGAAGAGCAGCCTCATGGGCCAGGAGCTTGACTCTCTTGCTGATTTGGTGCGCTTCACAACATACACTTGTGCGACCGTTTGCTGATATGACTTATAGGTTTCGTTTGGTGTCTCGCCAGCTGCAGCTGCCTTTGCCATTGGACTCCGTACGCCCGTCGATCACCTCTTCCTTACTTTCTTCGTTCTGTGTGGCCTTACACGCCTGGCGCGCTTCAATATCACCGTAGCTAACGTCCCGAAAGACGCAACCGGAAAGAGCAAATACTTTGAAGGTACTCCCATCCCTACATCGCTATCTATTGTGGCTTTGATGTCATACTGGGTTGGTCAGGGATGGACTTTGGATAACTTGCCTTTGGGTACCTGGGCGAGCGGCACTGTCTTTGAATTTCACCCTATCGTAGGACTATTTGTTTTAAGTGGGGTTATGATGACGAGCAAGACGATACATATTCCTAAGCCATAATTGGTTGTAGTATGAGTGATGTGTATGGTGTCAGGTGCCACAAAAAGGGAGCGAGACACGGAATAGAAGACACCCGTATGGTTGGGACGGCGCGGATACGTGATACGAAGTTACTATACCTCTTAGTTTGATGAAGCAAAGCATGATTTCCCTCCAACCCTTTTCAACCCATGTGAGACTTTTCCTACTATGACTTGATTCGCTATAGCTAGCTAGTTCTAGATGGAAAGAATGTCAAAGGATTAAGTCGAGATTGAGGTATGGCTGGAAGCTCGAAAGACGCTTGGAAACAGATCATGTCCCCGTGGTACTTTGGGACCTTTCCACACGTGGGGATTGAAAAATGGAAGAATCTCAAGCAAATCCTATAGAAGGCTACAATTACGAAGGAAAAACATATTCATGATAGAACTTCAAGTTTTGAAAGCCTGTAGCTATTTTGTTAAACCCCTACGTAACCCACAGGACCTAGATTTACCTTTTGACATGCGCCCAAAACGCCAAGATATCTACACAGCCAGGAGTCAAGAAATCAACCACGTCCGCGAGAAAAGCCACCTCGTCCACCACCTCTGCCTCTGGGTGTGAAACCCCCGCTTCCGCCTCTTGAGAACCCGCTGCCTCCGCGACCACCTCGTCCACCAGCGCTGAAGCCTCCGCGTCCTCTTGGCGCTCCTCTTGCACCCCCACGTCCTCCTCTCATAGGTGCTCCTCTACCTCGTGCGCCGCCTGCGCGCTTAGGCTTTGGTGCTCCTGGTGGGGGCTTGGGTTTCTATGGACTCGAAATTAGTATTGTTTCCTGAAGTATAATATATGCACGAGAGCAGATACGAATTTGAAGCAAGTAAAGGCCCCAAGCTCTACCCAAGTGGGAATTTGAACTTCAAAAAGGTTGACCACTTACTGGAAGGAACTTCTCAAGTGGAAGCAACTTATCTCCACCAATGTAGAACTTGTCTCCGGATTTGAACGAAGTTGCTTGGATGCCTTCAGTCGGTTTGATGGTAAAATACACCTGATTGATGGGCCCAAGGATCTCGTCGACTTTGCCAATGGATGTCTAGACCTATGTCAGCGCGCGCCTGGAAAACAGATTGTTAGGGCACACATACCTTGTTTTCAAGATAAATCGGCGCATTGAAATATGGAATCTTGGTGTTGATTGATTCGCAGATGATTTCCCCTTCACAGGAGTGTAAAAAGGATCCCATAGGTTGAACGGTATCTGGCGGTCCGTTGTCTCTGCCTCCAAAACCACCACCCCTTGCACCTCCACGGCCACCAAATCCTCCTCTACTTCCGCCTCCTCCAAAGTTTGCGCCGGTTCCGCGACCTCTTGGTGCTCCTCGGAAAGACATGGTTGTGTTGTGGTGTGGGTTTGGTTCGGTAGTGTATTCCTAAATTTGAGAATTTTGGGAAATATTTTTGAAGCTTTGGAAACTTCGCACTAATTTAACCCGCTAAGCTCGATCTAGACGAGGGGCTGCAAAGCTCGGGCCATCACTTTAGGGTTCCGACTCACAAGAGTCACAACAGGACAAGACGTTTTAATATCTCACGTTGTGTGGAAGATTTTTGCACAATAGCAATTCAAAGTGATTGCAACTATGGAGAAAGCCCAGAAGGCCGTTGACTCTGTAGTCGATGGCGTCAAAAACGTCGCCATTGGCGAGAAGAAGCAGAAGCAGAAAGCAGCCAAAAACAAGTCTGCCAGTAAAGGTTGAACAATCTCCCCAATCTGCTATTGTGAAAGGAAAGCCTAGGTATACTGACAGAAAGTAGCGGATGGAGGAGATGCTGGACCCCTCGAGCTGAGCCCTCAGCCCCAATTCCTCACGGAACGCCTCGAACTATTTGCAAAATTAAAAGTAAAGTTCGACGAAGAGATCGCTGCGAAACCTCGGGAACCCATACAGATTACACTTCACGACGGAAGCATCAAGGCCGGAACCTCTTGGGTTACGACGCCTGCGGAAATCGCGAAAGCCATCTCGAACAGTCTCTTCAAGCGCACAGTTGTCGCAAGACTCAATGGAAGTAATGATCAACTGTGGGACCTCGAACGCCCGCTTGAGGCAAGCTGCAAACTGGAACTACTTTCATTTGACGATGAGCAGGGAAAGAAAGTGTTCTGGCACTCATCGGCACATATCCTTGGTGAGGCGTCAGAGAGACGGTTCGGCTGTAGTCTTTGTATTGGCCCTCCCATTGAGGGCGGGTTTTACTACGAGATGGGTCTACCAGATGGGGCTGCTGTTGCACAGTCAGATTGGAAGCCGCTTGAGACACTGGTTAGCCAGATTGTCAAAGAGAAGCAACCGTTTGAAAGACTTGTGCTTTCAAAAAATGACCTGTTGGAGATGTTCAGTTATAACAAATATAAGCAGCACATCATCAAGGACAAGATTAAGGACGGCGAATTTACCACCGTATACCGCAATGGACCTCTTATCGATTTGTGTAGAGGCCCTCACGTGCCCAACACTGGTAGAATCGAGACTTTTGCAATCATGAAGAACTCGGCGTCTTATTTCCTGGGAAACAAGGACAATGACTCCCTTCAGCGTATCTATGGTGTCTCATTCCCAGATAAAAAGCAAATGGCAGAGCATAAGAAGTTCTTGGAAGAAGCAGCGAAGCGAGATCATCGAAAGATTGGTAGAGACCAGGAGCTCTTCTTCTTCCATGATATGTCACCTGGTTCGGCCATGTGGCTACCTCATGGTACCCGTATTTACAACACCATCATGGCTTTCCTCCGGGAGCAATACTGGAAGCGTGGCTACAATGAGGTGATTACACCTAACATGTATAATTCGGAACTGTGGAAGACTTCTGGTCACTGGAACTACTACAAGGACGACATGTTTACCTTCGATGTCGAGAAGGACACATTTGCGCTAAAGCCTATGAATTGCCCGGGACATTGCCTGATGTTTGATCACCGCGAGAGAAGTCACCGAGAGTTGCCGTGGAGAGTCGCTGATTTCGGTGTACTTCATCGCAATGAAGCTTCTGGTGCTTTGTCTGGCCTCACCCGTGTGCGTAGGTTCCAGCAGGATGATGCACACATTTTTTGCAGAGAGGAACAAATCAAGGAAGAGATTACCGATATTTTTGATTTTCTTCAAACAGTCTACGGTCTGCTTGGTTTCACATTCAGGATGAAGCTCTCTACACGGCCAGAGAAGTTCATGGGAAAGCTCGAGACTTGGGATATGGCAGAAGGAAAGCTCCGATCAGCGTTGGATGAGTTTTGCGAAGGTGGTACCCCTTGGGAGTTGAACGAGGGTGATGGGGCATTCTATGGGCCAAAGATTGACATCACTATCTCCGATTGCTTGAAACGGGAATGGCAGTGTGCTACAATTCAACTCGACTTTCAGTTGCCGCAGAACTTTGGTCTTGAGTACATGACTTCAGAAATGGTCACGAAGCCAAAGGAAGATGCCGAGGCGCCAGTTGCGAAGGCCAAGGCGGAAGAGCCCAAGAAAACCGAAGTAGAAGGCGCGGTCAAGGAGAGGGTGATCAAGCCTCTTACTCCAGGCTGTGCCCGGCCAGTCATGATCCACCGTGCCATTGCAGGAAGTATCGAGCGATTCACAGCCATCTTGACGGAGCACTTTGCAGGAAAATGGCCCTTCTGGCTCAGCCCTCGACAAATCCTTGTAATTCCAGTCGGCGTGGGTTTCTATGACTACGGAAAGGAGGTGCAGGCTATCTTCAAGGAGCAGCACATGTTTATTGATATCGATCTCAGCGGCAATACGCTCCAGAAGAAGATCCGTACTGGCCAATTGTCACAATACAACTTCATATTCGGTAAGTCTTCAACGGTAAGGATTGGATGTGTCAAAAGCTAACTTTCCCGGAGTTGTCGGTGATCAGGAGATGAATGGACGAGAAGTCAATATCCGATACCGTGACGACACTTCGACACAGGATCGAGGCAAGCCAGTTCCGTTGCAAGAGGCTACTACGAAGCTCGTTGCACTGCGTGATGGGCGGGGATCGGGGAGTCCGTTTTGAGTGAGGGTGGTGAGTGCTTGATTGGGAGGGGGAGCGGGGGAGTTGAAGGGATTACAATACATTTATAGTATGCATGATCATTGTGTCTGCTAAAAGTAGGTAGAGCAGTGCTAGAGCTACGACCTGGTGATGATGAATGAAGGAACAGATTATGAAGCCAATTGTTTTGAGAAGCGTGACCTGAAGATTTTACCCCAGGAAGACAATGTATATCACATGATGGGGTGATGAAATGGGGTGGAGATGGAGGTGAGGGTGAGGGTGAGGGTGAGGGTGAGGGTGAGGGTGAGGGTGAGGGTGAGGGTGGCTGAGTGAGATCTACACCTCCGTTTCTTTCATTTTATTTCGTTTCCTTATTCCAGGGTGCGGTGACGCACTGACGTAGGGGAAATAGTACGGTAGCCCTTTTGATCTGGCTACATGCAGTCGTTGACTCGTTGTTGACCAAGTAATATTTGAAGCTATTGATTCTTTGCAAGCGGCGGTGGGGTCAGTGATTGCGAATGCATGGCATGGCATGGATGGCATTTGCAAGGGAATAGTTCTAACAGCGGTGGGATGTTTACAATACGGTATTGTAATAAGATCAATACTGCAATAATCCTGTATGATATATACACATTACATATATATAGTAGAGAACATACAATGAAGATATAAGACGATAACTAGATTGGTAAAAAAGACATGCGATGGGAACTGGTGATAACTAGTCTAGTTGTAGCGTGTAGTACGTCATCGTGGATTCCACTGTACATTGCGGCTTGTGATCGACCTCTGGGGGATATGGAGTAGCATCGTTCCTATTTCTCCTTTATTACTCTACACCATCCAGTCCACCTTCACTCCTACAGTACAGTACAGCACAGCACAGCACCGCACGGTATCGATTCTTTGTGCCGTTGTCCTCGTCGTTCTTCCCTCCTGCTTTGTACCTGCCTACCCTACCATACCTACCCTACCCTACCTACCCTACCTACCTAGTCTCGCCAACACAACCGGCGGTTCGTTTGTATCCATCCATCTCGACAAACCGTTTGTTTTGTTCGCGCCCGCGCTCCTGTCCTGCCCCGTCGTCGACACCTCTCCAGTACTAATTGAGGTATCGTACAATCCGTTTCTTGAGTACTCTGCCGTACCCCATCTTATCTGTAACACACCATTCTGTATTATTAGCAGCTGAAGCCTCATTAACACTTCCCCATAGTGCCCCACAGCGCAGTTTACCTCAGACTCCATCATGACCGCTCTCAACGGCTCCTCCGTTCCTGCTCCTTCGCAAGCACAACTCGACAGAGGATACGGACCAGTTTCCAATGCGACAGACTTCGGCTCGACCCCAGCAAATCATATCGAATCTTCTCCTTTGTCACAATCTGTAGCACAACAGAACGGCGGGCGCTTCAACGAAGACTTCGATGCGTCGCAGCGGGGCTCGAGTATAATAGATTACCCAACGCAGCGGTCCGATTCAGTCCTCTCGCAGGGGGACACCTTGATCCCGTCGCGGGGAGGCACCCTCAAGAAGAAAGCCTCCCTGCGCAAGACAGGCTCCCTGAAGCGTTCGGGCAGTCGTCGAAGCTCAAGAGCAGGAAGCGTCCGCAGTCTAGTCCTTCAACCTGGTGCTGAAGCCGACGAGGCGCACAGCGCCTTCTTCTCTCCAGTTCCCACGACTGGTAACCCTACTGAAATCCTCTCGGCCCGATTTCAAGGTATATTCCCTCACCTAGGTAGACACTAAACATCTTGCTAATTATGGGGTAATTCCAGCCTGGCGCAAGGTCCTTAAAGACCTCATCGCCTATTTCAGGGAAATACAAGGATCTTACGAGCACAGAGCAAAGAGCATCCTGAAGATATCCAACGTTATCAACAACACCGCGGCGCCTTCGGTATTTCTACAATCTGGTGGTATCGATGATGCCGTTCAGGTCTTGCGCACATATCACAAATCTTCCATTGCAGAAGCCAATAAGTCCAGAGAAATTGAGAGTGATGTTATCCTCGCCTTGATTGGCTTGCGAAATGATTTGAACCAGAAGATCAAAGAGATCAAGAACCTCTCTGGCGATTTCAAAAACTCTGTGGATAAAGAGATGGATAACACTAGAAAGGCTGTGAATGGCCTCCAGGATAGCCTTGGACAAGCAGATGTCGATCCTGCTCAGATGACTGGAAAACAGGACCCATACTTACTTAAGCTTGCAGTAGATCGCCAAGTTGAGAAACAAATAGATGAGGAGAACTACCTCCACCAGGTGAGTTGCTATGAGTACAGCCCCATGTTCTTACTGATTATTGATAGGCATATCTAAATCTTGAAGCATCTGGACGAGAACTCGAATCTATCGTGGTTGGCGAGATCCAAAAGTCTTATAATGCATATGCTGGCATTCTCAGACGTGAGGCAGACGGCGCTTACAATACTGTGGAAGAGCTACGAACTGGACCAATTGCTATGCCAAAGGACCATGAATGGAACGAATTTGTTCAAAATGATGAGCACTTTATTGATCCCAGGCTGCCTGTTCGATCTGCTCAGAGCATCCATTATCCGGCCGGGATAACTATTTGGCGCAGGACATACGCGAAGGACTGATGGAGCGCAAGTCGAAGTATCTCAAGAGTTACACTCCCGGCTGGTACAATTTCCCGTTGCCCCCTTTTAAGCTCAACTATTACCCATTCCTCGTTCCTCGTCAAACTGTTACTAGACCTACTAATACTGTACAGGTACGTACTTACTCCCACTCATCTCCACGAGTTCAAGTCTGCGGACAAAGCACAAGCACCTATTATGTCTCTTTATCTCCCTGAACAAAAGCTCGGATCCCAATCCAGCGCAGGAGCATCCTCGAACAAGTTCATGCTCAAGGGTCGTCAAACTGGCGCAATGCACCGTGGTCACTCCTGGGTCTTTCGTTGCGAGTCTTTCGAGACTATGCTGGCATGGGTTTCTGACCTGAAAACTTTGACGGAAAAATCACCCCAGGAGCGCAATGCATTCGTGCGCCAGCACGCTCGAAGCGTGAGCGGTTCTTCGCAAAGAGCAGCTTCAATCAGCAGTGATGGGGTAATGGATGAGGAGGATGAGGAACCATTCTCTGCCACAGCTTCATCTGTATTAGCATCAGGACCAAAGCAAGACGCGTCGCCACGACGTCCTCAAGCAGGTGGGCGATTCCCGTCTGATATCCAGGTCAACACACAGCGTGGCTTACAGGCACCTCTTTCGCCATCTAGTGGGAGTTCCAGTCTCGGAGATGTCCAAGGTCACAATGTAGCGGCTGCCAGCGCTCTTCCTGGCAGTGGTGTTGGCGCGCACTATTCTCCAACAGCCACTTATGGCGAGGATCTAACTTCACCAACTCACGCGGCCCAAGTTAACCAATATGCCATGGAGGATCACGTCAATCCTTATACAGCTCGTCCACTTTCTTCTCATAATGTTCATCAAAGACCCGACAGTTCTGTTTTACCTGAAGTTGTCGGGACTGGTTTGGGAGGTGCGGCGTTAGGAGTTGCCGGTACCCAAGTTTATCACCAACACAAAGGCAACGAGGCGAAGGAGGCTGCGTATAACCGACAACAGGAAGAGCGAGCAGCCGTCGAAGCTTCCATGGTTGCAGCTCCCGATACCTTTGAGCAGCAATCTGAACAAAACGCTGCACGTGAAGCTGCCCTCTATGCTGCACCCGATGCAAATCTAGCACCAATTCCTTCTAATGAGCAAATGATGTCTGGCGGACGCAGCGAGGCCGATCTGACAACTAGCACACTCAATAGCGATGCGTATCCTGAACGCGCTACAGTTGGCCCACAAACGCAAGATGTCCCCAATCCTCTTGAAACAGTTTTCAGACCTTTAGTGGATGAGACGGCGCGACCAACGATAGCGGCAGGACAGAATCATCAGAGTGTGCAAAGCATCAGCCAGTTACATGTTCCAGGAGAGTTTCCTAGGGGTAATAAGGCGTAGGTAGGCAATGCAAGATTGGTTATTTGTAGATATGTGTATAGCACTGGAGCTTTTGGCTTGGTTGAAGGGGGAAGTTGGTAGAAACCGTGGATTGATATTGAAGAACTGTCCATTTTTAACATCCTCTGTTTCAGTACGAAGTGATACTGTGACGACGACCAAAAGCATCCCATAGGAGATTCAGCCCGCCAATCCAACATTCAACTTGAACTACTTCACAAGTTGCAGGAGACAGGATGTCTAAGGATGCTCTCATTATTAGATCTCGCATTAGGTTAATTGAAATATCAGAACAGAGCTTTCCTTTAATAAGCCCGCTATTATGTGATGTCCAGACACGATCAATGCAAACAAATTAACGCTTCCTGCCTACAGCACCGAGCAGAAAACCGATCCTAACGCCTACGCTCCCAAAATGGAAACACGCAAAATCAAAGTCCGCACCCTCCAGGCCAGACTATCACTAGGCTGTCTCATTCTCTCCAGCCCCCGTCGAAGCTACAGACTTTAGTTTCGTCCTCCGTCTTGGAGGAGTTTTAGGTGGTAACTTCTTGCCCCCATTACTAGCCAACAACGGCGGTATAGGAGGCGGCGGATGTCTCCTGCCCCTCCTCGTTGGATTCTCAATCTTCACCTCGACCTCTGACTCCTGTCTGTCTTGCACAATCTCCTCGAACTCAGACTTCCTACTCGGGGTCTGCACCCCAGGTTTCTCCATTACGGCCGCTACATCCACGACACTGATCGCACTTGCACTTTGAGAGTGGGACAGTGAAATTCCTAGTAGTTTACGCGCTACTTCTCCGTCTTGAATGTCATCGTTGCGCAGCCATGGTACTTTTGCCACGCGCTCCACGAGCCGCAGTGTTGTCTCATCTGCCGGTTCCCAATGTGCGTTTGCGGAACAGCCTAGGATGCTGAGAACTTTAGCAATCTCGTCACGCTTGTAATGAGGTGGTTGATTCAATTGTGTGTGGGCCAGGAGAGGGTAGAGGACTCGCAGGTAGGTATGTCGAAGGGAGTCTAGCTCGTTGGGGAGATCGAGGAGGTTTCTTATTATTACATCCAGAAGAACGCGGAGGTCGTTGGTGTAGAAGTATTCGTAAGTTGCGTGGGTTGTGAAGAGGAGGTAGAGAAGTTTCAGAATTAGGAGTTGGAGGGAGGTTTCCGTTTCGCGATTGAGGAGAAGGATGATGTTCTCGCCAAAAGTCATATATCTCGAGCCTTGGAGGCTGAGGATCTTGATGACCCGGTTGGTCAGGGGGGGGCTTTGGGAGTCAACGGGTGAAGATGCTGACGTGACCATCCATTGTTCATTAAGTACCAGCTACAGATTATTGTTAGCTTCTTGTTCGTAAACATGGGGAACCTACTCACCAAGACTCGAATAATTGGGTAATGATATGGATCATCGACGTCGTCGGATAGCTCCTCGATCATCTGAAAGAGGTAAATAATAAATTCATCATCCACCTGCCCCAGTTCCTCAGCGCTCAGACGCTGCATCCTGGACATTTCATAGAGTAGCTCCAGAAACATCCTGTGCAAGCGGGCATCGTATCTCTTGTCCTGTTTTATCAACTCAAGTAGCCTCGGAAAGCAGCCTTCGTGGTTCATCTTCTCAAAAGTAGCCTCGTTGTCCCGCCCGTCGAAGAGCAGTAAACTGGAAATAAAATGCAGCGTCGCCGGCTCATCCTCCTGCAGCAGACTGTAGATAATCTGTATCCTCACATATTCCCTATTCGACTCGAATATCTCGCTCTGTAAGAGCTTCTGAGAGCAGCGGGCTACTTCATACTCGGTGTTGACGTATTCGTCCTTGAACTTGGTGATGAAGCCGAGGTAAGAGCGCAGCGCATTGTCAATCAATTGGTGGGACGGGCACTTCGCACACACGATGTCTTCGAGTTCTAGAAGAGAGAGAAAGTGTTAGTCTTTGGGCAGATGTGCATGTACTGCCAAAGTAGGTGTCAACTTGCCGTCCCAGAACTGCTGTTCGTTATCGAGGGTGTATTCGAATTCCTCCATGGCTGGGTTACGCAACGGGGAAGGATATCTGTTGCTATTGCTGAAGCATTCCGGGGTTGGCGATATTGTATTAATCGCTTTGGGTCGAGTCAATGGGAGTGTGAATGAATAAAGATGCGCTTTTCAGAATGTGTTGATAACGTACCTACCTATCGCATGAGATGTCTCACTAGCGCAGACCTTTCTCACAAGAGGGGCTGGGCTGCTGGTGGGGCAAGGCTGACAAAAGAACAATAGTTATAGTCGAGGCTTTGCTTTGCTTTTCATTCTATTATTAAGTGATATGGGTCTCATTGCGTACTCGTCCTGTTTATATATTTCAATAAATATATATTTGTGGATAATCAAGGCATGCATCGCGTAGGTCTTGCTACGAGGCAAAGAGATCCAGCATACGAGTATATAAAAAGTCACCAGGTCATAGGAACGTCTCGGTACCTATATCCAGGAAAAGGTAGATCGACTATAACTCTACTATCCATAATGCTACTTGATGCATATCACGGCAAATCACGGCTAGAGCATCAAGACCCATTTTTGTAGATGCGAAGGCGTTTATATCCATAGATGCTCTGCTACTGTACTTGGTCGCCGCCAATTTAAACTCCAAAAAGTATATAAAAACCACCCAATGCAATACCTATCCAAACTGGAAGCCTCCTCCACCAAACTTCATGTTGAACTGCTGACCCCCCGATTGCCCGAAAGGTGACCCGCCGCCAAATGGATTTCCACCTCCACCTCCTCCAAATGGACTGCCTTGAAATGGATGTTGCCGCTGCTGTTCGTGGTCATTTGGATCATCACCTCTGTCGAATCTCGCCTTCAGCTCCGGATCGCTCAGAACTTCATATGCCTCATTGATTAATGCCATCTTCTTCTCCGCTTCCTCTTTACTAATACCCTTTATGTGGGCCTTATCGGGATGATGGAGTTTAACACTCTTTCGATAGGCTGCTTTGATCTGTACTTCATCGGCATCTCTCGGGAGGCCTAGCATCTTGTAATAATCCTTGGTCTTGCTTCGTTTCAGTTCTATTTGCGCATTCTGCAAGAGTTGGTTGATCTGTTGAGCTCCTGGGTGGTGCTCCTTGGCTGTTTCGAGAGTCTTGATGGCGATCTCGAAGTTCTCGGCCTCCATATGTCTCTGTGCTTTAGACAAGAGACCGTAGTATGAGTGTTCGTTGAAAGTTAGAGCCTCGTCACACCACGGGATTGCTTTCTTATTTTTCATCTGTTAACGTTAGCTTGAAAACGAGTTCCACAAGGCAAAAACACCATACCTCATGATATGCCTCGCAGATTATCTCTATAACTCGAGTAACTAGATCGTTGGGGGACTTGTCTGGTATAGTGCCGGCTTCACGGAGCTCTTTCACGTCATCCTTGACATCTTGGACCAAACCAACGTCTTCGCCCAGGGGAAGCAGTACCTTGATAGCACTTGAGTATTGACGCCTCTCAAGATGCTTCTCTACCTGTGTGAGTTGTTTGTCTACTGTTTTCTGCCTTCTGTAAAGTTTCTTGCAGGCCTTTGAATCGGGATCTCCATGCAAACATTTTCGCAGCTGGTCCATCCCATGTTCCCTATCCGCTAAACCATAAAATGTGATTGCAGCAATTTGTAAATGTGGTTCGATATCCCCAGGCTGCATTTGTAGAACATGCTTCAGATCACTCATCCCTTCTTGGACTTCACCACGCTCGAATCGACAATGTGCCCTGGTTTTCCGTAGTGATAACATCTTGCTCGCTACCATGATTGCAACACCAGATTGTGAGACACACTCCTCCCAATTACCAGCCATCTCGGCAGCAAATGCTAAATGAGCTGCCCCTTTCGCTTCTTCCAGTGCAGACAAGTCTTCGGCTGAATTGCCATGGGCAATAAAATCTTTTGCAGCAGCCTCCCATTCGCCATTCTTAGCCCTTATTTTTGCACGCTGGACTAGTGCGCCCTCAAAATTGGGCTTGATAGTGAGAACCTTGTCGAAATCCTTGGTGGCTTGGGTAGTCCGACCCAGTGAGAGATAGGTTGCGCCGCGCTTGAAATAGGTGAGATAATTCTGGGGATCGCGGGTGATGGCGACATCGTAATAGGTGAGGGCATCATTGGTCTCCCCTTTGGCCAGGTGGGAATTGGCGGATGCAAGGAGGGATGATATGGGGGTATCGGAGGGGATATCTGAAGACGAGAGCGCAAAAACAAGAGAGTTAGAGGACAAAAGAGTGGCGGCAAAAGCCAGCGCCGACAGGTTGATAATCATGGTGAAGTGACCATACATGGATATCGGGACGCGAAGCTGTGCGGGGGGGGGGGTTTATCGAAAGAAGGGAGGAGGGAGGGATGGAGGGAGAGGAAAGCTGTCCAGATGGAATGGAATGGATGTACTTGTCTTGTGTACTGTACTCGTCGTACTTTATCTAAATGCCACATGGCCTCATTGGCCTGATCCTAGTTGATTCTAGAAAGTGTCAGCCGCGCCGGGCAAATTGCAGTACTTCCGTGATTTTCAGCCTTGCCCGAAACTCTTGGCACAGCCTGCCAACAAGGTACGAAAGTACCCCAACAGTACAGTACAGTAGTCTAACTTCATTCTTTTACTCTTCAACCAAACAATGTATACATACACATCTCAGTACGAGTGATTGCAATAGCAATAGCAATAGCACTAGTAATAACAAGAACAAGAACAAAGAACAACAACAACTACTACAACAATGGCCCATCTCTCCCCATCGGCATCTGCAATCTTCTCTCCTTCCGTCGCACGCCAACAACTCGCAGCCGCCAAAGACTGGAACTATATCGACAGCTGGCTGTCCACCAAGTTCAACGGCAAAACCCCACCTGTGTTCGAGCGAAACAACGATACATTGAAAGCCCTGCTTGCCCTCGCTGCTCTGAACGAAACCGCCGACGAAGAACGCGAGCTCCTAGCAAGAGTTGAGGCTAAAGCCTTGCAGGATTTACAGGCACAAGAAGATGCGAATCCTAATAAATACCTCCTGGACTCGATCGAAGAATTTCTGACGCGAGAAGGGCAGACAAGCCTCGAAGCATTATCCTCTCTGAGCGTGTCTCTCAACCAACCCGTTTTTGACTTGCAGAAGCTGGGGCGAGGTATTATCGATCTCCACGTTACGGTCAATGATCTCGACCAAGTTGCGGACCGCGTTTCGATTTTCGAGAAGCATCTAAAGCGAGAGCTGGAAGAGATCAATATCTTGATCACGGACCTTCAGAGCGACGCATACCAGCCGCCATCTGACTTGGCTAAAAGAACCAGCGACTATCAGCGCAGGATCAAGGGCCTAGCTGCAAAATTGCCGGATCTGAAGGAGAGAGTTGCGTCTCTGTCCGCTAATGTTGGGACGCCCATCACTATACAAGATGTAAAGAACGAGGAGGATAAATTTAAGGCTTTGATGGTTACGGTGAAGGATCTTGAGGCGCAGGTCAAAAGCTATCATGGGTTGCCGCAAGACACGGATCTAGCAAGGCTTGAATTGGAAGGTTTAAGAGTGGAATTACGAGAAATGACGAGGAAAAGGGACAGCATGTTTGAGGGACTGGTAGAAAGAGAGAGTCCAATAAAGCCAAGGTGATAAAATCATTATATCATGTAATGCGAAGCTACGCTCAAAAAACGAAACAAATTGAAGAGCTTCTGCATCACTTCTTCGGACGACCAGCACCACCCAACCTGCCAAACTTCGCTAGACTTGATTTCGATTTGGCCGCTTGCGGGTTGGCACTGACTGCTGCCGCTGGAGGATCTTTCGCTGGTGGGGGAGGCGCTTGTGATCGACCCGATTCTTTGAAGACCTTCCCGTCCAGTCCTTCGTCTGCTCGTGCATCAATCATCCCAAAGCCATCATCAAGGTCTCCTCCTGTCCTCTGGGCCCTTCTAGCCCTTTCCTGAACGCTTTTGAATTTATCAAGCAACTCAGTCCACCGAATACCGCCTTCATCCCTGCCTTTCAGCCTACTCGATCTATCAAAATTCGAGGGACCAGCATTTGCTGGCGCGCTGTACAAGGACGCATGAGTTTCGCTGCTTTTCTGACGTTGATGGAGTTGGAGAGAAGAAAGAGCCTCAACTACACTACTATTACGAGATTGAGATACGTACGTTCGAGGTGCGATGTGCAGGTACCCTATCGCACTAACGCTATTCAGCCTATTCTTAAGGGCTGCAAATGCGGAGGATTGAGGAAGGAGCATAAGGAGCCCATAAAGACACTTGTACAGATGAGAGTATTTCTCTGGTTCTAGTAGTTGGAGACGAAGATCTGGCACCATGTTAGTAGACTTCGCAAATGGAATGTGGTGTCGTACAAGTAAAGACGGGGGATTCTAGAAGTTGGACAAGTTTGTCGATCTGGATGAGCATATTGACAGTCATCTCCAACTCCGCACTTTCATAATTAGCATAGCCCATGTCAGACTAGAATTACGTACAATATCTGCAAAAGGTTGTATGCCTGTTCGTATGCTTGAGCAAGAAGGCACAAGGAGAAGGTAGCGACGGCGTTATAGCACCAAGAACGAAAGAGTGCTACGAAAAAGGTTTGTCCGTCCTGCAAATCATTAGTGGAGGCGATAGTCATATATCTTGGATATGCAAACCTTAGTCTCCAAGTTGCGGAGACGTTTGCGGAGATCCGCTAATTGAGGGGCCGTAATGAGGTTATTGTTGAGATTCTGGACCATGATGCTGGCGAACTCGACGTCCTCTTCTTTTTCAATGCAATCCGCCAGCGTACGATAAATGCGCTCCGGGCTGAGACTCACACACAACTGTCGGATGATAAGATTGCCCCGCGTCTCCAAAAGCTTTCTATCAGTCGAAAAAAGCTGAAGGAGATTCTCCATGAAAGAGGTGAAGTAATCATCGCCGCTATTTCGTGAAATCTGGGACAAAAGCTGCAGATCTCTAGTGACAACAGCCTCCGCAGGGTCGGATAATGTTTTGAGAAGGGCCGGGAAAGTACCGTCATTAATTGCAAGTACCTTTCTGGGGGCTTTCTTATGAAGCATAAGCAACCAAGTCAAAGCCGCAACCCTAGTCGCCTCATGGTCATTCAGAAACAGCAAGGTCAGAGAGTTGACGGCTGCGGCATAGTCAAGATCGACTTGCGGTTGAGAAGGTGGGGTCGGAGTCGGAGTTTTGTTGTACGGCGGCGGAGGAGTCTGAACTTCTGATTCTCTTCTGTCTTGCTGATCTTTGGGGCCAGACAGGGACCCTCGATTATTTGTAGAGGAGTCTCTCCTATCATTCGTAACATCCCTAACTACTGAAGTTATAATTCTTGACGGGCCTGTAGTCGGGGTTTCTGAGCGGAGGCCATCATCGGACAATGAGACAACATAGTTCATTAGGGATGTATTGACCCGCGCAGCCGCTTGTCGAATGGGCTCAACACCACTGGCCATCGCTGGTAGAAGATGAGCAAGTATCTTCGGAGCAAAAGGCAGGACCTCCTCGGGACAAATGTCTAGGAATTCGACAATCCATCGTAGTGACTCCAATAAGCTATCCTCCTCTGCTAACCATCAGCCCTACTCAACCAAATTTGTACAATCAAGCTTACCTAGCGGCGAATCAAGATTTGCTGTTAATATCTCAAGAACATCTTTGTGATTGACCTGGACATCTTGTCCTGGAACCCAATCATCATCACTACTGACATCCTTGTCATCGGTGGCATTTATGGAATCATCATCACCACCTGCATCAGGTGCATTCGACGCGTCGCTGTCCATGGACCCTGAGCGCTTTCGTTTTGTGTCACTCTTGGATTTTCGGCTCTCTTCGATACCCTTTTTAATTCGAGAAATCCGCTTGATTTCGCTCAAGAATCTCTCTAAAGCTCCCTGAGTAGCAACGTGAACGTCACGATTCGGGTCGCTAAGGAACTTGAAGAGGCCGCCTAGAAATTCTGGGAGATATGAAACAAGCTCTAGATCAGGAATCGAATCGAGTAAAGTAATCCAGCCGACGAGAAAGGTGCGGGTGAATGGATTCATTACATGTATCCGTTCTTTCAGGAGAGGAATAAAGTCTGCAAGCGAGAAGGCTGTTGGTAGATCAATAGAGCCATCTGGAGTTTCCTTGTCGGCTTCTACAACTGCCTCTTCTGAGGTGTGAAGTACTGAGACGTATGTAGCAGCGGATTCAGAGACTATGTCTTTGATCAAACGATCAAGTAGCTCCGCTCCGTTCTTAACTGAGAGCTCTGAGTCCGCACCAAGCTGGTTTGTCAGTACTACTGAAGAACCTCTAAATTAGAACCTGGGGATAACCTACTTTACATAATGCATCAAAGATGTCGTTGAAATATGGGAGGACTTCACCCTTTGCCACCTTCGCAATGTTGTACATGCTTTCACATGCATAATATCGGACCCGAGCATCCTGATCTGTGAAGCATGCAAGTACTGGAGGCACAATCTCATCTAGATATCGTGCTAATTCCTATGAACAAATTAGTCTCCAGAACTCTGAGAGCATACCTTCTCACTTACCGGGCCCAGAGCTATGGCGGCTGCTGCCAAGCCAATGAGACCACCATTTCGAGCATGAGGCTGATGGACGGCATAAGCAAAGTCATTGCAAAGCTGCTGGATAATCTTTTGGATTCTGTCAAACTCCTTGGCGGTAGCAAGATCTCGAATGACACGCTCGAGGCTGTAGGAAATGTAAGCATTACTTTGGTGGATCTGGGTTGATGAGACTGAGACCTACTCTAAAGCTCCCACCTTCCTCTTATCGTAGAGTTTGTCATTGAGCGAGCGTGCTATGCTTGCCTCCATGATGAAGATGCTGTAAAAAACAGACCATGTTATGTACAAGGTTAGCGGCAGGTGGAGTGCATGTCAGGCAAAGCGCTGGTTTCTGTGATACGAGTTACGAGTACGTGAGACCCGGCGGAGTGGAGTGGAGTGGATTAGATATTGGGTATAAGTATCGAAAGCTCATCCCAGTCCCAATACACCTAGATACTCGCAAATAATACGGCTTTTAAGTTACAGTAATAGGAAAGCCATTCTTGGTCTTGCTTGCTGCTGCTTGTGATTGTGGTGGTTGATTTGGGTGGAAATGTAATTGTATTGTCGTTGGACGAAGCTCGCTCGCTCTCGCCTCGCCAGCGTGTCACGCACACACTTGGTGGACGATCCTGGCCTGGTCCGCTTCTCTCCTTCTCTCAGCACCACCACATTACAACATAACACGACCCAACACAATAAAAGAACAAACACTACTCTGGCTTTCAAAGTCTCTCTTTCCCATCTCGTGTCTCTTCTCTTCTTCTCTCAATACCACATTACATTACAACAACACACAACACAACAAAACCCACTACTCTCCAAAATCTAAGCAACTCATGTAGCTGCATTATATTATGTCTATCAACTTAAGTTTAAGTGTAGTACAGTACTTCACAATTGATGTTTACATGTAAAGTGTCTCTTTCTTCCGATTTCTCTTCTTCCCATATAAGCACGTCAAGAATCAGAAACAGCATGTCACGCATATTCGAGGAATTGTTACTTTGTTTCCATTATGCAATTTCCTGCCGTTTTGCTTTTGTCCCTGCGGGTTGAAAACAAGTAATGTGCTTCGCTTTTTCTCTCCGACCTGCCGAAGAAGAAGGAACTTCCATCACCCTGGAGGGAACCACCACCCGCATTCACGAACACACAACATCCACGGTACATCCCACTGCAGCATGCCATTTCGAATCAAAATGCCTGCTGCTTTTTCGCATCATTCCAAGTTACTGGGCTCGTCGGTGGACCTCGCACGGATCGTACGCAGTACATTCCCCTCCATTTGTATTTTTGTTGGCGCATCTGTCTCCATTTCCATTCCCATTGCCATCGTTGCCGTTATTTTCGCGATTCCGCTGTGCTGCTCTTTGTACCCTTCGAGCCTCCGATGTCTATCGAGTGTAAGAACGCTGGTATTGAAATACTATGGATGTGAGTCAACTTACATCATGGCCCCGCGCGTCGGCAATCCTTCTTGCGGCCCTGTCATCCATACTTTTATTGTTTCTCGGCATATTGGAGAATGTTAGAGCTGGAATTCTCAAGAAAGGTTGAGGTTGCGGGACGATTGTATAAAGATGAGAGCGACGAAGCGTTCGGGTCAAAAGTCAGTGAGATCTACTGTTTCGCAAAGGACAATTGATTATTAGTTGTAGGGGTTTCTTGCACAAAATCCATTTCTAAGCGGGTTCTTTGAGTGCTTATATATTCAAGCCTGTATCTCAAGTGGAGATGATTATTTTGCTTTTTCACAAGACTTAGCACCTGTTTCCGAGGACCCAGCAGGGCTACCTAGCGTATTATCCCAGTCGTCAAAAAGAACAAACAACGTGCCTATCCGTCTATAATCGGACATGTATGTGATTGCTTTTATCCTTGGTGGTGAGATTGAAGGAAACAAGCATTAGCAGCGGCAGTCATCATCAGGAGGTATCATTATGGCAACGTCCCTCTCCTCAAGCTTTTGTTTCTTTGCAAGGGCTTACCAGCTATGAGATACCTCGAATGATTGCATCTGAATAAATATGGATATGTCATCCGAAGAGTGCCAATCTACCCCACAGCTTCACCGGCACACCCCAGGTCTCACCAAAAAGTGTTATCTGCACCAGACGAACCAGCGCCGTGGTTAGTTGAGCGCCTCCCTGCGGGAAGGGGCTAATCAATCTAAATTAGGTTTGCTATGTTTGCTCCCTTCAGCTGAAAATCTGATGATCATCCTTCGTTTTCTTTTGTGGTAGTAAGTAGACTTGCTTATTTGAAGGCTGGGCTGTTTAGAATTTATTTGGCTATACCAAAGCAAGTGTACATTTTACGTTTACCCAGACCGGCGTATGAGCTACCGGTAGCAAACAAGTGTCAATCCCTACAATGTATGGAGGATTTGAAGCTAATGTCATCTGCGGATTGGGTCAACGTGTTGCGGATGAATCTTGGCAGTTGAATTGACGATAATTAAGTTATTCCTAATAGTTCGGAGATGCAGGATCATGCAGGTCCTCCAATTCAAATTCAAACGATGAAGCTAATTTACGGCTCCCTGCATTCCTGTACACGTGGAGGTATTTTGTCACACAGAAACAAACATGTAGGGTAGCATGACTCTATAGACCGCTCTTACATACAAATCGAAGAACTTTACTGCTGGGAGTTTTGCTTCTCGCGGGAGCCAACTTCTACCTCTAAACGAAGCAATTTTGAATGCGTAAAGCACATGCGGAAGATTGAATCTAAAAAACCTGTAAGATCTCAATGCCCATGAAGCAAGTCGCCTCTCTTGGCCATAGTCTTTTGGCATTTGGAAAGAATTGCGGCCTGCCTCCCGACTTCCCCAAGCCTTCCGATGACCTGCTTGCTGCCATCGACGACGCCATAAAGAGCATATGGAATTCCCACATCGGTACAGAATTCCTGGACTAGTGTCTGGGTTCTGCGAAGGTTGTGCCGTGGCATCCTTGGAAAGAGGTGGTGAACAGCCTGGAATTGTAGACCTCCGTGGAAGAAATCAAGCCACTGTGGACAATCGATGTCCATGGTGGTTCTGAGCATCTTCTGTGGAAAAGACTCATGCGGTCCAAGCTCGGCTGTGCTCATGGAGAAGTGAGACAACGTGATTTGTGCATGCAATGGCATTGTTATCATGTGGCTGATCATGAGGAAAGCGAACCGATCGGAGTTGGTAGGGATACTCTTGTACAAAACCACGTACCCATACCAATACCAGAAGAAAACTTGACCAACAAGCTCGACCCATCGATGCCACCAAGCAGGCCCTTTTCTCGGTCCGAGTCCTCGAAGAAGGTATCCCCAGCTTAAAACGTATAGATTGAACCTTCCAAAAGTGAGAATTGGGTAGTATAGATAAGCCTGATAGGGCAGGAGAAATTCAGCAACAGCATCAAAGGGCATAAGCTTCTCGTAAAAAGTGGAAGTCAAAGACTCTAAAAATCGGTGGGAGACGGCGAAGAAAGGTATATACTCGATGTCAGGATCATGCTCAGGAGAATTCGTAACGATATGATGAACATTGTGATTTCGTTTCCACCAGCCAATCGACAAACCTCCGATATAATTTGCAATGAAGATGCCAATGAGTGAATCTGTGTGGAAGTTATGCGTAATACCCATGTGGCCTGCATCATGTACGGTAAAAGTGAGCTGATGCCACAGGCATCCTAAGAAAGCTGCACTCGGTATGTACCATCCCCAGTGAAGGAAAAGGAGGAACATGGAGAAGAAGAAGGTGTAGCGGCAAGTTTCGATTGCATACGCAGAGTAATTGCAATCGTATAATCTTTCAGCTCGTATTCGTTCATCCAGCAGGCGATATTTGCGAACCACTTCATCTTGGGTGGCTAGATCTAAGGACGGGTACTTGGCGATATCCAAATCAATTCGCTCCCGCGTAAGGGTGTCTAGCCAAGTCATGCCATCATCCGGCTCTGAAACAGATGATGCTGACGACGCTGAAGATACAAGACGGTCATTCTTGGAGGTGCCTCGATGGCGAGCACTCAATATTTCCGTATCAAAAACTGGCGAGGGCGCCCGTGAGGCATCCGAGCATAGATCATTGTCTTCGTCCTGGCCCTCCTCGGCGTCTGCCACTCCTTCCACGTAAGGTCGAAACTTACCACCTTGTATTGGTGGTATAAAGTTGATCCATCGTCCGTCGATAGTACCAATGCGGTATTTCATCATCAGCTTTAAAGTTTCCGCCGAGTGATAGCTAGATAGGCAGCAGATGTTAGCCGGATTACTGAGTGAGGGCATACAGAGAGTTGAGGAAGGCAGGGCGGGATAGAGAGGGGGGTAGAGCAACGCACCCATGCACTTCGTCTGTAGCATCTCTGCCAACCATGTGCAAAATAGATTTGTCTCCTCCAGGATGGTATTGCAGCCATGCGTCTACCTTCAACACCTGCTGGTCGACAATAATTATGTGTCTTCCGTTGGCAATCAGCCCCTCGACCTCTCTTCGAGATAATATAGCTGCCCGGCCCCCGGGTTTCGTGGTCGCGGATGCCATAGCGAGTCAATTGGAGGTAGATGGGTAGTTGAAGTTTAAGACAAAGGAGAGTTGCAGGAAAGATGCCATAGGACAGAGAACAAAGGTTGTATTTGTAGGACAGAAGATAGGATGTCTCCGGATCAGCCGATTAGTGAGTGATCTGATCTGGATCCTTGAGTACGAAGGGGAAGGTACCCTAGATTTCGTTTCGCCCTGCCACTATAATTCTGGCGGTGAGGCGCCAGCCCCTCTCTTAGTGGCTCGCGTACCTGTACTTACCTGATATAGTACGTACCCCCCGCACTCCCCTTCCCCTTTTACTTTCACTCTCGACTCAAAGGCATTATCAATTGATCTCCCACAAAAGTGAACGTGACAGAGGCCTAGTTGCCATCAGAATTGATGCAAATACGGATACAAATATGCCGCGAAGTCGCAGGGCAAATAAATGTATTTTTAATGTTCCACCGCCATCATCTGAAGTTTCGGTTGGGTTAGGCTGTATGTGGAGTACTGCACTGTTGTTTGTTTGCGGACTTCCCTCTGATCCAAATCGTTGTAGTCCTGCTGCTCTTGAAACCAGTCGGGTCTGTTATCTATAGGCTTACCCACCCCCCGACATTCGAAGCACTTTCAAGAACAATCTGGTACTACAGTTCGTTGGCCGAAGTTCGAGGCAAGTGGGAAAGCTTTAGTGGGCTGAGACTTCCTTGGAAATAGGGGGGCAACTCTTCAATTATAAAAGTGGTGTCGTCTTCGCGCTTTGGGGCTCGTTTGGACTGGGACATGTACGGTAGGTACACCTCCTCTTTCTCCCCATCCATCCTGAGTGGCCTGTTCTATCTAGCTGCTTAGCCTGTGGTCTGATGCCAACGAGCGCTGTAGGGTCACTTGCTCCACGTATCTCGGTACAGATGACTTTGTAAGGCATTTTGAGTTGGGGGCCTAGCTGATTTTCCCTTGCCAGCGGGATTGTTTGCTACTCCCAAAGCCCGTCGAGTACCTCAACAAGCACTTTTTCCAATCACGAACACGGCTTCAGTTTTGGTAGGCTGTCCTAGCTTGCCATGCTGCACAATGTCTTCGCTCAGGTTGAGCAGATGCTCCATTTCAAGACACCGACATTCCGCCATTTCCCAGCCAAGAGCCAGAGAAAGGATGTCTTCTACATCGGTCGTAACACAGACAGGTTACAACGCCTTGCCCCGGCGCTTCCTCTTGGGCATTCTCACCACTTTTACGACAAAGCATCCTACGATCTCGTAAGCCCCATTGTTGCCTAACATGCAGACCTCTGTGTCTGTTCAATGATCAGCGCCCCCTTTCCTATAAAGCGAGGCACTCTACCCGCCCCCGTACTCTTCCTCTTCAAGTAACAAATCGAAGAATATGAACATACTGCATTCTTCATAGCACACACTCCACGCATCATACACACTTCACACATCTTACACTTTAAAGTCAACATGTTTTCTTCATACGGGAGAAGTCTCATGCCGCGCCCGCGTGGCTTGAACTACCTCTCATCCGGCGGGCTCGGCGGCGCCAGTCCTTTCAACACCAGCGGTGGTCATGGGGGCCGACGTCGATACGACAACTGCTTGGATTGTGTCGATGATTCCCAAGGGTACCATATCTGTGGGTCCTGTATTGACAGAGAGTATCGTACAAATGCAGCCTTGCAACTCGAACAGTATGACTGCACTTGCGCTCATTGCAGTTACTGTGATGACTCTGGGTCTGGATATGGTGGATAGTAAGTTCATCTCCCAGTACTATACTTTGAGATCTACGTTATTTAGGTTGCTAACTTAAACGTGACGCAGTAATATGTATTCTCAAAGTCGACTTGGCGGCGTCGGCGGCGTCGGCGGACTTGGCGGTAACAGTATGGCAGGTCTTCTAATGCCCGGCTATGGTAATAGTTGTGGACTGACAAGGAGACGCCAAGGATACATGGGAGGTTTGGGGGGGTACGGCGGATCCGGCGGATATGGGGGTTATGGGAGTTACGGGAGCCTAGGGGGTAGGGGACTGAGACCCGGACTTGGAAGAAGTTGCAGCTTTTCTTGAGGATACTTCGGTGAGCGTGGGAGCAGATATTCCAGACTGTTCTTTTTATGCCATGTACAGGATGGCGCTGTGGGTCATTTTGTTCCGCGAGAGGTAATGCTATGTTCGTTCAGTTAAGGATTTGGGAGCAAGGTTTTCAGAGGAGAAAAGGGGAGAGATTCAGGACAGTATTTATTTTCCTATTTCATTCATGTACAGTTAATATTAATTACAGGCGGCTTTTTGAATAATGTCTGGACTTTGAGCGTATGGCAACTTGTATTGTACTCATAGACATCTAAAGTTTCTCCTTTCAGCTCCATAAGGCGAGCCCATGAGTACCACCGTATAAGATGGGCTGGAGTGATACCACACTTCAAACCGTATTTGTTTCGTCATTTAATTCAGTTTTATGTAATCTATTCTTACAAGGGAATCAATGCTACACCTCCACTCGCTCTCAAACTGATCGTGCCTAAAATTGAGCTACCTCGACAGCCTCACCCGAAGCAAACGCTTAGAAATGGATTGCCTTGCCATACGTTGCCATCGCAGCCTCCTTGAACGCTTCCGAAAGAGTTGGATGCGCGTGACTTGTACGACCAATATCCTCACTCGATGCCCCGTATTCGATTGCAAGCGTTCCCTCCGCGATCAGCTCCCCGGCACTCGGTCCAATGATATGAACGCCGAGGATTCTATCCGTCTCAGCATCCGCAATTATCTTTACGAGACCCTCTGAGTCTAAGTTCGTCTTCGCTCTTGAGTTTGCCGAGAACGGGAATGTGCCGACTTTGTACTTTACACCAGAAGCCTTGACTTCCTGCTCGTTCTGGCCGACCCACGCGACCTCCGGATGTGTGTACATGACGGAAGGGATTGCCCCATAGTTGACGTGGCCATAACCCTTCTTGATATACTCAATAGCGGCAACACCTTCCTCCTCGGCCTTGTGGGCGAGCATGGGACCGAATGTACAGTCGCCAATGACGCGAATGTGAGGGATTTTCGTCCGGTATTCAGAGTCAATAACTAGTCTTCCCTTGTCGTCAGTCTCCAGACCAATGTTTTCTAATCCTAGGCCAGCAGTATATGGTCGTCGACCGATGGCGACGAGTACGACGTCGGCATCGAGCTGATTGTCGGTTAGTGATTATGCAGCATCCAAAGAATTGAGCCGGCTTACCGTCTCCTGCTTGCCACCCTTCGCGGCTTCCACATCAAGTTTGATTTTCTCGCCGCTGGTGTCACCTCCCAAGACCTTGGTGTTGAGCTTGAACTCGATGCCTTGCTTCTTCAGGGTCTTCTGGGCAGCCTTCGAAATTTCGGCATCCATTCCCGGTCCACCGATTTGCCCCAAAAATTCAACGACTGTGACCTTGGCACCCAATCTTGACCATACGGAGCCCATCTCGAGACCAATTATACCACCGCCAATGACCACCATAGATTCTGGAACCTTGTCCAACGCGATTGCTCCTGTGCTGGTGATGATTCTCTTCTCGTCGATCTCAAGTCCAGGGAACGGTGTAGCTTCACTTCCAGTGGCAATGATAATGTTCTTGGCGGTAACAGTCTGCTCTCCTCCTTCCGAAAGGTTGACCTTGATTTCGTGCTCACCAGTAAAAGCTCCGGTACCCTTAATGTACTCGACATTGTTCTTCTTGAACAAGAACTCGATACCTTTCGTCAAACCAGAAACCGCGGTGTCTTTTGCCTTCATCATCTGTCCCAAGTTGAGCTTGACATCGCCGACGTCGATACCGCGATTTTTTGTATCATGGAGGATCTGGTGGTAGAGATGCGAGTTGTTCAGGAGAGCTTTCGAAGGTATGCAGCCGACATTCAAACAAGTTCCGCCGAGTGTACCACGCTTTTCAATGCACGCAACCTATGAGAAGTGTAAGAATCCAGGGCCATTCGTCCTATGACGCGCTTGGGAGTGAGCTGTTTGTACCTTCAAACCCTCTTGGCCGGCTTTTATGGCAGCTACATAGCCTGCAACCCCACCTCCAATAATGACCAAATCCTTTTCCTCTGTTCCTTGTCAGCTATAAAGCCGCTGCAGCAGTGCTTGTGTACAACTCACCAGCTTCAGAGGCATAGCCTCGTTTCGACCATCTTGCAATGGCGGAGGGGGCGACTACGGTAGGAAGGCTTGAATTTTCTCGGTCAGCTCGCGGATTCGGATGCGGATGGCATTGAGCAATCGGAAAGTGACATACGTAAGAGTTGGCCTGATGACCGCCCTGGGACCTATTAAATTTCGGAACATTCTGGAGGATGTGGTGGTTGTTGTGTTGGGATGTTGTAGGTATGGGAGAAGCCGGTGGCAGATTGTCCCAGAAATCTACTGTACGGCTATGTAAAGTAAATCCTGGCCTGTACAGTACGGACACTTTTACCGAGTTTCGCGTTGTCGGCGTTGTGATTGGTCCAAACGCATATTAAGTTCCGTGTTTAACCGCAAAATACTTCTTCTTATTCTGTATTTCTTTCTCATAATTATCTGACTATTATTACCGTTACAGCGTAATTTAGTCATGTCTATGTTGCTTCGAGAATCATGATATGTCCCTTGAAACCAGATGTGTAAAGCCTACAGCAGAGGGGAAAGCTCGAGGGGTATTCGGGACATACGGAGGGTACATACAATAGGTGACTAATAAGTCACCTCAAACCAACCATCTTGACTAATAATACCATACTCGAAGTGGAGAACTATGGTGCCTTTATGGATTTCATTCCATAACTTTGAGCAATTAAGTGGTATCGATTTCTATTGACTATTTCGTAGTCTTTCCTCTCAATCTAGGCTCACCCATCCCATAACAGTAAACGTCTCAGTGGTATCTCTCTCGATCCCTGTCTTACTTGTCCATGGCAACAAAGGCCTCAAGAGTAAATCCAGCAAGTTTACAGGCCCATCTCACCGTCTCCTTCTCTGTCTTCCCGCCCGCAATATCCGTCTTACTCACGACCTTTCTCAAGAAGTACTGCATACCCCCAATGAGCTGAGGATTATCTTTGGCCTTGCTTAAAATATTGACAACGGCCTGCTCATCTCGCTTGGACTGCGACTGCCTCTGGGACTGGAGGAAGATGGTAACGAACAAGACTTCTATGAAAGACTTTGTTTTAGTTTGGAGATAGCTCAGGTTGAGCTTTCTAAGGACACCCAGCTCAAGACTACCATCAGCAATAAGTGACCCGAACATCTTTGCGAGGTTGAAAATACGCCTAATATCCATGGCGTCTTCTTCGTCTTCCGCAACATCATCATCATCGTCGGCCTCGCCCATTTTCCTGAACGAATCCCAGAGACAGAACTGGAATGCGGTTTTGAGCTTCCGATCACTGCAGACCTTCTTCGCAACCAATGTGTAGTAAGGGTTGTATGCCTTCTCAGCTCCGCAACAGTGTATTAAGACCTTCGGGATTTCGTACTCCTGCACCTTCTTCAACTTGAGCTTCGTCAGGCGTAGATACGCATCTTGGTAATCTGTTGCAGACATAACGGTGATAAAAATCGCACGGCGGACATCCGTATTCATTCGCTGTTCTTTAGCAAGTTGAACCAGGTCCGAAGTTCCAGCATCCTCAACTTGAGATGTGGAAACAGAACCAGCCGCGGAAGGTTTGCATTCCTCGACTGCATCCCCTGACCAGCTAGCACCCACAAGCCACCACTTTCCCCTCTTATCGGAGCCCTGGATATCTTTAAGTCCGATTCTGAGGGGCTCGCTAGCTTTGAGGCTCCGCGTATTCAGCGTCCCTAAAGTCTTCTTCATGCGAATGGTGTGCTCAGAGGTGATTGCCGACGCTGCTCCTCCAGTCTTCATTTTGTTATTTTTGAGATCATTGATCGTCTCGATCATGAACTTTGTGCGGACTGAGAGATTATGTTCGCCACCAGCGCTGGTAACAGCTGTCCTGATCATGGCAACTATATCTTTGAGTGACGAAGGATCATCATGTCGTAGTTGAGGGCCTGACGTTCGAACAACCTTCAGTAACAACTCCGCATGCAATTCTGATAGATTTTCTAGGAACATCCTAACGTAATCAAAGATTAGATTGCTCCCAATAACTTGAAAATTGTACAGCTCCGAGAGTAGCATAATGATATTTGATGTTTCTTTACTGCTGTAAGTTGTTAGATTTGCTGGGCTAGTAGGGTCGACTGTAGAGCGACGATAATGCTCATCAAAAAGCTCGACACTTCTTTGCACGATCTGAGCTCCAAAGTCCATACCAACGATTTTGTAGATAGCTGCAATGAATCCTGCTGGAAGGATGATCAAAGTATCGGGTAAGCTCGTTGGCTCACATACAGACGTCAACAAGAGATCCACAAGTGTCGAGGTTATATGCTGCCGTGGATGATCCCGGTAGAGCTTCTCTATATCGCCCAAAAGTGAGATCATGTTCGACTCTGTAAGCCTGTTAACTAAACCTTGCGTCTGACGCCGAAGTCGAATCAGAGCCTCTGAATCAGAAGACGCCGGCTTCCTTAGTGAAGGTGGTATGTATTTCTGAGGTGCGTCACTATTGGCGATCGGCGCTACGTATGGATTTTCACGGAGTCGGGGACGAGATGGTTGTTCGTCTTCTTCTTCGTTGCCATCATCAGAAGCGAAGTCGCCGTCAGCGTCCAAAATCATTCCATCATCTCCCATTCCACCGAAATCATCCTCTGAATCGTCGTCAGGGAACTCAGGGCCATCCAGTGACATGTCAGAAGCACCATCGTCCTCTTCACTATTTTGATCAGACAAATCATCCTCTTCTTCATCCTCGCTGTCTTTTGACTGCTGGCCGCTGGCTTCCCTCGCTTCCCTCCTTTTTCGGGTTAACCATTCATCCCCCTCAGCCTTTCTTTTTTTACTTTCCGGGATATCAGAATCTTCGCCTTCATCCAAGCCCTCCAACAGCTCATCTAACCCATCATCCTTGAAAGATTGAGGCAGTTTCTTCTTTCCCTTTAAGCCCAGCTTTTTCTCGAGAGAAGCGATCTCCTCGTCATCCTCGGCCAGCTTATTCTGAACAGACCTCGATATTTTCGCAAGTGGTGATACTGAGCGAACAGTGCGTGTACGTTTCAGAGGCTGTGGAGCATTATGAGGCGGATCCACCTTTTTCGTAGCCTTCAAGATCGACTTTGGTTTATGGGAGCTTTCGGATTCCTCTCGGGCTTGTTTCTTGCGGTTCTCGGGGATAGAGTTCTCGAAAGGAGAATTGACCTCTTCTTGTACATGATATAGTTTCTTTCTCTTTGTGGGAGGAGGTCCATTTCTGGAGACCTTCTTCTCCGCTCGTGCACCCTTTCGCAGGTCCTTTCTCTTTCCAGTAGGGGGTCCGGACTTTCGATGCGAAGTAAAAGTATCATCTGTGAAGTCTTCATTAGCGAATCGCTGTCTGGTAATTCCCCAGAACATTCTTATGCCACTTGTTGCAGCACATGAAGAAAAGCCGTAGAATTGACAAGCTACATACCTCCAAGTCCAAGCTGGTCAATAAGTTGCTTGGGCAACTTCAATTTGTTCTGCGGCGCCATTTCTTAAGGTATCGTCGGGAACAGAAATGTCTTGGGGATGTTTTTTTTAATTCTTGTAAGTGGGGCGGAAAGCAGCGTCCCATTGAATCGGATTTTCAATGTTCCATTCCGTTTAGCACCTTTTACATCGGCCGGATCGGTGCTGCTTTTCTAACAACATGCGACAACCCCACGGCACAGTACCCCTCCATCGTTGGTCCATGAACCTCCAAGTTTCAGTCAAACCACAAACATGTCGAAAGGCCACCTGAGCAATGATGATGTATGTTATACTCCTCCCTATTTGCTCATCTCTACAAGCAAACTATCACTGACTAATATATACACTCACCAGTTCTTCCAAAAGCTGTCCCAACTATTCGAATCCTCCACCCACGGCTCCATATACCTAAGTCAAAAACGCAGTATGAGCCATCCCCTCTTTGCCAAACAATGAGTAAACCCTAATAAGAAACAGTGGTATACGGCGAAAATGTCAATACAGGAACACCGGAGTCCACGCCCGGCCAGCCATTCCCCGACCTCAGCCCTTCGCAGCCTTTGCCCCTCATAGTCCGGGCCTCGAACGGGAAGTCCAAGGAGAAGAGGGATAAGAAGGTTAAGCTTTCTACCATTGTGGAGGCCGATGCACTAGAGGGCTTCTTTGCTAAATATGCGGATGTATGCAAGACGTCGATGAGCGGGCTGAAGAAGAGAGACCGGAGTAAGCAGAAGGAGAAGTTGAAGGCCAAGAAGCGGAAACAAGGTGGCGGCGCTGCTGCTGGGACAGTTGAGGTAAAGAAGTCATGATTTGGAAGGATTTCAATGCTAGAGAAAGGCATCTGGTATGGCGCTTTAGGGCATTGTATGAGGACATCCCATTTTTTCCACCAGCGAGCATTCTGGTCAATTGTTACTCACGTACGGGAATGTCGGACAATGTGGCTTGGAGTTTAAAAATTCTGGTGAGTAATATTCCATCTAAAAGAGGAGCCCAACGCTCGATATCGGTATGTAGCCACCAAAATCATCGAGTCCACCGAAGACTCTATCGTTTATGTATTTATGCTGTATATGTACGGGGGTGTAACTGTGATATGGATAGATGTGCAAGTGTAAAAGTCGTATATGTGGAAGTGTGAAAGTGCAGAAAATGTTCCTCTCAATATTATACCATGCTGTATATTGTTAGCATGGCATTGATAGAGTTTGACGGAATGAAACATGTCACACCAAACCGCATAACCTCACCAAAATCCGGTGATATGAGTAAAAATACAAGCTCGTAGGTCTCCCCAGTTATGACCCATTTCCACATGTTCTTCCCCAGTGATTATGCTGTTAGCGATGAGTCTAGATGCCAACAATGGTGAGTATGCGACATGAGTTATTTCCCTAACTCGGTGAAGAATGTAACTGCAGGTCCGTCAGGCTTTCGGTAGTTAGGGGCGGAGTATTGTGGGCGTTCAAAAGTTGGCTTAGTAGGGCGTCATTCGTGTCTTCAAACTCGTCAAAACTTGGGTTGAGAGCGGGGCTGGAGAACGACTGCACCAGTCTTAGTATGTAACAAAGACAGGTTGAAGCTCACTTACCGGGTCCAAATTATTCTCCATAGCAGCAGCGAAACGTATGACTGGACTGGAAGATTTCTGAGCGACCTGCATTGGTGACTTGTATCCGAAAGTGTTGCCTCTTTCAACTCCATGGTGCTGGTGGTCTTGGACGTTCCGATTTGGAAAGTCGTTGTAATGACTGTCACCACCGCGCTGTTGGTTCACAGCGTGCCAGTTGTTGGAGACTGTTTCCGGCATGTCTGGTGAGAAGTCTTGTGGCTCATAATCTCCATAGAATGGTATGCTAAGATTGTCTCCAAATGCGGATCTAGAGGGGCCAGAAGTTGTTGGGCATAGTTGGAAGTCGGTGCCGAATAACTGATAACCGTTGTGTTGGCTCCGATGGCTCCGAAGGCTTGAAATCTTGTCATCTTGAGCCTCAAGTTTTATCTTCTTGTTGGGCTTGTTACCGCTCCGGCTGCCGGTATTTGTTCGAGACCGCTTCTTCGGACTGACAGGTGATTCAGAAGGTTCCAAACCAGCAGCGACCCTTGCTTTATCGATCGCCGGTCTTCTCTTCTCCCTCACAGATCCGATCTCGCCCTCTTTGTCCGCCTGGCATCTCCAGCAGATTCCAGTAGATCTATGCTCGGGCTCGTACTGATGTATCTGAATGCAGATCTCTGAGGCGCACTTGCTACTGGGCCAGTCTTGGGGGCATTGTGTGGTTCGAGAGACGCTGACATAGATTTGCCTGCAGCAGGGCAGGGTGAACGGGGCGAGAATACACATATTATTGTGCCCGGAAAGATTTGATTGTTGGTGTCTTGGATGTTATTCTTCGTGAGTGGCTACCGTGAGTGGCTAAAGAATAAAGTCTGTGGATGATTCGAAAAGCCAAAAGTATTGAGGTTGGAGGATAAAAGACTTAGAGGAAAGAGAAAGTGAGCCTTAATATACTCACCGATTGGAGGTGTGAATGACTTATAAGGCGCGAGACAGTGAATAATAGATCCTATGATACATATCTGTGATTCACAAACATTCATAAATTTGGGGTCTTTGGGAATACATGTGATGGCTATCCTATATACAGCGTGTAATATTTAGTGTATGTGCTTTTGCTTTGACATTGGGTCAAAAAATCATATGAGAGTTGTTCCAGACTACTAGACAATATGAGATACAAGCCGAGTCACTTTTACTAGTCACAAGACTTAAGGAACCTGGGGATATTTCTTGTATTTGTCTGCACTGACTGCTCTAGAAACCAAATGCGCAAAATTGGATGGCCTGAGAAGAGAAAAGCTTTTTGTGATTAAGCGCAGAAACATGGCTCCTAGTTATTCGTGCCTGAAGTGCATTCTCGTCGTGACAGACAGAATGTGCGTATTATGAAATGAGAATGAAAGCACAACGCAGCTCATCAACCTTGGCGTAATGCTTTTCCGGGATTTGTTACAGTGAAGGAGAATGGTCGGTAACACAAAAAGTGACGAGAAGAGGTCTGTGCTCGCAACTCCAGACGGGTGGTCAGTCTCTTAAGGAAGGTGACACAATATCTGTGATTGGTCTTGACACTAGGAACTCAGTCTCGCAGCTTTAGAAGACCATCATCACATGATCTGGTCTTGGGTCAAGCTAGTAGCCTCGGTGTCCATGGCATCTCCACCGCTTCCAGGAGTCTGGTACTTGACAAAGCTCAAACCAAGTGGGCGACCACCATATTGGTAGCCAGAAAATTTTTCGATGGCAGTTTCGGCATTCTCGGGGGAGTCGAAACGAACAACGCCAGTACCGCGGGACCGACCATTCGGCTCATACTGGATTTCGGCCTGCTCGACCTTTCCGATAGTGGTGAAAAGCTCAACGAGATCCTCGTTGCTGGTCGACCATGGAAGCTGTTCCAAGGCAGATTAGCATGGGGGGTCGAAATCTTATTTGAAGCAAAGACTTACGTTGCGAACGTAGATAATCTCGCTTCTCTCACTACCAGCCGTAGCAAAATCGGTAAATGCGTTTGGTGCTTGAGAGACTGCTGGAGCGCCGGCCTCATATCCTCCGCCACCTGCACCACCCCCAAAACCAGGACCTCCAAAACCACCACGAGCTCCGCCAAATCCACCTTGGAATCCACCACGGCCTCCGAATCCACCACGGCCTCCAAAGCCACCTCCAAAGCCACCACGACCCCCTCCAAATCCACCTCGGCCACCAAAGCCTGGACCAGAATTGGCGAAACGATCCTCGCGAACTTCAAGAGGGCGTCCCTGCCAGTCATATCCGTTGAACTGTTGGATTGCGTTACGAGCGTCGTCGGGCGATTCGAAAACTACGATACCAGAGCCCTTGGGACGACCATCAGGTCCAACGTGGACATCAGCGCGAATAACTGCGCCGTTACGAGCTAGAATATGGCTTGTCAATCTCAAGTTCAACTATGTGCACGTTAGCTATGGAGACGGGACTTACTAGCTTGACGGAATAAGTCCTTTAAGTCCTGCCATCCTACAGTGTAAGGGAGCTAAAGTTTAAAGTCAACTCGGCACTCCCCACAAGATAGTAACAAAGGAGGGATGTAACAAACGTTGGAGACGTAGATTTGACGACCGCCGCCGCCGCCACCAGCACCAGCACCCATGCTGCCGCCGCCAAATCCGCCACCGAACCCTCCACGTCCTCCACCACCACCACCATCATAGCCACCGCGGCCCCCAGTTTGTGGACCAGTGAATCGAGGTTCGGCCTCACGATCCTGAATCCTTCATGTCAGACTAGCCCGAAACAGTGTGAAGTGAAGAGGATGCCAATGCTTACTTCTCGAACATAGACGAGTCTGCCCATAAGATTCTGGTTGCTGAGAGTGTTGACTGCCTGCTGAGCTTGCTCCCTGGTGGCATATTCTACAATGCTGTGATAAAGTCAGTGGTTGCATCCGGCATTTTGTCAAGTAGATAGCTTACCCGCATCCCTACATATCCCACGGAACAGCGTCCCAATCCGTCAATCCAACATTCCTTCAATGACCAGAAAAGAAAAATTCAAAAAGCCAGCTACGTATAGGCGCCCACCTTCGACATTCCATTCGGAAGCAATAACACATCTGCAAATAAGACCTCCCCAGCTAAATTTCGCACCCCAGTCAGCCCGTATTCCCACTATCTCGAGTCGCCCGGCCTTAGCACTAACCAGTTCTCATGAAATCTTTGAGATGATGCCATTTAACATCATATGATAGGTTGCCAACGTAGACACGGCGGTCTTGTTGGGAAGACTCCTTAAGGCTAGTCATCATCTGCTCTCTGGCGGCAGCACGCTCCTCGAATGATCTGTGTGGTGCTCCTCCGTAAGCTGATCCACCGGAGCCTGCGCCAGCACCTGCTCCCGACATTGGTGAGCGAGATCTACGATTGTCGCGAGAGCGGGAACGTCTTGGAGAATAGGAACGACGGCGGCTACGTCGAGGAGAGCGTGATCTGCTGCGAGATCTCTCGCGGTTCTGAGGCGCAATGTCAGTCGTTGTTTCAATCATGAGTAGATCTGGTTTGTAGAAAAGGTGAGGAGGGACAGAAGAAGGAATGTGAAAGGCGCGCGGTTTTCGGTGGATTAGTTCGAGACATCCAGGTGGCGCGGTCAGACTAGTTGACATCAGGCCCGGCGGAGGAGACGAGGCTGTTATCAAGTTCGCAGCCGGCTCATTGAATAAGGTAAAGTGCAAATTTGCTCTTGGGTATGAAAATGTACTTACGTGAGGGCGATAGCTGTCGTCGGCTATTGTATCCAGGAAATGATGTTAGTTAAAGTTGTGCGGAGTATCCAGAAGTTGCTTATTGAGTTGTGTTGTCAAGAACGAGGAGCGGGGACGGAGGCAGCGCCGGGTTATGACAGGCACCAGGCGGTAGTGAATGGGAGTGTGCTGGGGAGTTAAGGACGTACCCATGTTTGATAGGGACTAAAATCTCCTACTGATGATTTTAATGAGCTGCCGGAAGTTGTGAATTCGCACCAGGATCCAGAGTCTGTAGCCACCAAGAATTAGTGGGACGTTGCGAGATGTAAAGTGAAGGAGCACCAATCAGAAAGGAATTGTATGGGGGTTAGCCAGGTGTGTGTCTGACTTGGGGAGAGGGGCCAAAGGACACAACGCGAGCGTCGCCTTGCTCTGCTAATAGCCATTTCTGCTGCTACTTGCTGCAGAGTGCACTGGGGGCGGGGCGTAGCTCGTCAAGCAAGCAGAGCAGAGCATACAGCGGACGACTCGTCTTGCTATGGCTATGGTCTGCAGCAAATGTCCCGTCACCCTCCCAATCCAATGCCACTCGCACCCATTCGGGCAGATTCAGACAGATCCGGACACCTTGAGATGCTTACCTTGTTTGACAACAGCAGCTGCACTTGAGTGAAAGAAGAGGACTCGACAACCAATCCTTGAAGACGCGTGAGCAGGAGCGCGACCCGACGACGTGGACGAACTGGGCAGCGCAGCGCAGAGCTAGGGGATAGGTAGGCAAGTAGGGTGGGAAGCACAGGAGAGCACAGTACGGTACATACCTTCAAAATGAGCGCGGAGTGATATAGTACAGCCTCCAGGAGTGATAATTGCAGGTGCTTGGTTTGGCTTGGTGGTGGTTGCTCGGGCGAAAGATATGGTGGAGAAAAATGTCAAGGCTTTTGCAGTAGCCCCCTGCTGCACGCCGCCGTATACTCGTGCTTTAGAGTATTATATTCAAACTCTACCAGTACTTGTGTACTTGTATAAACCTTGACTTATCCCTTCCATTCTATTCATGCCAATAATACCTAGCCACTCTACAATAACAAATAATACCACAATACTGCATAAAGCAAGAGCTTTTTCAAAGACGCCTCAACTCAATTCCACCCCTCGTCAAAGACCCCTGGCCAGCTTCAACTGCAAGACATACCAACCACCCCCCCCCCCCCTACCCCCCGATCCTCTTTCCTGCCTAAGCATATGATTTTACCCGGCCAGTGGGCATAGTACGGAGTACTGTACAGCAGCGAGGTTTCATGCCCACAGGCTGCAAGGCCGAGAAAAGGGGGGCCATGATCAGCCGTCGGGCGAACCTCTTTACTCAGACACTACGCCATTCCCGAGCCTACACGAAGCTACGTACATGCACACTGCATAGAAAGTTCTACCAAGTAATTCTCTATAAGGGAATTTCCATACTAGGCTACTCCTAGCCAGGACACTAAAGAGTTGCTTTCTTGCTGCGTCTGTGCCTGTTTCTATCAATGTCGACCCCGTCTACGGAGTACGGAGTACCCTTGCGCCTGCCCTGCCAACCTGCTGCTATAAGGCATAGCTGAAAATATCCAGAGCGGGGTGTTCAATCTTCTGGTGGATACATTATAGTGCGAGGTCTTGAGCCAGCGACTACCACTATACATCCAGTATTGTGAAGACTCAAGTGCAGAAAATCCGCTGCTTCGCTCACGATACTACCCCGTTTGTCTCTACTATTTGGATCTCTAAATATTCGAGGAGCCACTGTGTGATCTCCATCAGAGTCGCCGATCCATGTATATGCATGGAGTTGAGCATGCTTCCAGAGCCTTGCCCACCCACCTGAGAATGTCATTCTGCAGACATCCCGAGAGTTTCTTCAGGTAGCCAATGCCGCTTGTAAATGCAAGATGCTATGACGGGGAAACATGCAGATGGTGCCATTACGTTCGAACAGATCACCTGCTGCGCCCTTTGGTGGATCTCAATGAAGATTCGGAGGACTCTAACTTTTAAGCGCCCAATGATTCAGCTGCAATCTCAAGATCTTCGAGATGGCGAAGCAGATTGGCTCCTGCGTTGGACATTTCAGCGCAACTGTCGTGGCAGATACGGAGTAGCACATCACACTAACATTACAAACCTCCCCCCTTCCCTCCCTCATTCCCCGTCCTCCTCCCGGGCGAGCCGTTCCGCACGTACTTACACGGGACGTATTGCGTTACTCACAGGCTTGACAAGACGATTGCTGTACCACACTCCTTTTAGAATCGCAATGCGAGTTCAGAGATAACTTGAGATCTTAGTCTTTGTCCCCCACGCCTGCCACGCACAGATAGCCAATTACTGCTCCTAAAGCCCATGCACAGTAGTCGTTCGGGGAGCTCAAGCATGAGATATGCTGCGTCGCTGGCTTAAAGAGATGGCTGCACAGTCACACTGCAGGGTGCCTAGCCTAATGCAGCTATTCTTGGTCTTTACTCATTACTGCAACAGAAGTCCTTCGATATCCAACAGAATTGCAGCAGACATGAATAATCCTTACTGCATAGGTCAATGCAAAGCGGGATCAACGGGCCGCACATTATTAGGTATGCTTGACACTACTATAATACACTACAATATTGTTAGTTCTTCAAGAAGAGGCTCTGCGGGGATTCGTTGATGCCCGTTTTATTATTAGCGCCGGGCGTAAGATGTCTCCAGTCGAAGCATCTTCGTCACAATCAAGGCTTATATATCTGAAGGACACTCAAGTCAAGGGTCAAACTTTTCACAGTGGTCAAATTAAGCTATCGTCCTCCCACGAAAGAGGATCGGCAATAACACCAGGCTCCACAAGTTGACGCTCAAGATCCCAGAATCTCAGGACCATTTGTGACTTGGGCGCGTAATTAAAGAATTTTTGAACAAGCTACAAGGTCATCTTTTTTATGGCTTAAGGATAGGCATATGGGTGACTGGACATTCGACATGATCTCAGATCCTCTTTCTCTAGCTCTATCTCAATTACTTTCACGTTGAGCAATTGGTGGTAATTTTCATTTCTTTCAGAGCCCCTTTTCTGTTTCACGTTCACGCTTAAGGAAGTAGAACCACTTCTTGCCATGATATCTCACGTCAGATGCTTTCGATTACCACTTCTCGTTAGTTTCGGTCATGCCAAAAGCACGAATTAAAGACAATCGAGGCACCTAAGGTCGAGTGACAAATCAAGAGAAGAGCCTCAATACTTCGGACAGACCCCTAATACCTTGATGAACTGCAAGCATCATAATTTGCTGTATGGATGGATGGTTAACACTGTCCCTTGAATTTTGAACAGTCCCTCTCGTCTCTTCGAGCTAGCAAGCCGAAAATGATATCGTTAACACTTTCCTCGGGCGGTTTCTCACGTAATATATTCAGCCCTGCTGTACGCTTCCCATGGGAAAACTCTCACTGGTTGATGGTGATTTCAAGCCACAACTTCAGGGCTGAATCAGGCACATCCAGAACACTACTGAGACGAGCTGAAATGGCGGTCAGAGATTTATCAATGTCTTTGTGAATTTGAGTTGTTCTTTGGTCCCCCAATTTTCAATAGATAAGGAATCTTGAAGGTGTCACTTATTGGGATTGGGGATGAATTTTTGGTGCTGTAATTCTACTTTGAATTTATATTGCCAGAGATGGCAGGGCGTCTCATTTTCAAGGTAAGTTGTTTCTCGCAAGTCTCCCCAGACGGTGGCGAGACAATTATCTTCTCCTGAAAAGTACTCTCAGCTTAGGATCTTTCTCGGAAAGCCAAATTTGACCCGGGTGTCTCCGATGTCTACCTTTATTTCTACTCAATGGGTACAATCATGAAGATGTTCTCATGGTTGTGTCCGTTGTCTAGCTTCTTTGGTTGTATATAGGCAGTGAATAAACCATATTTACAAAGAAATATAGAAATATTAGAACGAAGGTCTTGCTGTCTATGGCCATTGCCACGCATTCTAGAAAACATAACTACCAAGTGAGAACTAAGAAGTCGCCGACATACAGTTCGTCCAATTCTACAGCATGAAATAATTAATAGAATATAAATAAAAAGTTCCATACACTTTCATCAAGACGAAAACTATTTCAAAGGACGTAGAAGTAAAAAGAACACGAGGCAAAGTTTGACACAGCAATAATGTCCCCCCAAACTACACTATTCAGCCTTGCCAAAAGAAATCCCAGCCTCGCCTTGGCGTACTGACAACCTCCATCGAAACTTCACTACACATCCCTTCTCCCTTCAAACAATCACAACAATGGCAACCAAAACCCGCATTCTCCTCGCTCCTCGGAAGCTCAAGCTTCCCTCCTCCCTCCGTACCTACCACTCGCACAACCACCCGGCCCCACCCGGCCCCTTCACCCCCGTCGAATCAACCATCCTCTCCGCCTCCGCCCCCCACATCCCAACCCACGGCTTCACGCTCACGACCCTTTCCTTGGGCGCAAAAGACGCAGGCTATATTGATGCATCCACGAACCTGTTTCCACGCGGCGCATTCGCGCTGGTGCAGTGGCATCTCTACACGCAGCGGATGGCACTACAGCATCATACGGGGATCATCAGTCCTGAAGTCAGAGACGGGGGGAGAGCACCGGGTGTGGGGAGCAAGGTCAAGATGCTGACATGGGAGCGATTGATGGGGAATCGGGAAGTGGTTCATCGATGGCAGGAGGTTTGTCCCCTTCTTACTTGATCACGTCGTACCACTGAGATGAAAATGAAGGCATTGGCGCTCATGGCACTTCCCTCGAACATTCCGCCCTCCGTAGGTGAACTAGGCGCTCTCTCGGATGAGATATGGTATCTGTCTGGTGATACATCGGTAGACAGTTCCTGGTACACGAAACGGGCCTCTTTGTCAAGTATTTATGCGGCGAGCGAGTTGTTCATGACGACGGATAAATCCGATGGGTATAAGGAGACGCGGGCTTTTATGGATAGACGGTTTGGGGACGTACAAGCTGTTGGGAGTGCGGTTGGGAGTTTGGGGCAATGGGTGGGATTTAATGCTAGGTCAGGGCTGAATGTATTGAGAAGTAAGGGGGCCAGGATCTAATGCATCACTAGAGGAAAGCAATGAAGTGTATATTACATGTATTTTTGGCACCAATGGGTTCTAGAGGGATTGTGCCTCCCGAAACAAACCAAAACAGTAATAGGCCACCGAAGGCGACTCCTTAAACGCCAGCTTGAAAAGCAAATACCCGTCCTTTTTATTTCTACATTGACCACCCATCCCGTTGCCGGGTTCTTTCTATTCGTCTTCTTCCATCATATCAGGAATTCGTCTCTGCTTTTCTCGAGGATCATATAATCTGAAATAATTAGCGATGATTCTTGCTTGAATGTGAACTAACTTACTTTATGATGGTGACATCTGCCGCATTAGCATCAACAGCACCGGCTCCAAGAGCTTTCGGTGTGATGAGGATGAATTGACGACCGACGGAGCGTCTTGCAGCAGTGATCTGTTGGATGTTAGTAATGCCTATACTTCAAAAGACTTCAAAACTTACAATCATGTTGGTACTGACATCCCGGTTGACATCATCCATAAAAACGTCGAATTCGTCGAGGCACCTCAACGGAGCTCCCATGGCCTCCCAGAGCGAGAGAAGTAAGCAGATTGATGAAAATGACTTCTCTCCTCCAGATAGTGTCTTTGTTTGACGGCCCTTGCCACTTATGTTAGTCTCGTCAGGCTCCACATGTACATCGAGCTTTTTCGCGATGTGATCGATCGTAAGCTTGCCTCTAAAAGCTCTTTCGCTGAGCAGGTAGTTGAAGTTGATTCGGGACCTCGAAGAGATGTATCTCTGAAACCGTTGAAACATAGTTATTCGCATCATGAAAGATTGTTTGAGGTGCGACAAAAGTTCTTCGGACTCTATTCGCTGAGCCATCGCACGCTTGAAGTTGCTCTCTGATTCAAGTGCAGCCTGATAAATCTCTTGGTCAGAAGCACCCTGCTTCCGGCGAGCTTGTTCAAGGCGCTGGATCAAGCTTTCGAGTCTAGCTGCTATGCTCTCTGCAGTCTCTCCTTCATCTAGTGGGACTCTGAGAGACACTTTGCTGGCCATTTCAGTATAGTTTTTAAGCTTCTGTATTGCGCTATCACGGCTCTGCTCAGCTTTGGCCTTTTCTTCTTGAAGATCTGTGACCAATGTGATGGCAAGATTCTTCTCTTCAAGAGTGATCTTACGAGCCTGTGAAGTGTTATTAATCTTCAGGTGCGCCTTCCTCATCATTGCCTCGTGGTCAGCGACACGTATCTTGACGGCATCGAGCGCTCGTTTCTTTTCGAGCGAGATTTGATTCAGTTTTTCCATTTCCAGCACTATGCTACCATAGGAATCTCGGTCTATAGTGAGATTTTGCTTGACCTCCGCCAAGTAAGTTTCTAAGCCATCAAGGCGACCGTCTTTAGCGTTGTCATTATCAAGTTCGATCTGCAGTTTTTCGACTCGATCCTCAGCTCGTTGGACTACCAGCTTCAAATTTGGATGGTCTCGGTCACGAAGTGAAATAGCTTGAATGCATCTCTTGAGGTTTGCTTGAGCCTGAGCTCTTTCTGTTTCGAGCTGAGCCTTTTCGCGTTCGAGCTGCGCTAAAGTGTCTCGCTGGTAAATAATCTGGCTTTCGTTGTCACTTTTCATTCGTGGCTTCCGTCGCATTTTAAGCTCAAGGGGTGTCATTTCCTCCAATTGATTGCGTCCACCCCACGTAAGTCGATGTCCGTAGTCATGTCTCGAGTCATGAAGAGTCAAACATGATTTCACATTCTTCGGCTTTGGTCCCCTGAACATGGTTTGACTAGCATCGCTTCGTTTTCTAATAAGAATCGTTTGGTCAACACCGTTGTTGATAATCAACTGGTTTCGCACCAGGTCATCATCAATGTCGAGGACTCTTAGGATGGTATCAAGATGAGACTCAGGCTCATGGCCGGACGTGTTAATCGGCTGACGATTACCAATGATAACATTGCAGCCTTTTATTTTGAAGCGATTCAAAATACCTTGCAGGAGTGTCAAATCGGACTTGCTAGTCACAACAAAGGCATTCAGGTTGTTACCCAGAACTGTTTCGATGACGTGTGACCAAACCGGCTTCAGCAATTTGACATGGAGGCCAATCGGACCAACTGGTCTCTCTCGGAATCTTTGTTCGTTGCGGATAGCGCTGATCAAAGGTGCCATCTTGGGATCATAGCCATTCATATCATCCGCTTGATTTTGGTTAAGCTCGTGCAGTCGTTGGCGCGCAGCTTCAACGTCTCTGCGCTTGGCTCCAAAAGCAGCATCCACCTTGTCGAGTGCTTCCTGCGCAGAAGCTTTTTTTGCTTCAAATCGAGGACCATCCTCATCACTTCGGGTGACAGCCTCCTGTGCATTCAAGACCTCTTGCTCGGCCTCTTTGATCTCGGCCAACTTTCGAGCTTGTGCACCTCCATTAGCATCTTCCATGCGTTTGACTTCGGCTGCAATATCGGCCTCAACACCCTTGAGCATGTTTGTATTTGCACGAAGATTTGACTTGATGCCGTCGCGCTGTGTACGGTATTTTTCTAATTCCTTCCTTGTAGCATCGTGGGCACCTTTTGCTTCTTCCTCTTCCTCTTTCAGGGGGTCGAGCTGCTCCTGAAGCTGGGCTTCGGCCTCCTTGGCTTCCTCCAGGCGAGCATCGATTCTCTTGAATGCGGTATCTTTTTCTTCCACAACTCTTTCCTTCTTTTCGATATTTTCCTGAGCGGTATTGACCAAGGCTTCTCTTTCGGCCAATTTAGTCTCCACCGCGGCTACTTGGCACCAAGCTGATTGCCGCTGTAGAATCCGAATTTTCTGCTTTAGGCCTTCGTGTTCCTGCAATAACTGCGCCTTGGTTGCCGCATCCTCAGCCTGCTTTTTGAGGGCTTGAAGATCGTCTTTCGAGTCTAGTAGCTTGGACTCCATCTGATCACAAATATCAGACACCAGCTTATAGTCGTTATCGAGTGCTTCAAGTTGGACGCCCTCCTTGAAAAAATTGTACTTCATTTTGGGAGTGGAAGCGGTAATAAAGGTTTTAGCGGCATCTTGGGTGAGAACATTCATGGGATTGTCAACTTGCAATTGATAATATTCAATGAGATCATCCACGTCGCCTTTTTTGGACGAAACAAGCCGTCCTGCGGAGTTCTTCAGCTTGTAACCGCTGCTACCATTCTTTGCGAAATGCCGCTCAATAATGATCGAATCGCCGTAAAGGTCACGTTGGTAGCCGTCGTTCCCTTGGTTCTTCAGTTTGATGATGAGGAGAGCTTGTTCTTTTCCTTGCTTAATCAAGCTTTTCAGACTAGATCCTCGATTCGTAGATGCCGCCTTGCCTCCAAGGCATAAAGTGATCGCCGTCAAGACAGCGCTCTTCCCACTCCCATTCAGACCAACGACGAAGTTGATGAGAGGTCCCAGTTCCACGTGAAGTTTATCGTGACACATGAAGTTTATGCAAGTGATCGTTTCAATGATCGCGTTATCCGCCGCATGGTTTTCGCCGATCTGCTTGCGCCGGGCGAGAAACTTCTTCGACGTGAGCTTATCGTCAGCTTCCGTGTTTTTCAGGTGCTCAAAATTTCCATCACGTAACATTTCGTACTGTGTGGCCGGTGGCGGCAGCGGTCCATCTTGATCGACATCTGGTAATTGCTCATCTTCATCACTGGAAGACGACGGACTTGACTGTCGAGACTTCGAGGAGGCGCCTTCGTTGATCGATATGCGTGCCTTTTTTCGCTGCTATGTTACTGTGTTAGTAAATTTGATCCGCTGTTTGTCTCAAGGGAGAAGGGCGGCGGCAGCAGAGGATAACTGCTTGATTGTGCGTGTTCTTGCGGGAGGAAGGGTACTCACCCCGTCTTGACGCAGGCTTGAGCTTGCTCTCTCGACTCCAATTATCTCTCCATCAACATCGAAACTTGAGCGCTTCATAGGCGCCATCGTTGCAACGTACGAGGTTCAAATTATGGGGCTATCGTCGTGAGTCGTAGTTGTTTTTGAAAGTTGATCGAGGGACGCGACTTCTGGATTAGGCACGCGACTAATAACACGCTAAAAATATAAGCTTTAGACCCACCTTACTGGAATAAAGGGGAGCAGCGGCAAAAAGCAGCGACGAAAGTGAGATCTCCATCGGATCAGCTTCAGCTTCACTACACGCGACTGCAGCATTCTATTTCCACTAAGTCTTCCTCTCGTTTGGTGATACTGACGAGGCTTTGGAAACCTGCTTAGAGTCAAGGACGGTAGCTTAGAGAGACCGCCGAGAATAATAATCTAGTGTGGCTCACACTAATCTTCGAGTAGCTCTCTCTCTCTCTCTCTCTCAACTCAACCAATTGAACATACCTTGGGACATTGTCATCTTATCGTATATGCCAATTACCATCACATCTTGTTTAGTCAATGCAAGTGTAGTGGTTTAATTTTGTCAATGCATACACTCTTTTCGCCGTCTTCAGCGCATCAGTCAATTCTGCAGCCATCACGCCAGAAACTATCAGCTGTTGCTTGCAGCAAAAATTCGAGCTCACTGTTGGTCTCATCATCAATGCTCTATTTCTTCATAAAAACCCCACCCCCGCATTTCTAATTGTGTCTAATAGCTATTTTTCACCCACGCCTAGGCGCGTTTTCACCCCTACATATAACTCGATCAAGAGTCAGCCTCTTCAGCAGCTTTCAACGCAGCCGCAAATCGAGACTTAAGATCCTCCTCATCCTCGAGACCAACACTAATACGAATCAGTTCCGCTTGAACACCAAACTTTGCCGCCCATTCCAATTCCGTAAAGTGAGCGAGAAGAACGTAGGGTGAGGTCAATGTGAAATTTGTGCCTAGACTTGGGCCCTTTGCTGTTTCTATCCGGTCAAAGAAAGCTATGGCCTGAGCTTTGGTATGAAATATGAAGGAAAGCAGACCACCATATCCACCAGTAAGTGTTCGACATGCGTCGTAGTGCTCTCGAGAAGAGTTGTGTTTAGGGTAATATAAAGTCTTAACAAGAGGGTGCTTCATCAAAATGTTGCAGATGAGCTCTGCGTTGTCATTGATTCTCTCGATTCGCGATACGAAATGGCGGCTATTACGTTCCATGAACATGACATCTTCAGCCCAGTAGTTGTCCTCGAACTGAGCTGTCGCAGCCTTTTTCAGCAATGAATAGTACCGTCCACGGGGATTGAGTATTGTACTACCCCCCATAACATTGCATTCTCCTGAGAAGATTTTGGTAAGGCTGCTGACTACTAAATCGGCATACGGAAGCACATTGATGTTGATGAAGTTGCCAATGGTTTCGTCAACAACAACACCGAAATCGTAAGTATCAGCCAAGGCTCGTATCCTTTTGAGATCAGGGCACGTCAATAGTGGATTGCCAGGGAATTCGCAGAATAGTGCGAGAAAACGCTCACCCGCCTTCAGACGGGCCTCGAGGTCATCCAGCTCTTTTGATGATCCATTTCCGTAAAAGGTGCAACCAGGACCCCACTTTTCCAAAATTTTGAGAGTGTCAACATAAGGGAAACCGTACGAGATGCTCTTCAATTGACCTCTAGCTTCGAGCATCATTTGGTGTGCATGGAAGATAGAATTCATTCCACAGGGGTATAGATAGACGTCTTCCTCTGCGAGGTCTACAACGCCACGTGCATTCGACGTTGTCGGTGGGTGGGGAGAAACACCGAGTTCAACCTCTCCCATCAAGGAACCAGCTATGCGGCGACGGATGGCTGACTTGGCACTGTCAACAAGTGAAACATCAAGATTTCGGCCAAAGCGTTCTTCCAGAAACTGCGAGCTTTCACGAGCCTCTGCAGAGTCGTTTTGGGCAGGGCGATGCGATTTGATGGGGGAGGGACCGCTTGTATTAGCCCTTGGTATTGTGTTATCGGTTGATCCTCTCTGGTATCGCTTCGGCCCTTTACTAGTAGTGGGCAACCCATTCGTGCTATTCTTAGTCGACTGAAGGCTTCTTTCTTCTACCAAGACTCCTTCCTTGAAAAGACTGTGGCAAAAAGCAGCTCGCCTACTAGAGACTCCATCTCCTGAGTGTTGCCAGTATTGCTTTGCAAGGGGAAAGAGAGCTTTCGGGTATATCACTGCAGATATTGACGGAGACAGTTTGAGCAAGGTCTCTGAGGTAACTTTGCTCCTGTCTAACACCAAGTCAACCACCCGGATCTGGTCCACGGAAACCGAAGGGTCTCTCGAAGGTATGAACTTTTGACAACTCCGGGCAGTGGATCTAGACGGAAAGAGCATAGCCAAATAGCCGGTATTACCATGCTTTTCGACAATCTCTTCTGCAAATGCTGCGATTTGTTTATGAATGAAGAAGCTTGGTCACGCGACTAATGTTAGTATCTATGTACGGCAGGAGTGACGAGAAGATGGAACAAGACGCACCGTGGGTAGCCAGTCGTCATTTTGCTCACCACTCTTGAATCACCCTCCTCGTAGCCAACGTTGTCTCTCCATGTTGGAAGAGATACACTTGTGGCCTGAATCATCGATGCAAGTCAGTTTGTGACTTGTTGACTCATAAAATATTAATACTGAGGGGAGGATTGAGATGGATGGAAATAGAAATACAAATTGAGAGAGAAAGGGAGAACTTACATGAGCAGTGAGGGGTGGTATAGACTCTCCAAGTTCAACAATCGACATGGTGAGGAAAAAGAAACGAGGTGAGCAATTAGTGTAGCTGGTTGCTTTTTTAACGATACTGTTCTTCGAAAAATACAAAATACCCCGCCGTCCTCCCCTCCCCTGTCTTGCGTGATCCGATAACGGCAACTACGGCAAGTCCGATAACAGTCCGATAAGAACCCGCCCCGCCCCGCCGCTCAAACCACATTTACCTTGGCGAAAAACAAAAATTCTTTGGAAGCGCGGAGTGGTGTTGTGTGGGAAGATTTCGGATCCATCTGCCATACTTCTACCAAAGTCTCCCCCTTTTACTATGTCGCATATCCCTTCGAAAAGACGGAAGCTGGACCATGAAATATCAGACGAAAGCGACGAATCGCCCAATTCCCCATCAAATGAGCTCCATTCGGCATTTCAGGATTCCGACGAAGAAGTCTTAGACGTTCATGCGCCAGCCACCACGGCAAAGCAGGCACAACCACAACCACATTCGCAGCCCAAGCGGGCGAAAGATGATGATGAAAGCGCCTTATATGCAGTGGGGCTTTACAAGTCCAGCATGTTCAAGCTCCAGGTCGATGAAATGCTGGCAGAAGTCCGCCCAAACTATGGGAAAAGGTTCACCGGCGCAGATGATGCTTTGCGCCAGTTGAAGAGTGTGATAGAAGCCATTGAAGATCGAGAAGCACTCTCTGTAAGTACTGTACCCTCCATGAAATATGCCGTGCTAACTTTAAACAAACAGGTTATCGATGCTACAAAACTTCTCCAAAAGTCTCATAAGGTCACAATTCCCTTTCCGGATCCCAAGCCTGACAAGAATGCTGCCTATAAGTTAGCATATGCAAAACCTTCCAACATAAACATCGTTGGGAGCTACGCACTGAAGGCTATGGTGAAAGCGGATTCTGTGTTGTCTATTGATATGGTCATTGTTATGCCAGAGTCAATATTTCAAGAGAAAGACTATTTGAATTACCGCTACTTCTATAAGCGTTCGTATTACTTGGCTTGTCTTGTTGCCGGTATCCAGGAGACCCTAAAGGACCAGTTTTCACTGGATTTTGAATATCTCAATGGGAACACCCTTCATCCAATCTTAGTAGCCAAGCCCAAGTCAAGTGAGTGCTGAAAGTCGATATTTCGGCGGAGTGCATGCTAACATCACAACTCAGACAAGGAGAAATCGCCATTAAACTATAGGATTAATATCATCCCTGCTGCTCCTCAGACTCTTTTTTCAGAATCGAAACTACGTCCAACAAAGAACGCAGTCCGGCCAAAAGAAAACGCAGGAACTGAAACAACACTTCCACCAACCCCATTTTATAACGCCTCTTTACGGTCGGATGCCAACTTTGAGGCGTATCTCAAACTCCTTTATTCTGCATCGAGACAATCAGCCGGGTTTGTGGACGCCTGTCTTCTTGGCCGTATCTGGCTCCGGCAAAGAGGGTTTGGAAGTGATGTCTCCGAGGGAGGCTTTGGTCATTTCGAATGGGCCTCCTTTACTGCTCTCTTATTGAAAGGCGGTGGTTCGAAGGGCCATAGTGTTCTTTCTCCAGGATACAGCAGCTACCAAACATTCAAGGCTGTTGTCCAATTTCTGTCAACTACCGATTTGACTAGCAAACCCTTGATTTATGAATCACCGGACTTTTCAGGTACCAAGTCAGACGTTCCAGTGTTTTATGATGGACCAAGAGGGCAGAACATACTATATAAAATGACGCCATGGTCATATGCGCTCTTGCGAGATGAAGCCAAAGCTTCTCTAGATATGCTAAACGACGCAGCCTTCGATCAGTTTGAGTCAACTTTCATATTGAGAACGTCACAGCCTCTTCAAAGATATGATTGCATCCTGAGTCTTCCTGTACCAGCAAAGACTTTTGATTCACCCACTTGCGATCACGTTTCTCAGGTCACCAGGTTTAGTCTTCGTCTTTTCGATGTCCTCCGAGAAGGTTTGTCCGATAGGGTAAAACTTATTGACGTTAAATCTTCGAAATCTTCCTCTTGGTCTACCAAGTCATCTGGCCCAACCCTACCTGGACAGTCATTGCTAGTTTCTGTTGTTTTTGATCCAGCAAACATTGACCGCTTGGTTGATCATGGACCAGCTGCTGAAGAAAAGAGGAAGGCAGCAAAATTCCAGAAGTTCTGGGGCGAGAAAGCGGAGCTAAGGCGGTTCAAGGATGGTAGCATTCTTGAGAGTTTGGTTTGGAAAACAGGATCAACCTACTCTATCTTCCAGGACATCGTCTCTTACCTGCTTAAACGCCATTTTGATGAAGAGGTAAGCCTAGGCCTTAGATTAATTGGGGAGAGTTTTGATAAAGCTCTGCCATCTTCGGCAGCCAGCTCAAAGCTTTTTGAGACCCTCAAGCAGGCTTACAATACCTTTGAGAAAAATGTGAGAGATCTCGAGGGCCTTCCGCTGCAGTTGCGGCAGCTTTCGGCAATTAGCCCGCAGCTTCGAAATTCATCTATCGATCCACCATCTTTCAGTCCGCAAAGGCCATTGAAGACGCCTGCGGCTGTGTTGATTCAATTTGAAGGATCCGGAAGATGGCCGGACGATATCGTAGCTATCCAACGGACGAAGATAGCCTTTTTGCTCAAGATCGGAAGCCTTCTTCAAGATGCTGATGCTAGCATTACAACTCGAGTGGGTCTTGAGAACGAAGATCGAAAACTGCAGAATTGTTCTTTTCTGGATGTGATATACGAATCTGGGGCTGTGTTTCGACTTCGGATTCACAATGACCGAGAGCAGACTCTACTGGAGCGGCTAGTCAAGGACAAGTCTACGGATCCCCGAACTCGAGAAGATGCTGTTGCGGCATCTTCTCTTTACAAGAGAAATTTCATCCAACTTCCTCTTCTCAATCAATCCATTTCCACTCACTGCACCCGGTTTCCACTGTTGTCACCAACAATCCGGTTGGTGAAGCTATGGTTCGATCGACATATGCTCTCAGGGCATGTTAGCGAGGAGCTCATAGAACTCATCGTTGCGAGTATTTTCCTGCAGCCATACCCGTGGCGAGCTCCTTCATCTGTAATGACGGGCTTCTTGAGAACACTGATGTTCATCACGAGATGGGATTGGCGCCTCGTGCCCCTGATTGTTGACTTCACTGGAACAATGACAAGCAAGGACGTGTCTTCAATCAACACCAGATTGGAAGCGTGGCGAAAGATTGACCCGGGCATGAATCGAACAGTCCTCTTCGCTGCATCAAACCACGATACAACTGGTGTGGCATTTACCGACAAGGGGCCATCAAGAATGGCTGCTGCCCGTATGACGGCTCTAGCTGTATCTGCTTATAAACTAGTCAAGGACAAAGGTGTCGAATTGGATCAGCGATCACTTTTCGCGACATCCACAGCTGATTATGATTTTGTGGTTCATATCTCACCAAGGTTTGCCGCTGATCAAAAAAGAAAGGAGGCTTCCAAACACAAGTTCAAGAATTTAGAAGTACAATCCGAAGCGAATCTGGAACTCGTTGGCTATAATCCTGTACAGCTCTACCTCAGCGAGCTCGAAAAGCTTTACGCAAACAGCGTTGTGTTCTTCCATAGTGAAGTTTCAGGCTCCGTCATTGCAGGGTTATGGAATCCACAGCACGTGGTTCCTCATTCGTTCAAGGTGAACATGACATATGCTACGAATATATCTGGAGATCCGGAGGAGGGGAAAATCGGGATCGACAAATCGGCGATACTGTTGGAGATCGCAAGGCTAGGAGGAGACATGGTGTCACGCATTGAAGTTAATCGATAGATACCCACGAGAATAAAATTTATGTCCACACAGCCTACTTTCTGGTTTAATGAGTTAAGGGTATCCTAAGCTTCGCGTTCGATGAAGAGAATGGTAGGTGATCCTAAGAGTGCGAGTGCACTTGCGAGCTCTTTCTAATTTAGTGAAAAAGGCAATGCATACCAATAGTATCTTGGCATCTGATCTATTGATGCAATAATTTTGAAGCAGAGACCTATAGTTTATTCGCTTGAAGAATCACTGAACCCATGAGTTAATAAGGGTTGTGCCTGCTATAAGTATGAAAGAAAAGGTCGTCGTAGATTATACACAACCATTTAATGTTCATCGAGACCAAACACTCACCCGAGATGGTGACAAATGTACCCAAGCAGTCGCAAGACTTCGGCACGTAAGCCTCCAAAGCACCTTTTTGCTCTCGAAGCTAACCAGACGACCATCAGGGACCTAGGATTAAGCATAGTGGACACCTTCGCCGGCAAAGAAGAGCGGTTCGGTTTCACGTCCACAAAAACATTATTTGCGCCCGCGTTCCCTATTTTAAAAATATGTTCTGCGGTCAATTAATTCTTCGAACCGCAGCAGCAGTTCGCGGCGATTCCTAAGGAGGGTCCCACCACGTTTGGACTCCTCATAGAGTGGGTCTATGCCAAGGGGAGGCTCTGTCCGCTGGATATTTCGAAGGATCCCTCAAGAGGAGGCACGCTTGTGGATCGTATCAGGTTGTATTGGTAAGTCATGCGGGACCTTTCTTCTCAAAGTCAATTTTGTTGATGACTTTCTAGCTTCAGGGAGAGAATCTGCCGGATTATGCTTCCGGATTATCTCATGACGAACCTAGTATTCAAATCTCCTTCTAGACTGATGAAAATGATCCACGATTATTCATTATTCCCCTGCATTTTATGTCTCATAACTCATACTCCCAATTTGTCTCCTTCTTACACCATCTTCATATTCCAATTTCACAATATCTTTGAGATCCTAGGCGCAAGGTTATCTTGCTCAACATAGCGAACACAGAAACAGAGCGCAAGTTATTACGTACATTCGGCATGTAAGTTATGAGAAAGTTCAACTTACGCGTTAAAGACCCTACACAATAAGCTTTTAGAGCAGGTGGGCTTGTCTTTGGCACCATGAAATTCACATTGGGAAGTAAAGTGATTGGTCTTGACGCAACAAGGAGTATTTACAAGGACGCTATCGCACCGCACCTTCCATGTCTTTATATATATATTTCCCTAAACTTGCCCTTATCATGTACTTGAACCTCAAATACATTCTTAAGAAAGTTAATAGACAGCACCACAGGAATATTGTGTGAACTATGCTCACTTTTGCCTTGTAGGTTCTATTACCTTTCTTCCGTATGTAATTCTTGGCTTTTTTTTTCAGCTGCCCCTCCCCTTCCCCCCAAAACATCTGACTTATTCAAGTAAAGAAGTACTTATACCCTTTCCGGAATCATAGGCTAATGCTCACGCTATATTCTGGTATGACTCTTGGTTATGAGGTGGTGGATATATTTATTGGCCCAGAGAAGCAGAAATTCAACGTCCAGTAAGTAAATCCAGACGTTTTTCATCTTAGTTAACGACTCTCCACTCAACGATGTTTCAGCCGTGCAAGGTTCCCATCGGCATTACCGAAAAGTATTGCTGACTCCTTCTTCTACAGTAAGAAGCTGCTCTGTTCCCACTCTGCTTACTTCAAAGGGATGTTTCGGGGAGGATTCACGGAGGGCCAAGAAGACGCAGCCACGCTTCCCGAGGAAGACCCCATCATATTCCGCCTTTTTCCAGAGTGGCTATATAAGATCGTCTCTCCAAGATGGATCTCGAGATCAACACGGAGACGGCCGGGCCCTTTATGGACCACATCAAATTGTACCAATATGCCGTCAAGATGTGCCTACCTCAACTGCAAGACTTCACAATGTCGAACCTGATGAACAACCTGGAGTTTCACAATACGCAGCCGAGCTTTAGAGCGATCATGGTACCTTACGAGAGCACGCCTGTTGGATCACCGCACCGACAATTAATGGCCAGGACCCTTCTAGAACGCCTGGGAACTGGGACTGAAGAGTCTGCTTATTCGACAAGGCTTGCTACGAATGAGATTATGTGCAACGCGGATTTGGTATGCGATGTAATCCGGCTGATTGGAGAGAGGAATGCACACGGAAGCAGAGACCCAAGCTTCCTGGTGCGGTCTTGGGCAGCTAAGACGCATTTGGAGATACGGACTAGTTGTCAGAATAGAACACGCTGGTATTAGACTATACAAATTAGTAGCTAGGCTTGGGTCTAGCAAGGCAGAGCAATAATACAATGCTTTAATAGATTCCAATACTCATACCATAGAGAATTTATTAGCCGCTGGCGAAATTCGAAATGCAGTTCTACTTGCACAAGCTGTACTCCTCTAAACCTCATATCCGTGTCCACAAAGCTCTGGAACTTCCAAGTCTCGTGAGGCAGCTATCTATTATCCACTATAAGTATGTCGAGAAGCTCAAGTTCTATGTCCTATAAATGACGAGTCGGAATTCCAGCCAGCTACTCTCCAAAGCTTGCTAGTGGGATTAATCGAACAGGAAGGAAAATATATTGTTTAACCGAACCAAGCGTCATCAAGCATGGAAAACGCAAAGTATATCAATAGTACCCCAAAGTCTGTCTGTCAGCCTGTGCATATAATAAAAAGGAAATCTTTGCATGGTAGAACCTTAAAGCCGATTAGCACGAGACTGCTCCATGTTGCCGTAGCGCATCCAAGTATTCCAATAAGGGCATATTGCTGCTTAGCTGCTTAGCCAGAGGAGGTATCGGTATCAATAGGATACTTACTTGTATTATGAATATGGGTTCCCAACCCTTTCTGGAGAACCACACCTGCCTTATAGCCAATAGAAAACAAAGAGTCGCACTAGCTCGTCCTTCACATTTAGCATACATGTACAATTTCGCCAGGAACATTGTTTGCTGCAAGCAGGCAAGAGATCCGCAAGCCAATTTGAAAGTTCACGCGAAAAAGCACGGAAAGAACAGATTATAATTCGAAGGATTTCATGATTCATAGATCAGGTGGCCTTCCAGCGCTTGCCTCCACCCTTCCGCCAAAGCCATGTAGCTTCTACAGCATAGACCTTGCTTCCTTGATGACCTCCCTCGGCATTGGCAGCCTCTTCTAAAGTCTCGATAATCTTCCCTTCCTCCACGCACTTCCATAATCCTTTGGCTATCTCGCTATCCTCATACCCAAGCTCTCCTCTACCCAATCTGTATAGCAATCGACCCAAAGTCTGAAACGCAATACATCGCTGCGCAGGATAGGCAGATCTGGCAAGTCTTGCTAATTCTGGGACGGTATACCCTGCCGCTTCTGGGGCTTCGCCGTGATGATGTAGACCTTTTGTGCTAGGCATTGCTCTTGAGATTCGGGGTGGCAGTAGACCGCCCCTGAAATCAAAGCGGAGTGCAGATGCTGCGAGAGCTTCATGGGCTGGATAGTAAGGGGATTCTTGGTCTACTACAGAGCCATGTGTTGGTAATGGTGCCATCCATGCGAGTTTCGAAGGATCGGCTGGAAGGTTTGGGAAGTACTTGGTATGAAGGTTTTCAAGGAATGAGGGGTCGGAGGGGTCGAGATCGGGGGCAGATGGAGCGTTGGGGAAATGTACTGCTGGTTCCATATTGTGGATAGGTTCAGTTGGGGGATTCGAGGCCGGTTGAAGAGCTATGGGTTGTGTGGGTTCCTCCTCTTCAAACCTCACAGACTTTGGTGCTATAACTGGTTTACCAGTAGTCGTGGGGGCTGGAACAGCATCTTTGTCATCTTGTGGTACTGCCGGCTTTTCATTCTCGATGCTCGAGGAAGGTGCTTCGATCCCAGTATCGCCACGCCCGTCATCTAGATTTGCTCGCTTCAAAAGTCTTTGTATTAAAGAGGGATTCAGCCCGGCTAACAACTCTTGTCTCTCTTCATCTATTTCCTCAGACGACATCATCTCTAATTTCTTCTTGTTCTCCTCATCGATACGCCGGCGTTCAGTCTCATCGGCGCTGGGATCTAGAGCAACTCCGCCTGTCGCTGGTTGAGGCGATTGTGAAGTAGGCAGGCCGAATGCATTATCCGTATCTCCACTCGGCGACTTTGTAGATCCACCTCTCTGCTGTTTGAAGGCAGATATCCTCGTCCTCTTCTTATGCTCTGGAAATCCAGTAGGAGTACTCTTAAGTTTGGGGGCGGAAGGTGGGGCAGTTGAACGTTCTTTGATGTCGCCGATAAAGGCAGATGACAGGGAAGGAATGGCGTTTTGTGGAATTCTAGAGGCTAGCCCAGATTCATCCTCGTCGTCGGAGAAGTCAAGGGTAAACCGCTGGCCTTTTAAATCCATGGTTGATGTTGATGATAGATCGAGGGCGGATGATGTTGACAATTTGTTGCAGTCTTGCCTTGTCAGGAATTTAAGGTTTAGCGTGAGTTATTAGCGTGCCTCGGCTAAATGCAATGTCCTTGCTAGCGTTAACCAGCAGTAAGCAGCCTCAAAGCTCAAAGACATCCACTTTCTTTCCTAGTAATCGCATTAATTGACGTATATGACGAAGCAACATTCTTCCGCGTGAAGGGAATAGATGAGGTTGTCTGAATACTCATTGCGTGAGTACTTGACAAACTGCCTACCTTAGACTACTCGTCCAAAATAGACTCCGTATGTGAGACATAAAGATGTGATGTTCAATTCCCGACGGAACATGGTATTCGTATATTGCACGCCCATAATCATGTTGTCTCCCGAGTCTCATGCTCTTGAGTACATGTTAATTGCATGGAGTCTCTTATAAAAATGGGTTTAGCTGACTGAGCTAAGAGCTAGTCTAGTCAACAACTCCGAAGTATCAGTATCAGCTTGGCGCGTGCAGGGGTGAGGCATGGCATCATCTAAAAGAAGATTCGATATGCCCTTCCACCAGCTCTGATATGATTGGTCCAACCAGGCTTTTTGTAAAGACACTTTCATTACTGTACCCTTTTAGATAAGGGGGACCAGACCAGGTGGCCAGGAGTCCAGGACCGGCAGTCAGGTCTAAATCCCATGCGGTATGCGGTTCGGCTTTCTCACTCGCTCCATACTCGCTCCATACTCCCTCCATAGTCCCTCCATAGTCCCCTTCCTTCACCCCAAAAGTAAACTGCAGCCACACTCACTCACTCGTCTGAGTGCTCTCTCTCTCTCTCTCTCTCTCTCTCTCTCTCTCTCTCCCCTTCCCCTTGTTTCTTTCTTTCTCTGCTTCCCTCCTGGTGCTTGTCCCCCGCCCCACCGTATCGTATCGTATCGTACCTGCTGTTCCAGGTCCCCTCTCCTTCTTCCCATGCCTTACTGTACGGTCGTAGTCGTAGTGCCACTGGTTCCAGTGTGAATAATTAGATGTCGCTTGACAGATTGCAACGCTTAGCCCGTAATTATTGGCGCATTCATATGCTCAATTTGAAGCTGACTTGTAACCCAACCCTCTCGCAATCCTGCACTTTTACATCTTTACAACTTCACCACTTTTTACTTACATATCCACGTCTTCATCAATCTCTAATGCAATCCCATCCAACGCGACCCCAGACTTACTGCAAATAAATCCGACAATTCCCCTCTTCTCATCGCCCTGCTCAAGGCACCGTCACCACTGCATGCACTCGCAGCCAGGCCAGAATTCGCTATTTGCGTCGTCGTGTCGTTTTTGAAGGTATTCAGAAGTCGCAGCGATCGGGCGTTTGTCGTCACGTTTCGCCCAACAAGTCAGTCAGTCAGTCCCCATCGGAAAGCACTGCAGCACCTGCAGACTTTGAAACATTCCTCGGAGGCCCCCCAAACGCCCAATAATAAATCGGTGAACCTCGACCTTTCTTCACGAGCTTTTATCGAACATGCCTTCTTCTCCAGATGGCCATGGTGGTGTTGCTGTTCGACCTGTCTCGCCTGCCCAATTTAGTTCGGCCTCTGGCCTGTCATCCCCACCAGGCTCCAGTCCCGAACCTGGCTCGCCATCAGCACAATTTGCAAACGAATTGTCGACGCATCAAAATTCCAGCATCACGGTCAATCCTCCTGGTGGTGTTGATGGTCCTTCGGCAAGGAAACCCGAAGTTGTTGTGGCACAACCACCCGCTCGGAAAAAACCCGGTAGGAAGCCGAAAGTCTCGCTCCCTCTCCCTGCAGACAGTTCAGCGACAAATACAGACCAAACCGCCGCACCCAAGACCCGGAAACCCAGAAAACCAAGAGATCCCAATGCACCAGTTCGCAGGCGCAAAAATCAATCTACTGAACCTGTTCATGCACCTGAGATCAATGCGGCTCCCGGCCCGCCGCCGAGGCAGCCCCCACAACCGACCGTTGTGGGGCCCGTCCCTAGCAACAATGTAAATGTTCGCCCCGATCCTGTACCTTCCCAAAACGGCAAAAGTGAAGATATACAACGCCCTATCAATAGCTTCTTCACGTCGGGCCCACCTCCACCACGACAACAGCCATATCAGCACCAACAACCGCTGCCACAAACTATGCCGCAAACTCTGCGAAGCAGCAGTAGTGGCCAAAATTACGATCCCATTAGGTCGAATTACGATCATGTCCGAGAAACCGTTGTCACTCACCCTCCACCTCCGTATAATGCCCAAGGCTCGCCGAGTCAATCTCATTCTATGAACCGCGCAAGCGCTTCGCCCTCTATTTCCAGTCTGGTCGATCCTCCAAATCAATCATTGACTTCACCATCAATTGCAGCACAGTCCTTCTTCAATCAACAACAAAGACTGCACCATGAAGGTCATGCCTCTGTTCCTCCTTCTCCGACCGTAACTAGGCTGGCGCCTGGAGCGGCCATTGAATCATCACCCAAACCTCCTGCTCCTGCTAGCATGGCCCCAAGAAAGTCGGACTCAAATCAGGTTACATTGAGTTCTTCAGCCATGTCAAAGAAAAACTCTACAGGCGCAGGCAGTACCGCTACATCTTCAGCTGCTGCATCTCCTAAACCACCTAAAGCTAAAGAAGGCAAGGATGTCTACCCCACCCCCCCTCCTCTTCCAGGTTCTGGTTTGATGCAACTTGGAGGTATGGGCGGTGCTCCTGGAGATGGTACTGAATTCCGTGCTCCAACGGTCATTTTGAACATCCCCATGAATGGCGAGGTCAACAAGATTATCAACTTCACGCGTATGGCAGAGGACAGATACGGATGGGATGCTCTTCACCCACGTCTTGCTGCTCAAAGGGACCGACTTGCACGCGTAGCTGCGGCAGGTGCAGCATTAGAGCGAAATGGTTCTGGAAGAGATAGTGGTGATGATATGTCACTTGACTCAGACGCCGAGGGCAGTAATGTCGAAATGGGTGGCATGAGTGATGGGCGAACAGGTACTGACGGAGGAGCCAAGAAGATACCCCGCAAGAGAAAGATGAAAGAGGATGATTATGACAAGGATGATGGATTTGTTGACGACACCGAGTTGCTTTGGGAGGAACAGGCTGCTGCTGCTACTGATGGTTTCTTCGTTTACTCTGGTCCTCTGGTTCCAGAGGGTGATAAAGCCCCAGTTGAATTGAGGTATGTTTCAATCCCTTTATTTAAAAGTCCTGTTTACTAACATCTCTAGCAGACCTGATGGCCTACCAAAGCGGGGGAGAGGTAGTCGTGGCGGCCGTGGTGGAGCGCGTGGTGTGGGCTCCCGAGGAGGTGCTGCCGCTGCCGCCGCCCACGCGATCCAAGCTTCTGCCAACATCAATCCCAGAACTGGTCTACCATTATCAGGCCCTGGTTCTCGAGGTGGATCTACAACTCGCAAACCCCGCATTACCAAAGCAGACCGAGAGCGTATGCTACAAGAGAAACTTGAGAGAGAAAAGATGGGTACTATGGCAACGATGCCCGCTGGGTATGGTGGAATGGCTCTTGCGAGTGCTGCAAATATGGGAGGCACTCCCATGGTTTTCAACTCTTGAGATTGGAGCTATTGGACGGATATACAACTTGTGAAAGTACTTTCTTCCTTTGTGTGCAAGGTTGGCGTTCAGCAGAGGCATATGGAGGTAGTTGATTCTACTTACCTACCTCGGTGTACACTATTTGATGTTTCGTTGCTGCATACAATGCGAGGTATCGCAGCGTCTAGAGAATAGCAGACAAGGAACAAATATGAGAATTACAAAACTACTATTACTAGATTTGAAAGCAGTACCTACTGAATTTTGCTCTCCCAATGCTTCATCCTAGACTCTCCCAAGATCTATTTAATGTAAGATAGCCCCATTAAGCTTAAATTCTATAAACAGTATATTTTTCAGATTTGGTTCACCAATGGTTGCGATGTCCCGATACCGGTAAATCCATGGTTAAAGCAGCGCTAAGTTCGTCACTCGTCACTGTACAAAAGCTTCACAGAAACATTATCTCATCCCACCACTTAAACTCACATCTATACATTCTCGCAATGGCGGCCGCACAGCAGGCCAGCGTGCCCGAAAAGGTAAAAGAAAGGCCCAGTGCTTTACGTTCAATCATTGCTGGGTCTACAGCTGGAGCTGTTGAAATAGGTATTTTCTCACTATTTCAAGTTAGACAATGCTGGAGCTTTGCTAATTGCTTCTTATAGCCATCACCTACCCCGCGGAATGTATGTATATCATTTATACCTAAGATTAGACTTCTGCTATGCGAAGCTGCCTAGTAATCAAGGAATTGGAGCGCAATAGACTGACGATCCGCCACCACAGTTGCGAAGACAAGGACACAATTGAACCGCAGATTAGCAGACTCTGCAAAGCTGCCATGGCCACCGTTTGGCAGTGCGTGGTATGCAGGATGCACGACTCTGATTATTGGGAATTCATTGAAAGCTGGAATTCGTACGTTCCCCTCCGCCGTGAACGCAAGTATACAGGGTGCTAATAGCCGTGGTGTGAACAGGATTCGTAGCCTTCGACCAATACAAAGCTTTGTTACAAGATGCAGACGGCAAAATCTCTGGTCCCAGGACGGTCATTGCAGGTTTTGGAGCAGGAGTCACGGAGTCATTGCTTGCGGTTACGCCATTTGAAAGTATCAAGACTACATTGTAACCACCCCCTCTTCCCCAGGAAATTACAATGCTGATACTATATAGAATCGACGATAGAAAGTCGCCCAATCCCCGCATGCGCGGTTTCCTTCACGCCGTCCCTATCATCGCCCGCGAGCGCGGCCTCAGAGGATTCTTCCAAGGTTTCGTACCTACAACCGCTCGACAAGCAGCTAACAGCGCAACTCGTTTCGGCTCCTACACTTTCCTACGCCAATTGGCGCAATCATACACTGCCCCAGGAGAAAAGTTAGGCGCTATGGCTACCTTTGGGATTGGTGGTGTTGCGGGGTTGATTACGGTGTATGTGACGCAGCCGCTTGATACCGTTAAGACAAGGATGCAAAGTATCGAGGCCAAGAAGTTGTATAAGAATAGCTTTGCCTGCGCAGCTCAAATTGCGAAGAATGAGGGGATGTTGACGTTTTGGAGTGGTGCGTTGCCTAGGTTGGTGAGACTGGTGTTGAGTGGCGGGATTGTGTTTACAATGTATGAGAAGAGTATTGATTTGATGGATAAGTTGGATCCGGAGAAGAAATATATTTGAGGCCGCTGGGATGTGAAATACAGTTGTATAGTAGGCCTCATTTGGGCTGTAATAGCAGGGCGTTCCGGAGTTAACAGGTAGAGAAAGAGCTGAACAGAAAGTCTTGACTTCTCATTCTATATTTTGATTCCTAATTCCAATTTAAACGCCACTTGCCAGTATGTACAATATTGATACAAATTGATCTGTAGGTTATTCCATTGCTCTTGTTTTGTTCATTTGAATCGTAAAAAGCCCTTCCATCTGTTTGTCATATTTCCCCACCACGTCCTGTTCGGCACGGCATCCAACTCATGAATCAGGTCGGTATAATGTGTTGGATTACTCTGCGGCTTCATCAAGTCTCCAGTGATTCGATACTATTCAAACAAAAAAGCATTAGTCAATGACATGTTCATTACGGTCTTGCAGAAGAAAAAGCCATACTTTTTGAACATATCGATTTCCCAGCAACGAATACAAAGCATTGACTTGCTCCAACTCGGCCTTCTCATCCGCAGGCTTTTGTCCCTCCACAGGGAAGAAGCGCTTGTCTACGCGCCGCCGTATAACATCTTGGAACTGGCAGTCGGGTCGAAGAGCATCCTTTGGCCAGTGGGAGAGGGCTCGGATGTAGTGTTTGTATGCTACCTGGTTTTCAATGACTATTAGTAAAAGGGCATGGACGTCTATGCATACAAGCGACTTACGGACGAAGACATCACGAATTAATTGTTTCAAAGAGGAAGCTTCTTTTACGTTTTCTGGCAAAGAAAGTGTTGACGTGCATTATGATCACAGTATGAGTACAGGGGTCTACTAGATGAATCAATGCACCGCGCCCGCCTCAAACTCCGCGCGCTAAGACGTACGACACTGCGGCGACCTCCTGACTGACAAACTACCTACACCTTCACCACCACCACTTTCCTTTCACTTCTACACGTCCTACTTCTTCTTCTGTCCCTCTTCTTGATACCCAGACTCTTTCCGAGTCATCTCTGCCATAATCTGCTTTTCTTTGTCTTTTCTCACACTCCACGATGAGTTCACAACGATATGAAAGGGTATGTATCGCTCAGCCAAGCCTCGCCACGCAATCGTCTCAGGCCGGCCTCCCACGAAGATGACAATAATGCTAACAGATGGTCTACAGGTATCTGCAAATGATGAAGATACTCTCCATAGCCCCATAGTACCGACCTCGCCTCCCCCATCCTTCCGATCGCGAGCCTCTTCTCCCACTTCACGACACCTGGCAAGCGAATCCCACCCGACCGCTGTTGACCAAAACCTCGCCGATACTTTCGATGCGGATGGATCGGATAGCGAGGAGGAGAATGATGGGGACGATAGACAGCGATTAATGCGCGGGCAGCCTACTGCTACTGCGGGACAAACCACTCTAGTATCGACATCTGCGGCTGAAACACGGCCGCCCGTCATAGAACGGAGGGCGACGATCTTACCAGTCTTTGCCCCAACACCTACAACTGGGAGAGTATACGGTGGTGGATCGGGGTCTGATGGGGTATTCGCGAATCTGAGCGCTAAGCCAGATGCTGGGAGTGAGAAGGAGGAACATCCACCCGTAAGCTCCATACATGTATTTATGAAAGAATCATGCTAACTTAAATCAGACATACGAACAAGCAGCCGCAGACGCCGCACCTCCATACTGGGAAACGACCATCCTCGCTCCAGGCCTCGGCGGACCTGATGAAGTCTACGTCGAAGGCCTCCCCGTTGGCTCTGTCTTCTCGTTCATCTGGAACGGCATGATTTCCATGTCCTTCCAATTCGTCGGCTTTCTCCTCACCTACCTCCTACACACCACACACGCAGCCAAAAACGGTTCACGTGCCGGTCTAGGCATCACTCTTGTGCAGTACGGGTTCTGGATGAAAGGCACAGGTAGCGGGTCTGCTCCGCCTGCGAATGGTGCGGATCCCAATTATTCGCAGCCGCCAGATCCAAATAGCCACGACTTTGATCCCAACCAGGTGCAAGCTGGTGCTGGGGGAATGGACAACACGGCGTCGTCTGGAGGCATTGGCGCTATTGCTAGTAGCGAATGGATGGCGTATATCCTGATGATAGTCGGATGGTTCATCCTGATCAGAGCCGTGAGCGATTTCTTAAAGGCGAGGAGGCACGAGCAGTTGGTGTTGCAGAGTCCAGATCGGGGCCTGAATATACCTATAATTGCCACTGGAGAGGAAGCCGAGACCGTCGTCTGATGCGGTTGTCGGATATGTTGGAGTTTTGGCATGGAGCAGCGCGTTCTTTTAGCAAGTAGGCAGACATCGAATTACTATTTAGTACTCAGGCTTGGCTGGTTCAATGTTGACCGTTTGGGATGTTCGAGTTGGGATTATGGAATTCTAAGTCATGGTCCTGGATATCTTTACAACATATATAACTATCTACTACCTGCTTTCCTTAACTTTGAAGTGAGAATACTGTACAGTTGTTGCATCCTGTGCATATGATTCCTAAACTCTAGGATATCAGTAGCTAGTAGCTTCTCGGTCCCTTTTCAGCTTCTCAATTCGTTCCATATCCTCTATAGTACCATCCATAGCTAGAACCCCTTCAATCCCCTCCTCTCCTCTCCTCTCAGCCCCATAATCTACAGGTCATCTAACCCCCCAACTCAGATCACCAACCAGCGTACTGTAGTAACACACACCATTCTTGTCGTCTTGTACGCTATTCTCTCTATTTCCCAATACATGATAGCTGGATTCTGGACTCTGAGTCTTATTATTCATTCCCTTGTCTTCTGCAACATGTTTAATAGTAAGGTATAACCATTGATTGGAATGAGAGGAATTTTTTGGTGTTGGTGTTTTGATAGCTGCTGCCTAGCTAGATCGCGAATGCGTGGCACTGTACTGGGGTGGATGTTGCGTTGCTGTGGTACGTGTGTAGGTAGACATTGCGTTGAATTTCTGGGTGTGTTAGGGGGTAATTTGAGATATATGCGATTGCGGACTCTGTGTTAGAAGGAGGGGGGAGACGAAAGTAGTGGGGGAAGCTAGGGAAGGAATGGTGATGCATAGGTATGTTCAGTTGGTTATGAGTTTGACTGAATGAGGGTAGAGTGAGTGCGTTCCGATGGTTCTTGATGATTTCTTGGCATTGGTGTGTAGCGCTGGATATACAGAAACAGGTAAGAGTATTGAATAGCTTTCCAATAGTTGCTCAAGACAGCCTCCAAAGTTCATTCCTTTCCTGCTATCTCTTCTGATTAAGCAAGGGTTAAGATTTGGAAGACTATGATATCAATACCTCGATGATCGAACCCAGCATTGTCGTTGTCAAAAGTCTAAGTAAACCTGCAGGCCGATTGACGGCCTAGGAGTTCCAGGATATGGCTGATGACAGGAGCGCTTCCTACTTGTTGCGAACTCGCGGGAGGAGAATGAAGGCACTCTTATGTTATCGTTGCCAGTCTTCACGCTGCTTGTAGCAGCAGTATCTGGAGCTTGAACTGACAAGCCCTGATTCCGCATTCGACCTTGCCATCTGGAAGCAGACGGACTGGGAGAAGAAAGCCACGTGAGGAAGACAATATGGCAAGAATTGCACTGTTAACAGGCTTCATCCACGCTCATGGTTTCGCCAGAAAGGAACTCGCACTTGATAATCGTAGTGGTATTCGTAAAGTTGGCCGTTCATGGCAAAGGCTCAGTGCGCAACCCACTCGTTAGCATTGATTGTAGACATCGGCCTGTTATAGGCATGACGCTTTCATTCTTGTTGTCAAACCATGTGGCGAAGGTAGATTTGTTAGTAGAGCCTGGGGTCACAGGTACCACAAGACTCAGAACACCAGCACTCACTGCCAAGTCCTTGGATATCAATTTGATGGAGCGTGGAAGTCTGTGTCAAAAAAAAAAAAAAAAGGCTGACTGTGAAGCTAGAAGAGCTGATGGTAGATGTGGCAGCAGAATCGAGAAACTGTGCGGTTTAATGGGCAAACCCGCACTCGGAATCGCCGTAGAAGAACAAAGGTGAAGTAGCACATGCGATAGAAATCGAAGTGGCAATAAAAGTCACAACGCCGCTGTGGGTTGGCCCACTTGCAAGCTGAGACGTAGCCGTCCGCACTGGTACAGTATCGGAAGCTGCTGTGGTTTATGTTGAGCAGTTCGTTATCGTGACACTGCTTGATGTGATGATCGCGCAGAATGAAGATACAATGGAGAAGGCGGGAGGAGAAAGGCAAGAGAACAAGGCATAGAGGTAAGTATAAGTTTTTCATGAGCCACCCGAGTCTATAGAATTCATAATACCAGCTTGTGGGACCTCCTTGCTTCCTGAGCAGAATGCATGTCCCAGCAGTGAAGAGACTAGCAAGTTGCCATAATTTCAAGCTCTTGAGAGCATTTATACCGAAAAAAATAAAGTAATTCAAGACACTTGCTACCTATATATCCCATGTTTCGTCGCCTTTTTAGACACACCCACGGGTCCTAAGTCAGTTATATATTTCCCGAATTCAGCCGCCATGAAAGTCTAGAAAGCAGCAAAAATTACTCGATGTGCATCTGGAACACCAAGAATCATATAAATCAGGCTTAAAGTCACCCAGCCGCTCTGATTTCAGGTGACCCGTGCCCGCTAAGTGCTCCATTGCTACAGTTTTGTTGTTACACGGTACCATCGCCTTCATGCATCTGATGATAGTCCTAGAACTCCGCGATAGTGACATGAGGAATACAGATATCAAATTATTGTTAACCCTTCAGGCACCAAAGAGTAGGCTTCGTATGGAGCTGTACCTGCGTGCTTAATTCACATGGCATGAAGATATCCAACCAGCAGCTAAATGTATGCAGCAAACGAGTGGCCTTGAAATACAGCGCTGAAAGAGAAAATGGTGTTGGATGTGAGGGGCCGACCAACTATGGTCAAGGCGCTGCCTAATATACTTGTTGTGCAGAGTAGGATCGATACTTGAAGCAATGTATGACGGATGTACCTTCAAAGTTCGGCTTTCAACAGCTAGACAAGACTCACTTTATATACGTGTTTTAAAGAGGTTGAGAGTGAACTTTGTATCTGAATATATCGCTTTTGATGTTTAGAGAAGGACGTTCGAGGGAGAGTTCCATTTCAAGAAGTGGGGGTTGACTAGCGCGCCAAGCTGAACCTCTCATCCCCCGCAATTCCACCCTGATGGTCCTTTTGTCCTCATAGTAGCCTTCTAATTGTCATGTAAAATATGGAACTTCGAAGATCATTGTAAATTCCGTCATCTCAACCCATAGTTACCCAGTTCGACGAGAACAAAAGACAAATTGCCGTTCCTAACACCCCTCTTCCGCTTCCTCGGAGCAAGCACAATGGCCTGGCGCTGCTCGGGAAAGACGAATGTGGAGTTGATTGATAACTTGTTTAAGAATGGGTTGATTACGAGTGCGAGGATTAGGGATGCTATGATGAAGGTAGTGCACCCTTTCTCCTGCGTGTTGCTTTATGATTTGAAACTGGATAGAGGGAGAAAGAGAAAGTCTGACAGCAATGCCAGGTTGACCGAGCACACTACTGCCCCTCCCCTTCTTACGCATACGAAGACTCCCCCCAATCCATCGGCCACGCAGCTACCATCTCCGCGCCGCATATGCACGCCTCAGCATGCGAATCTCTCTTACCGTTTCTCAAACCTGGCTCAAGAGTGTTGGATATTGGCTCCGGCTCTGGATATCTCACAGCTGTACTTGCTGAGTTGGTACGAGATGGTGGGAAGGGAGGAAGAGTTGTGGGACTGGAGCATATCAAGGCTTTGAAGGAGTTGGGGGAAGGCAATATGGAGAAGAGTGAGAGGGGGATGGAGATGATGAGTACTGGGTTGGTGGAGTTTGTTGTTGGGGATGGCAGGAAAGGGCTGAAGGACGAGGAAGGTTGGGATGCTATTCATGTAGGTGCAGCAGCGGTGGAGTTGCACGAGGAGTTGATTGAACAGCTGAGGAGTCCTGGACGGTAAGTCAGGGTCTGGTATTGGCAGTAACGAGAGCTGACTGCGAGGGGTAGGATATTCATTCCTGTCGAGGATTCAGATGGTTATGGTGACCAGCACATTTGGACTGTTGATAAGGATGCAAAGGGGGCGGTTACGAAGAAGAAGCTTTATGGGGTGAGATACGTGCCGTTGACAGATGCACCATTGACTTGAGTGTGGGCACAAATTCGTCTGAGACTGTGTCTGCAGTGAACATGAGGCATATGGTGTATATCGCTGGTGATAGTAAGGGAAGTACACACGGCTCAGTCTAGCACGGATTGGGAAGCTATTCGGACATGGGATTTATACTGCATGGTAATTCGATGTCGACTTGCAATTCTGCATCTCTACATCGACAGCGGCACATGCGATGACATGTTTCAAGGGTACAGGAGTTAGTAAATGCCGGTATTTCGGAAGTCACAATCGGAAAGCGAGCGCCTCTTCGATAGACTGCCACAGGTGCGTGCTACAAGACAAGCAAATGACCAGAAACAATTGCCGGTGCGTAAGGGTCTTAAGACAGACCACAACCAATGGGGCGAAAGAGGAATAGGGTTTTATAAATCCCACTTTTTCGGTAATGGGAATTTGGATACTTCACGTAGTACTCGATGCAAGTATTCTCGTCTCAGATGTGCGCTAGTGGCTGACGCCCTGGAAATCGTCTCCTCTTCCTCGGGAGGTCTATGGAGGGGAGAGGGGAGGTCTATGGAGGTCAAAGCTTCTGAAGACGAATACGAAAGCATAGCATAGCATAGCATAGCATAGCATAGCATAGCATAGCATAGCATAGCAGTAGGCAGGTATTAGGTAGGTACCTAGGTACCTGAAGGACATTGAGATAATATTAGTGTAGCTAGGTATATTTGAAAATAGAAGTACATAAAAGTACATGAGAGTCCTCCGTACAAGCGGAGGCTATATCTCCACTGCTTCTCCAGTCAGGGTTCTACGTACGTACTGTACAGGATGGCGTGTCGGTTATCTCACAGATCGACGCTAGAATCTCGGTTGCAGCAGGGGTCCGACCATCGTGATCACAAAGCCTGTTGAGGCCTGTTGAGGCTAGACCGTCGTCGGCTTTGTCATCCAGTAGTTTGCCACCCTTCCACCCCGCCCATCGCCTTTTGCCCTCCCACCGTCATGCGACCATGGCATTCTTGGAATCCGCATGCAGGCTGGTGAAAGAGAACGTGCCGCTTTAATTTGGAATTACGGAGGTATTAAGGTTTGCGTAAGGTAGGCCAGACCCTTTGCTTGAGAGCCTGAGCTTGAGCTGGAGCTGAGCTTGTCTATCTATTAAGAGACGTGCTCTCCGCTACCCTTTGGTCTTTGTTTCTCTTCCCAATTAATTGTTTGTCCCTACTCACCTGCTTACCCTCTACTCAGAGTACGATACTATTAATTTGCAATTCTTCTTGCAATTCCTCTAGACCAATGCCATCATCCATTGTCTCTTCTTGCCGTTCCCTTTTTCTTCTCGTCCGATCATTCAGACTCGCTTGTTGACTTCGATCCGCGAGTGTTTGAAGAGTTGCCGACCATCGCGGCAAACCACCAAACAAACCAAGCCCCTTTATACCTCCACCTCCTCCTCCGCGCCGCTCATTCCTTTCATAACACGAAACGCGGCAAGTGCGAACTCGCCATTGTTCTTGTTATCTCTCGTCTCCCTTCTTGTAAGATTCCAGACCACCCCACCGACCAAGCAGTCCTTCTCGAATCGCGCGACTAGAGCTATTTCCCCCCACAATCAACGTCATTAGCCTACTAAACAACCAAAATACTGGACCCTAAATCGGTCTCGAATCACCCCGCATTATTTATCATCGGACCTTTTTAAGTCCCCTCCGCACTATATAGGGACCCCTTCCCACAGGACCCTCTTCCATAGTATGCCTCCAACGAGGACAATGCCACCCGCCAAAGCTATCAAGGTATGTCACTCTGCTTATAATCAATCATCAACTCTAACATCTCTAGACCGAGAGAACCCACGAAGAGAATCAGGAGCGAGCGTATATCGCTGCATCACGAAGGAGCGACAGAAGTCTAGAGGCCCGTGTGGAATCTGCGAGAAGAGCTTCAGAAATACACAAGAGGCGAACGGGTCGCTCACTGCGTGTCACCGAGCAAGATGTCATCAATGAGGAGATGTACGAAGAGGAGGATGACGACCTTCCTTCCCAGTACAGACGGCTCACGGCCCATCTTCACACAGGATCTGTCGACTTCAATAAGCGCTTGTCCGCGTACTTGACGAGTAACGTTGCCATGAGGAGTGCAGTGGAGCAAGCTGTCAACAATTCCTATGATCAGCAGTACGGTCGTGGGCAGCAATTCGGCCAAAGTCCAATGTTCCCTTCACCAATGCTCGCCCACCAAGCGCAGCAGTTGAGGCAGCAACAACAACAGACCTCTACCTCCCACCGACAATCCCCATACCCTTCAGCTAGGCCACAGCAAGATAGTCGATCCAGTCACCAGCGGTCAGCTTCGATAGCCATTCCGCAGGATATATCTAGAAACTTCTCTCACAACATTACGGGTCAATCAAACGGTGATCGGCGCTTGTCTCTGCCTGCTGTAACGGCAAAATCGGATTCGCCATCCGAACCACCAACTCCAACTCTCGCTTCAAGCTCCAGGTCAAGGCCTTCATTTCCACCAGGTTCCTTTTCTTCGCAGCAAACCGCACAGCAGAAATCAATTTCCTCGTCCACGTACGACAACAACAGCAATAACAACGTGGGCTCTTTCACTAGTGGTCAGAATTATGGGCCTTTCAGCAGTACACTTCCAGCCGAACAACAAATAATGCTTGGATCTACAATGAACGATCCTTATATGCATATGCTGATGAATGGGAGTGATAACCAGTCTGACAACAGTTGGAATTTTGATGCTGAATTGCAAAGCACATCAGACACAGTAAAGCAGCCGCAGACATTTCCGAGCTTCGATGGTTTACACTCCACACTCGCGCCATCCGCTTTCAATCAAACTGATGTCAATCAGAGTTTCTTTGACGATGCCCTCAAAATTGGCAACGGCAACGAAACTCTCACTGGTACCCCAGGAATCAACGGTGAGAGCTGGGGAAGCTTCATCGACACCGACCAGTGGGACATCCCCACTGCATCACAGCAGTCACAGACTTCCACATAGTAAAACTGCTCCAGCTTGTACATGACCAGACATTCCCACTTCTGGCTTTATAAGGTTGGTATTCAATGATACCAATAACATCAGGGCACGGCGCTGCGCGTACTAGACTTACCAGGGAAAGGCTAGACGCGACCAGATATTGCATTTTATGTTGCACACTCTCCACACCAATTATTGACTCACTCACTTGATACCGTCCAGTTTGTAGTCACGCTTCAGTATTTTTTAAGAGGCGAAACTTGAGTACGCATTTGTTTTTGAAGCCACTTTAGCAGGCTTTGGACTTTTTTCTGATACGGGTGGGTGAGAATGAAGATGAGGGAGACATGAGTGGATTGCAAAGGATATGATGATTGGTTTGAGAGTATATAGGGGAGGTGGATGTGTAGCTACTAAAAGCTACGATGAAAAGCTACGATGAATATCATGAAATAGTGTGTCAACAAGTACATTACCAAATAATCACTTTCGTTTTGTGACCTCATATTCCCCCCAACATTGGCCGGAGCAGGAGAATGATAATAGGACCTTCCCTTCCGTTAGCAGCTTCAAAAATGTTTACTCAATCTATTGCCACTGCCATTACCATTACCATTACCATTACCATTACCTAGTGGCCGCTTTTATCATTGGACCCGAGCGAAAAGGCCGCAATGACCCACCACCATGATATCAGCATACAATACAAGCTAGAAACTAGGTAGGTAGAGGCTACTCGTAGAATGCAACGGGCGGGTTCTTAAATCGTCATCCCAAACTAGAGATCCGGTAAATAGGAACCCGGCCGGCCCTTTACCCGAATAAGCAAGTGCTGGGTAGGTAGGTGGTTTGCTAGAGGACACTAAGGTAGGTCGGTAGGTAAAGATAATAGCTAGGTCTCGTCCAGTGACGTGGGGGGTTTTTTGGGTAGTGGTGGAGGTGGAGGTGGAGGTGGTATATAATTCATATCCGAGGTAATTGTTGAGTAGAGGTAATGGGCAGATAGATACGAATGCTACGTCTCATGTTGAGGTTGGGAATGGAGTGGAGGATACGGTGGAAGGAAGGAAGGAAGCGGTGATAGGTTTATGCGAATCCGGTGATGTGATTTGATTCTTGTTTTCCTTCTACATCTTGTATATTGTCGCGGAAAAGGGAGAGGGGAAGGGAATCGTTGTCATTCAGTTGGTGCATGCTTTATTAGATTCTCTTTAATTTTGAGATGTATTATGTGTTGTGTTTACTTGGTACAGAATTCAAGCCCTCGCGAGTGCTCAAGCTCTGCACCCATGCAATGTAGTCGCATTCTTATTCTCCTGTTTACTACTTTGGTGTGAGAGAGGGTTTAGGGGTGTTATATAGATCTAGAAGAACCTTTTGCCTAAGTCTTGATTCTGAGCTGAGGAAGAAGGTGATGGTCGCGCTTGCCGTTTTGATGGGATCGTTGGGTTGAGCTTGGCTAGGTGGGGGGAAGGCGAATGCAAGTCGACCGAAGTGAACGTTTTTGTTCAGGATGGAGCTTAGATGTTTTGAATGCTCTTTGGCTTCGAAGTTATATTTCTAGGACTCTACATGGTGGGAGTTTGCTGCGTCTTATAATGTTATTTTGGGAATCCACCTTTATACATCATCTCCCTGCTTAAACCAGACGTCAACTATACTGTGATGCATTATATAGACACATGCTCCCTATTCTAGACAATGAACAATCTACTCCAATCTTGGAAGGCCATATCTATTTAGCTGAGATCCATCTTCTCGGATTTCGATTTCGCGCCCTCTGTATCTTTCTGATCTACTTCTGTAGAAGGATCTTCAACTTTCCTCATCAGATATGCAATCATCCCCCACACCACTTGCATAGCATCCACTCTCTCCTTTGCTATGAACAAATCATACCACTTACTCCTCCACATATTCATCCTCCCCCAATCCTCTTGCTCATTACCGTCGAGGGTGCTCAACAGCTTGTCCGGGACCCTGACTCTGACAATAGAGACATGGTGGTTCAATGAGCTGACCAGGAAGATGTCATCATACCCTTGCCCAACAGCCTTCCCAATAGACGAATACCTCGCTTTCCGATCCCACGTAGAGGACGGCGGCAGCATCTTCCTATAACTATCATAGATTTGAAAATTTATCCCCTCCTTTCCCTTCTTACTGCGTTTATTCGGACTCGGGCCATTGATACCACCAATAGCTCTCTTCGCCTCAGCAGCAACACCTTTTTCCTCTCCCACAATCTTCTCAGGGACCGTGCCGCCGACAACAGCACCCAGGTCATCGACTTTGTCAGCCTCCTTCCCCATAGCCCCACCTGGCCCACCACCCCATCGCGGTTTCGTGGTCCACCATTTCCCTTCCCCAAAGCGTTTCTCCGTCTTGCCTTCGCGAGCACGCTGCTGCGCCGTAAGCAAGACTGCGATAACCTCTCTGGCGAGATCAAGTTGGGATTCGGCTTCTGTTGCAAACACGGTGCTGTTGCGGCAAGATACTGCTGCGACGGGACCCTCTATGATTCCGGATCTCGCAGCTGCTCGATCGGTGGGGGTGCGATAGACGAAGGTCGCCGAGGAGTTGAAGTAAGTGGGGGGCGAGGAGGATGTTGGTGGGGGGTTGATGTGTAGACGTGGCTCGGTACGAGGGAAGGAGACGTTGCAGCCGAAGTCGTAGGAGATGAGCTTGATGAAGGCCGTGAGGAGGTGTTGCCTGTAGTCTGGAGGGAGCTGGGCACCTGATCCGGTCCGTTGGTGGGTTTTCAAGTGGCGGGGTACTTGGTCTTCAACAGCATCAGACGTCGACTCGGGTTTGGGAGGTAGCGAAGTGTCATCCCAGTATCCGGTGAAGAATTCTAGGTTCTTGAAGAACTCATATGCATTACCCAAGCGTACAGCCGCTTCTCCTGATGGGGGAGAGATGCGCCTGACGGTACGGAAGGCTGCGGTATTGTCTATCAAGAGCTCGTTTTGACGCTCTCGGTATGTCTGGGCTCCGGGCGAGAGGTTGCCGTTATTAAGGAGCTTTTTACTTGCATTGTTGGCTTCTTGTAGATTATCTGTACTGATAGCATTCCATTCCTCGACCGGTGGTAAGAAGCCAGCCTCTGGGATTATGTCTTCCGGGGAAGAATCAGGTATCACGTGAAGCCCGAGCGCTTCGAAGTGAGCGAGCTTGATATCTGCTGGCCGGTGGATTTTCTGTAGCAGGGCAACCAGTGGTGTGCCTGTTCCTGAAGAAAATGGAAGCTGATCTCCCGCTTGTGGCGTACATTGGGGAAATCCGACAGGTGTCTGTGGTGGGATTGTCCTTGGTCCGTCTCGGGGCGTTGGAGTTTTTAGAGCAGCTGTGTAACGAGTGAGAAGGGTGTTCGAAGCCAAGACCTGAAGAACAAAATGAAAAGCAATTTGACAGTATCACTTGAGGGATGACCATTACGATGGTGGTCGATCAACAAGCAGGCGCCCAAAGGCATGACTTGAAATGAATCAACAGCCATGTGCCATGATCTCGGTGCCAGCGAACTGGCCCATGTCGTGAGAGGAATAAGACTGCCCAATGGGATATCCGAAGATGAAGCCATACAATATGAAACAACATAACATACCTATTGCTCCTATACCGGCAAACATGTTGCCCCCTAACGTGACCTAACCTCCACCGCGGCGTGGCGGGCCTCCTGCAAAAGACGAGATGAGTAATCATGTGAAGCTATGATAGCACAGCAGATAGCTAGACGGGAGGGAGAGACAGGCGAAGGAAATGTTATGGGAGCCTTACGGATTGGCTTCTAGTGGTGAAGGGCTGGGCGACAAGGAAGGAAGGTAAGGAAGGAGGAGGAGCTACTGGCTGGATGGATGGATGGATGAGTAGTGTAGTAGCTGCCGTGTCGTGTCTTGCATCTACTGTACTGTGCGACACACACCAGGTGTAACTCTCTGCCGGCTAAATGCAGACAAGTCGCTTCCTTCCCTTTCTCACTGTTGAACATTTACAGTGTAGTGTAGTGCAGTGCAGTGAAGTGCAATATGATACAGGCTGTCCGTGCGCAACTACTGTACGTACCTGGCCTGGCCTGGCTGGGTACCTACAGTACGTATTCGACGTATTCCCGGCAACAACTCACCCGCCGTGCCCGTGCGTGCCCGTCCATCCGTCAAAGCGGCACGTCCCACTCACTATCCTTGGCATGAGGTTGAGAATCTTAACATTTATTACATTGAAACTTTCAGATGCCGGCGACAATAACAATGCTGAAGTACTGTAAGTACGTAACTATTGTAGGTGCCATTACTCACTGGCTGCACATTGTGAGAGAAACGAAATGCCAAGAGAATGTCTGGCAATGGTGGAGATGTTTGAAGCAAGAAGGCTCCGAGCAATAACTTTACCTGCAGTCTTTCTCTTTTCCACTATCCATTTTTGTCGACACCCAGCAACGCAATCATGAGGCTATGGCAATTATCCACCGTTGGAACTTCAAACCGGTCAATTCTTTAATACCTGCCTAACAATGGCAATACGAGACACTCTACCGGTGGTGATGTTTCCGTGAGTGTGGCCTGAGCCGCCGACATGAGCGAGCTGGAGGATCCCCCGCTTTTCTCCAACACATACATCTCTTTCAGTGCCCCCGCCAACACGTCTTTCCGCCTTCCTTTCACGCGCAAGCATTCTACGTGTAAAGTGCTTGCAGAATGTTTCCTACCAAGTCTCTACTGTCCTGTACGGCATCTTTGATTATTAGCTCTAGTTGTACCTGTCCTGTACTGTGCATGTTTGCTGGGTGCATGTTGATGTCGTATGTCAAGCCGAGCCTCACCTCACACTGACCCCTGAACTGAAAACGTGCTTCACGCTCTGTATCAGACAGGGGGCTGCAACATCCAAAACCCCTCCAATCGACCCCTCCAGCCAAATACCCGACCTCGACTCTCCATCTTCTGTATACTGTGACCCACTCCATACTCTCGTCAGGGCGCGCGTGTTTGAGCCATGGAGATCATGGATTTTCCACATCTCAGTTGGCCATGCCATTCTTCTCTCCGCTTTGTTTTGTGGAATTGTTCTTCTTCTTGCAAACAACATCAATATCATGAATGAGGCATAGCTTGACGGCCTGGGAGCCCTTTCACAATTACACCTTGACGGTTGAATTTTATCTTCTTTCCAGCGACTGGTGTCGCCATTTCTTACCTTCATTATGTCGACGAGCGCGAACCTGCCGGCAGGATTTTCCATTACTTCAATTAATGGCATACGATGTACAGCAGTCCCAAGATCTCTCACAACGCTTTCAGGAAGCGCCGCGACAGCTGCCTCTTCCTTAGAAGCAGCAACTTCTTCAACAAGTACGAGTACGAGTACGACCGCGACTGCGACTGCGACTACGCAAACATCTACCCCAATAACCTCAACAACCAGTACTCAGACACAAAATACACCGGATGTTGTGTCCTCAAGCATTGCTTCCTCCACCACTGTTATCGCAGCGGTTGTATCAAGCGATCTTATTCAAGTTACACCTACCACAGCAGCAACGACCGCGCCACCAGCAGTTACGAATACCACTACTCCCGTAGCACAAGCGAGTGCAGTAGTAATTCCAGATACAAGCACGAGTGAGAGTTCGGATTCAGTCACAAGTGCCGCGAGTACAGCCTCCAAAGGCACGGACCCGACAACATCTTCTAGTACCCCCATAGCTGTTGCTCAGAGCGAGGTTCGTTCCTCGGCGACGGCAACAACAGATCTCAATAGCAATAATGGATTTCAATCTCTTGCAATGTCAAAATCTGCGGCGACTATGACTTCTGCAGCCCCCAGCTCGTCAAAGTCTGCAACAGAAGGAGGGATAGCTACAACTCCCCGACTATCACCTGGTCCAGTTGTCGGGGGTGTATTAGGATCTATTGGTTTTATCGCGGGCGTGGCGCTACTGTTTTGGTTCTTGCGGAAAAGAAGGCGGGATCGAAACAGCTTACTCACACCTCTCACAACTGGAACTCGAAGCGAGTTTAACGAAAACGATGGTCGCTCTGGTGGGCGAAGAAACTTTGGCGAAACGTGGAGGTCGGATATGGGTTCACAAGGGGATAGGCTCAGGTCAGCGGCATCTAGGTTAAAGACAGGACTCCTTGGTATTGGGGTCTCCTTGAAGTCCAAAGTCGTGGGCGATCGGAGCGACAGGCCAGGTGTAAACCTAAATAGGGGGAACTCCCAGTTCCTCGATGGCCCAATTCCACAACATAGCCGGAATAATTCTGTGCTGTCGAATGGCGCAGGACCGCACACAGTCAAAGAACGCTTAGATGATTGGTGGGAGAGCTTCAGAGAAAAAGTCAAGTTCAGAAAGAACAACGAGCCAGCTGACCCCTTTGCCGCCGCCCGTGGCATGACAGAGAAACAAGCCAGTCTCAACAAACCTCCCGATTTCTCCCAGCTCTTAGGAATGGACGACCGAGAGCTACAAGTGCAAGCAGAGCGACGGCGAACGTCCTTCAAAACGCAATCAGGCTCCTCCCTACCCCCCTTGGGAAGCCTCGTTCTGAACTTCGGCGACAACCCCTTCGCTGATCCCATAACAGCAGCGACCACCACCACCACCAACTCCAACAAACAGAACCAAGCCTGGCGACCACCCAATCGTCAATCAGGCCGGCTCCGCACCAACTCCGACCCTTTCGCGGACCCCATCTCCCAACCCCAACCCTCAATGCCCAAACCAAACACCTACGTAGCCGACATCCGACGCTCTCGCGGGCAATCCGTCGACGCAACGAAAAAAGGACCATCCATGTACGGCCGCCCCCCCAGCACCAACCCAGCAACCTCACGCTACCCCTCCACCATCGCGCCCAGCAGAGACAGCTACCGCGACACCGTCTTCTCCTCCCTCTCGGCTAACGCGCGGAAAGGCAAGGGCCGATCCGACCCCTTTGATCTAGAGCGGCCTGAACTCTGGCGCACGAATGGCAATGGCAATGTGAATGTGTTAAGCAGCAATCGTGCCTCCTCGCGGCAACGCGGTGCCAGTATGGGTGCACGGGAGTCAGCGAATCTCTATCCCACCCCGCTGCGCACCTATGACCTGCCTACTCCCAGGGTCGTCAGCACAGCCACGTCTCGAGTCGTGAGCAACGAAACGTACATGTCAAAATACAGTAGCGGTATCGGTTCAGAGTGGGGTGACCCAGGACCTGATTTGGGCCCTGGGAGCGGGAACAGCAGTCTGAAGGGTAACGTGAGTTCCAGTTCTAGTGGTGGCAGCGCGCATGGGGTCCAAGGCCAAGGAATGTCTGGTACGAGTAGAGGGCAGGAGTTGGCGAGTCGGGGGGATGAGGATGTGAGTCCGGTTAGCTTTGAGAAGGGAGCTGGGATTGGGAATGGGAATGGAGTGGGCAAGGCAATGTGATTAAAAAAATAAGGTAGGTATCATGCATGGCTGGTTGAGGGGTTCATTCATGATTAATGACCCGGTAGTGTTTTTGGCGTAACGTTTGTTTGTTTGGTACTACTGTATGTTGGGTTTGCAGCGTTACTGTATTTGGAAGCAAAGCAAAAGGGGCTATGGTTTGGATGATATCTAGTTCAGGAGACCGGATTGGGATGGATAAACATATGAATGTAAGATCCAGAGTCTGTGTGGTATTTGTATTCTTGTAGTATGATAGAATGATATATACGAAATGAAGTGACTATATTTTCGCATTTGCAGATCATGAGTTGGGTATATTTTGTGGGATCTGAGTAGACATTGAGAGACCAAGCATTGCAAAATCAAATGTTCTATTGAATACGTTATGATATACCCACCATTTTATCTCTATCTTCATCTCCCTATGCTTCACTCCACGCTCACGCACCCAGATCAAATCATCTCATCATATTCTTAATCCTCATGAGCATGTTTTGCACCTGCCAAATACCAAAACTAGCGGAATCTACTACGCTTGAAGACCGCACATCCACAACTGCAAGCAGATTGGCCAAGTAGTCAAACATAAGACAGTCTAACTCTTAACCAAAAGACTGCTTCCAGTCATTTCTTCAGGCTGCTTCAAGCCCATAGCCTCGAGAATCGTGGGTGCGACATCGCCCAAAACACCGTCTTTCTTCTTCAGGGACCAGCCTTTAGGCGCATTGGCCATAATGAAGGGGACTAAATTGGTTGTGTGGGAGGTCTTGGGCTTGCCGTCTGGAAACTTCATTTCTTCGGCATTGCTATTTGTTGTCAGTATCTTGGATAACGTGCAAAGGAGTCTATGTACGAACCCGTGATCAGAAGTAATGAAAAGTAAGTAGCCTTCCTTCTTGCAGGTCTCGTAGATCTCTCCAATACCCTTGTCTGTTGCCGCAACCCCAACAATTGCAGCTTCATACACCCCGGTGTGGCCAACCATATCAGGTGGAGCAAAGTTGTTCATGACGAATTCGAATTTGCCCTCGGATATCCGCTTGCTGACTTGCTTTGCAACACCGGCGGCGCTCATCTCGGGAGCCTTGTCGTATGTTGCTACGCTCTTATTTGAGGGAACGAGATCTTGCTTTTCGTCTCGGGTTTCGAGGGGGAAGACCTTTTCAACGCCACCGTTGAAGAAGAATGTGACGTGGGCGTACTTCTCGGTCTCGGCGACGTGGACTTGGTTGACGCCTTGGCTCCCGAGAGTCTCGGCGAGAACGTTACCCATGTGTTGCGGCTTGAAGGCAATTGGGAAGGGATAATCGAGCTTGTATTGGGTCATAGTTGTGAGGGTGATGTTTTTGGGGTATGCGAAGTCCTCCAATGGAGAACGGTCGAAGTCTCCGAGCAATTGAGTGATTTCTCGTACACGGTCGGATCGATAGTTGAAGAAGAATACCTGGTCACCCTCTGCAGATATGTTAGACATTCCCACCAACTGAACAAGGGTATATTTACCTTTAATGCGAGATTCCTTTCCTCCGATAATGATAGGCTTCAAGAACTCGTCATTCTCGCCCTTCGCATATCTCTCATTGATAGTCTTGACGGGATCACTGCTCTCCTCACCATCACCGACACATATGGCGTTCAGCCCAACCTGCACTCTATCCCATCTCTTATCACGGTCCATGGCGTAATATCTGCCAACAACCGTGGCAACTTCACCAATACCAATCTCCTTGATCTTGTCCAAAAGGTTTTGCATGTATCCTGCCCCAGACTTCGGGTCGGTATCTCGGCCATCACCAAAGAAATGGATGTAGACGTGGGGCACTTCGATCTCCTTGGCAAGCTTGAGGAGAGCATAGAGATGATCTTGCTTTGCGTGCTGAACATCTTGTCAGCTACTTTCATGAAATTCAAGATTGAGTGAACATACGACACCACCATCAGAGATTAGTCCGCACAAGTGTAGACGGCCAGTTCCAGACTTGGCATCATTGAAAGACTTCATGATAACCTCATTCTTGTTGAGCTCGTTCTTCTTGATCGTCTGATCAATCCGGACCACATCCTGCCAAACAACACGTCCGGCACCAATGTTTAGGTGCCCGACTTCAGAATTTCCCATCAGCCCCTCCGGCAATCCAACGGCGAGGGAAGAAGCTTCAAGTTCAGTGTATCCATCTGCGTCTTTCTGGAAAGCGTCCATAACCGGTGTCTCGGCGGCAGCGATTGCATCTCCATTCTTGGGAGAAGATTCGCTGGGGACTCCCCAGCCATCAATAACAACTACGCCAAAGCATAACTATCAGCCATGAGGTTTCCAAGTACATCAAAATATAGAACATTGTAAGGATGTAGTCGGGTTTCTTCTTGGTCGTGTTTGGGTTCTGAGAGCTCGGCGAATTCATCGTCTTTTCAACCAGGTAGGAGAATCGATGCAAGTAAAAGTATACCGGTTGAAGTAGAACAGGAGATACGTAGCCAGATGTTGGATACATAAGAAAGGAGGTGAGGATACGTGGAAGGACGTACTTAATGCGGCTTTGTTCTGTACGGGCATTTTGGCGAATCTGCAGGGTATATCAGCGCCGGAGTATTGGTAGCACGGGAAATTGGGTGTAATGCAGATTGAAATCTTACTTACGAGAAGGTTGTTTGACCTTCAAAGATCAAAGTCTCAATTTCTCAGGTTCGTGGAGGAAGGGAATGATGTAAGATATGTACTGATTTATGGGGAGAGAAGAGCTTTGTTGAGCAGGTGGGGTGTTTTTGTTTTTCCCTCCAAAGTGACCTGAGTTCCATGGACCCCGCTCTCCGATAAGGAAGGACCGATCACTAATTTCTACTGTACCATCAACAACTTCATGTGCCTACCGAATTATCAGCAACGGAAGCTACGAAAAGCCGTCTTTGTTGCCCACAACACTTGACCACGATGGCGTCCCCTTCTCAAGCAACACCACAGCCGCTCATGAATCTTCTCCCAGACGGTCTCTCCCCCGACTCCATCGACACGCTCCCCGTCCTCTCAGCAGTACTAGCCCGCCTCCAAAAACCCTCTCCTTCCTCGACCTCTCCGCCAGCTACATCTCCTTCTCAAATAGCTTCCGGCACCGGCCCTCTTGAAATCAAAGATATACCCACCGCGACAGACGAGATTAAGCATAAACTACAGAAGGCTAGGATGCAGGTCAAGGACCTGCCGGATATGGATCGCAAAATTCAGGAACAAGAGGAGGAGATCGCGGAGTTAGAGGAGAAGGTTAGGAGGCAGAGGGAGGTGTTGGAGAGTTTGAGGGATGTTGGGGTTAAGGCGAAGGGTGAGAGGGAACAGAGGGAGAAGGAGGGTGAGGATGCTATGGACTTGAAAGGGTGATGCGAGCTGGATCTTGAATCACTTCTAAAGCACCTTATTGCAGAATGGCAGAAGAGGGCGTCTAAGCTGGAAGCTTGCTGAGCCTTGGACATGGCCCAGTCCATACTGACAAATGGGCGAATACGTCGCCAATCTGTCCAGCTTTACGTGCTCTTTGTAGATCGACCAGCTGAAACTGCGGGTTTGAGGCTACCATATCTGGGGATGAATCAACCATTCAGACCTTCTTGGTGCTCCTACCAAAGGAAATGGACTTAAATCCACCAATATAATACAGGCATAATTCCAACGCTGGAACATGCATCAGGTTGCATTTAGGGCAGAATTTAGTATACCAATCAACCCGTATTTCTTGCCCGTTGTTGATATTCCTTAAGGCCAATTTAGTCTTCACAATATACATGTGACATACGTTCTCATCGACCAGTAAGTCCAGTCTTTTTTAGAATATCGTCAAGACCAACTCCCGGTCCACCTGGAACAACTGTCACCCAAACATCTTCTTTGAGCCTCTGCTCTTCCGGTAAGATACTCCAGTTTGGACTGTGCTCGGCTTTGAGCCACTTGAAATCATCAACCTGATCCCATTGATTGACAACAGGCTCCGCGCCGATAACTTTCTGTAGAATAGTCAGCGTATTCAGGTATCCCAAACGGTTTCAATAGCTTACATGGCATTCTGGGATAGGAGAGAATCGAACATTGCTGCAGTCCTCAATAATGGGACGACTCGCACAATGTAGGTAGATATCTACATTCTTGCAATCATGCATTCTCACTTGCCTCGAAGCAACAACGATGATGCTATCCTCGACTCCAGTGATATGAGCAGCACCAGCCACTTGACCAGCAATTATCAGAGAATGTTTGATGTTCTTCAGTGCAAGACCAGCAAAAGGAGCACCATTCGCTGTAGGTACTGACATGTCGACAATGCATCTATTAAGCTTAGTCAAGGACCCAGAGGCAGTTGCGTGCGAGGCTGATGAGGGGAGAATGATATGGAGACCGGTGTGATTAGATATATTGACATTTGTTGCCTGCGAAAAGCTTGGCTTCCGAACTGGCCCGCCGCCAAGTTTCATGATTTCTTCATTGTAATTCTTCGGGAATGATGGAAGATCTCCAATAGTGTCCTTTGAATCAACCTCACTTGGTGGCGTGATAAGATTGGCTGGGGTCGTAGCCAGGGATGACTCGTTTGAAGAGCCAAGGCCTGACTTGTCACTAGGGTGTTCAATGTCCTTCTGGGCAGCTAATTCAGCTGCATCCTTGATAGATATAGCTGACTTATTTTTGTGCGTGGTCTTGAACTGGAACCTTGGCTTTGGCTCCAACCTTGCCCGAGTCTCTTGCAGCTTCTCTTGGAGAGCTTTGATGGCCTATAAAGTTAGCCTATACTAAACAACATCGATATCCTCCTTACTTGTGAATATATTCGCTGGTCATAAGCAGGAACTGATCCGGTGAGATCCGCGACCTCGTTCGTGAGCCTTGAAATTTCAGCCAGAAGATGATCAACAGCATCCTTTCTCTCGCCGCCGACCAAGGAGAGAGACTCTAGCTGAGCCATCTTCTCCTGTAGTTCTGAAGAAATTAGAATAGAATCTACACACAAAGAAAGACGTTTACCGGTGCATGCTTCTTGAAAGTATCTATAGAAACGGTCCTTCAAGTCAGATTGAGAGCCAGTACGGTCAAACTCTGGTATAGCAGCTTCCATCTTGATCAAGTAGCATGAATTGCTCCCTCTACTTGAACGAAGTAGTGATACGGATAAGAGGAACAACACTGAATTGTATTATGTTTCGAAGGACACAATGATATCTGAGGCGGTTTTAGTGCAAAGTAGTAGGGGTATTCTCTCTTTGGTGGTTGTTCTGGGGCCCCTTGAGTCTGTCGATAGCGAGGAAGTTTCTTGCGCTTGATGCCTTCTTCTTATTCTGAGGACCAGTCAACTTATCCAAGTGGCAGTGAGAGTCATGATGCACTGTTGCATGGTCACCTTGTCAGTTGCGGAATGACCTCTAAAAGTCATACCATTTGCTTGAGTACGCAATAGACTATGTTTGAAGTGCGGGGCAAATGGGGCAAATAACTTCTAACACGTGACTATACACATTTACAAGCTCTATGGAGGTATAGTAGCTCTAGAAGTTGTACTGGTCGATAAAGACAGGTTGTAAAAGGTGGTTACGGGTTTGATGAGAGGCGTATCCTTCAAAGTACCCAATCCCGCAGGCTTCTAATGAATATGCTGGAACGCTACCTTTACACATCATATCACCTATGAAGACCGGGGAACAAGGATAGAAAATGCCACAAAGGATCAAGCTGATTTTAGAATGCCAAATTTCGTATGTACAATACAAGTGAGTCAACGCCTGTCATTCCTTATGAGTGAGTTGACTTCGCTGGTACATCGATGCCATAGTTCTCCTTGATTCTCTCCTTCCTCCTCTCATCATATCCGGGAGGATATATGCCTGGAAATTTAAAGGTTAGCCGTAGAAGCTATACTGTTCGGGTGTGTTCATACCTCTCCCTTCCCCTAATTCTGCTACGGTCTGTTCGATCGGGACGCGACGATTCTTCCTCAAAAATTGTTTCCGCTCAAACTCGTCAATCTCTTTATCCTTCTTATATCCCGTAAGAGCTGCACCCGTGTAATGGTATGTTCCCATAACAACTGCTGTTAAAGCACCGAATCCCAAGACCGAAGGAGTTGTGCCACCTAATTGCCTGTTAGCCAGATCCACGCCAAATGCTTGTACATAGATCCTCACGCTTCAATCCCATCACAGCACCTGCAAAGAGTCCTCCAAGAGCAGGGTTCAAGCTATCGTCTTTCTCTCGTAGATTGGCGGCTGCGTTTTTTGTGAACTCGTAGGCTCCGCCCATAATAGCTATGCAACCGTTAGATTTACCCTACAGTTCCTAGACATTTGAGAGCCATACTGAAAACTACGATTGTGCTTCCGGTTCGTGTGAAGACACCCCAAGGTCCGTGGTTTCTCTTGGTCAAGGTATTCTGGACTGCGGAGATAAAGGCGCCCGCAGATCCTGTAATCATTGAGGCAGTAGCGGCCTCCTTGAGCGCATCCTTTGGATGGTATTGATCATCCCCGGATGCCATGGTGACCTATGCAGCAGAGGGAGATTGGAAAGAGTGTTGTATGGTATTGTTATTGTTGTCGTCGTCAAGTTTGAGGCTGGCTCGGCTGTTGAGCTCTAGGTATCGGAGCGTTGCTTTTTGTACCCGGCGCTAGCCTTATTTATACTTCCCCATATACCTAAGCAGATCAACTGTAAGAAACAGACTTGCGTAAGCTTTGTCACCAGCAAACGAAATCCTCAGATTCACTCGATCTTTTGTTGCCGGTATTGACCAACCCCTACCGAAATCTCCTAGCCTTCCAACTGCGTTGAGAGGTCCCAGAAAGAGCTACCGACTTGAGCTGTCACCAACAGAGCTCTTCGCTGGGCGAGAGCGGTGGAAGTGACGGTTCGGAGCTGGCAGATACCTGGGTTGTGATGGCGGGTTTCCAGGGACCTCGTGGACCAGGTGTGTCTATTTATACTGTCCTAGGACTGCCCAACGTGTGACCCAAACTAATAGATATGGTGCTCATAGGGAAGACTGCGCCAAGACTGATCGAAGATCTGCTCGACTATGACCCAAGATATCGAGCACAGAAGGACCAGCGGAACCTTCTTGCGGAAGATGCCCCTCACTTTCGCGAGTCTCAGGTTCCTGCCGTCCCACCAAGAAAGGGAGACTTCGACTGTCGGCACGAGCTTATGTTGAAGCAAGGCCAAACAGTTGCCCCGTTCTCTGCCGACGAAGACCCAGATGAGACAACGCAGTATGTGGTATCGACATATTGCTACGAATGTCGATGGTACTTCGATATCAGGGTGGATTATACACAGTGGAAAGAGAATTCGGTAGCTTGTCAGCTATCTGATTCTGAAAATCGACTGCACCATTTTCGACTCGTAGAGACGATCTACCCACCACAAGACGAGAACAAATATAAGTCTGTCGCCGAGATCCATAGCTTTGTGTGCTCGGGGGACCTCTGCCCATGTAAGGTTGAGATCAGGATAAGCCCCCCAAAACTTACGCCTAACCTCCTCGGCCTCATTCTCACTGCTTCAAAGGTCCACAACCGTGGAAGGAAAGAGATCGAAGCAGAGCCAGAGAGATATCCGGGCCTTGGACCGCTAGTACCACTCCAAGTGTTAGGATACCTTCGACAGTATCTTATTGATGCCCGGACCGGTCAGGCTAAACGGATCGCTAAACGGAATAAGAAGTACATGCTTGCATTTGGACCAGAATGTGAGCCCCTCTTCGAATACTTGGGTTTTACTTCCACAGAGGTGGAAAGTTCCGAACCAGGCGTAAGTGCTCCCCACCTATCTGACTACATAGCGCTATCAATTATACTAACATACTGCTTTCAGGAGGGTCCGAGCTACTTTTGGACTCTTCCCCAGACTACGGATGCTAACCGTGAATTTCTCGGGGATGTGGAGGTCGAGCTCCAATTGAAAATCAAAATGCGTCCAGAAAGTGAATATCAGGCTTCAGGAGCTTCGCGCATTGAACTCATGCCAGTAATAGCTCGAAAGGCTATCGAACGGAGCCTCCGATTTGTGGACTACCCCGTGACTGCAAGGTCAAGGACGGTAGATCTTTCAGTTCCTTCTCACCCACATTATGCCAGCCTAGGATCTTTACATGACTTTTCAGACGACTTGCTAACCTGGGCTTATGAACGCCAGTGTCAATGTGATCCGGAAAATAAACCATACTATCTGGACTGCTTGACAGGAATAGCCAACGGGCGAGAAAGTGCTGACTTGCAAACGAAAGTGGCTCTTGTCGAGTCAGCTGGCGAATATGGACAGCAAGCTATCGAGCAGGGTTACCATTACTTTGGCTTAGATTACAAGACACCGGAAGAAGATGATCACATCATGGGTCTCTACAAGTCGAGAATCGAATCAGCTCCACGTACAAAAGATGAATGCAAAAAGCATTTGCTTATTATCGCGAAAGCTAGGAATAGCGACAAGATTGCTGCACTTGCGAACGATAGGGCGATGACTTACGAGGAGGCTATGGATTTTTTGAATGTATCGACAGAGACCCCGCCAGATATGGTTCAGGCTTCGGCCGTTGCAATAGTATGTCCCCCTCTCATACCTATATATGACTAGACACCTGACTTGGAACAATAGGCCAGCGATGGAGATACAACTAAAGCCGCACGAGCAATGCGAGTCATTGCAAATAAGCGTAACGACTACCATTTGCAACAAGCAGCTACAGATATGGAATCTGGAACCACAACTAATATTTCCATTGATGAAGCATACCGTCGACTTCAGGTCAAAGACCGCACGGCCAAAGATGAGTTGGTCTTCATGTACTACCAAGAACTCACCAAGGATGTCGGGGCTGGGTCAAGGGATCACTATGCCGAGGCCTTACGTGCCATTGCTCTAGAAAGGTCCAGTACTTATCTATTTGCAAAGCTTGACGACCCAAATGCCATCGTAGCACCTGCCCGAAGCACGTCAGATCAGCCTATTGGTCTCGACAACATCGGCAATACATGCTATTTGAACAGTCTTCTACAGTACTACTACACCGTCAAGGCCATTAGGGATGTTGTGATGAATTTCCAAGACCATCGCATGCCTCTTGGCGAAGAAGATATCAAGAAGAAGAGAGTCGGTGGGCGAAGTGTCGCGAAGGCCGAGATTACCAAAGCCCAGAAGTGTAAGTAATAGTTACCGAAAGAAGCTGTTCAGGAGGCTAACAGGTTCTAGTCGTGGATGAACTACACAGCCTTTTCGAAAACCTCAAGACCGCGTCGACAAGTTCGATTAAGCCCACCAGGGACCTCGCGGAGCTGACACTCTTTAGCTCAGCTGCAGCCGCGAACTTCCGCCGAGCTTCCGTTAGTAGCCCCCGAGGAGTAAACATAGCAGCATCTTCATCCACATATCCTATATATGGCCCAGAGCCTCGCCCACAGACTTCGCCAGCGCGCTCTTCGACAGCTCCGGTCAAAGAAGACCTTGAAATGATCGACCATCCTGGTGACAAGAATCTGGAGAATGGCTCTGTAAGCAGCGAAGCAACCCTTGTGAATATGGATACTCTTCCTACCTACAATGAGGCGGTTAGGGGCGGTACAGAATCTTCTCCAACCACCGAGACAGGCGATGATGATCAACCAATGATTGTAGATGGTAAAGACTTGGAAGGGGATGCAATCATGCTCAACGGTGAGGATGGCGTCAATGGGGAGAAAGTGTCATCTGCTCCCGAAAAGCCACCGCCCGTACCGCCGCGAAACAAACAAGGACTTGTTGTTCAGATAAACGAAAGCAAGGAACAAATCTCTGATGATGATCTTTGGAGATTTGGCTCTCAACAAGATGTCACAGAGGTGATTGGAAACGTTATGTTCCGGTTGCAGTGTGCTATAAAACCAACAAGTATCGATGAACGATCGGGCGAGCAAATTGACATTATTCGAGACACCTTCTACGGTTCGAATGTGGTTTACTCTCAAAAGGCGCAGACACTCGAGAGAAAGGTAGAGGCTTTTGCAAGTCTCAATGTATTTCCAGCATTTTCAGGGCCCCGTGACATTTACGAAGCTCTCGATGTCTTTTTCGATGAGCAGTTCGTCCACATTGACAATACCCTTGTTCCGCAACACTCTTCTATCGATAAACTTCCCCCGATCCTACAAATACAAATCCAACGTACGCAATTCGACCAAGTCAAGCAACTCGCCTCTAAAAACCAGAATCCGGTCACGTTTCCCGAGACTATCTACCTCGATAGATACATGGACGCCGACCCAGAATCGTCTTTGATGCATCGCCGGCGTGACACATGGAAATGGAAATCAGAACTGAGAAAGCTCGAAGCTCGGCAGGAATCTCTGAAAGGCAAGAATTCGGAACTTGCAGTTCCTGATGCGCTGTTGGAAGCCAAGAACTTGGTTGTCGGCATTAAGGAGGAAAACTTGACTGGTATTCCCATTGAGCCCGGTCTCCCCGAAGCTATCGCAGAGCGGGCTGCCGAAATTGTCGAGGAGCTCGAGACTATCAACACGGCAATCGACAAACTCAAGCGTAGACTGAGCGAACAGTTCATGGACATGCATCAGTATGAATACAAACTTCAAACGGTTTTTATTCATCGCGGCGAGGCTGGAGGCGGACATTACTGGATATACATCTACGATTTCGAAAACGACATCTGGCGGAAATACAACGATGATCATGTGGACATCGTGAACGATCGGAAGGAGATCTTTGAACCTCATCAGATAGGTGGTGGAACGCCGTACTACCTTGCCTATGTGAGGAGTCAAGACAAGACAGATTTGGTCCAGGCTGTATATAGGGATGTCCCAGACGCGATGGATGTTACGGATACCTGGGCAGGCGAGATGGAAGACGAAGGAGTAGTGATGCAAGATGATGACAATAGAGGCGTGAGACATGTAGAGCATGTGAAGCCACGACCATTGAGGCCGAAGCCGCCTATTTCCGCCGTTCCTGATCAGGCCCCACTTAGTATATGGGAGGCTGTTCCCACCAACGGCGTGGACGCGAATGGAAAGCCTTGGTAGATGTGTATGAATATGTTGATGGTTCGGGAAAGAAAGTTCTCCAGGGGTCAATAGGGAGAGCAAGGAAGGATTATAGGGTGTTTTACACGTGCTGGACTTGGGGAATGAAATGGGCATGTGAAAACAAGCGATGATATCCACATTCCAATCTGGCTTTGTATTTTAATGAATGAGCTTTACGAAGAACAAGAACAGGGAAAGAAATATTCCTTACATAGCACATGGGAATTATGATGGATGCATATATAGTAATGCTAGTTACGAATTATGAATACATAGAATTGTGCTATAGTTGTCTATTTATTGTCCCTGTCTTGATTGAACTTCTCTGGTACATTATTTAATCTCGTAGCACTAGAAATAAATGGTTTAACAACTGCTGCGACCCTGGTAGTATAGCAATAATACCTGCGGTATTTTGAAATGGTCGTGAAGCTTACTTATAATACTAGCCGATTATTAAATATGAGAAGCTCGTAGGCCATCCGTGTACTCAGAGTATCTTTGTTATGATTCGTGTGCGAGATAGATGTTGCTTTGACATAGTCTGCGAGAAAGCTAGAGCCTTGATTGTGCTGCTTTTGAGGTTGCCTTGGAAGATGGACGATGAGTGGTAGCGGAGATGGTGATGTTAAGGTTCGGCGCTTTTCACTCTGTCTGGCTCCTGGTTGAATGGAACTTGCTATTTGAATAATATCCGCAGAATAGTATGCTTGCCGGAGACTTGTAAACTTCCACGCATGGACTCACTGTAATCTCGCATTGCCCCCCCCCGTGATGGAATCTTGTGAGTTATGGTCAACCAATTGGTTGACTCGGAGATTCCAATTTCCCATCATCGTGTGGAAGCTAGCATCAGCCCAAACAATGAGTGGGTTGGCCAATATGGAGCGTCAACTTTAACAACATTGGACTTGACGCAAGAAGAGACGATCACGTAAAACAAGAAATACGCATTATCGGAATGAAAGTTAGACATTTGGGTAGGAAATGTGAAGTTTTGGGGGTATTATAGAGGCCCCTCAACTCTTGTCTCCTGTCTCCAGTGCCGGAATTACTTCGTCAGTGAGACTCCAAAAAGCGCAACCCAGATATTTTCTAGCATAGTGGAGTCAGAGTTGCAATGAAGATTTAGGCAACAGTATAATAAATGCTGACTGGAAATATATGCAATAGGTGCAAGCATAGAAGGATGACAAGGTAGCGTAATGTCTCAGATATAAAGTTAAAGGCATGACAGAAATGCGGCAGCTCACAAAAGGGACCCGCATAAGCTCGGATTAATTTTGCTGACGTGGAAGAGAGGCACTCAACTTAAGCATAACGGTTAAAGATGACTGAAGCAAGTTTGCGGAGACTAGTGTGTACTATTTCGAACCTTGAGGCTGAACACTTGCAGGAGCAAGGAAGATTCTGGATGGCGAAGCTTGATCGTCGATGCAGGTTGAGCCACAGGGGAGGAGCACAGTTGTATCGGCAACCGCACAGGTCAAAGGGCGTTGATGGACAGAGCTGATAGCAATATAGCCGGAGTAATTGATCAATAAGAGGGCGGATGAGGGGATAAAGATTTTCCTTTCCAGCTTTGAGAAGAGCAGAGCATAGCCACGTCCCTTGTATAGGATAGAAATGTGGCTGCGGTAGAGGTAGACCGTCTCACTGGAGACGAAACGATGACGGCAGATCACCATTGCATGTTAAGCCTTTTGGTCCTTCAGCTCTACGTGTAACCTTTGTGTTAGTCTTGCATGAAAAATGAGAAGACTGCCAGTCAATGTGACTTCTTTGGATGGCTGTGCGAAATCGGCATGCCCTCAATTGGTGGGGTTGTGATGGCAGTATCCAATTGTGAACGTAGATATTGGCCTGCACATGTACAGGTAAGGTATACAGAAGAGGTTGTGCAGACTCGACGGTTTGATCCGCAAGTCTCTAGGTGTGGGTGAAATTATTGTAGCTCAAAACAGACCGTTGGTTCGGAACACTCGAGCATCAAAAAATAGCCGAAGTTTTGAAGGCTGTATGGCATAGCGCGGTGCAAAATTGACGGGCAGGCTGAAATGAGGAGCATAGAGTTATCCAGTAACGATATCAAGAAAACTCTTCTTTGTGGTGTTGTCCTTTTTCGACAAGGTTAGTTGCATATTCCACACGCATACCTCGGTAGGCGAGCAAGATTGAGGCCTTTGATAGGTCGGACTTAACGACAACGCAAGCTGGCGCAAGCCACAATCTTGATACCTCGGATACTCCGTCAAACCTACAGTAACCTCCGCGCTTCATGGCTATTGTACAACTGTTGTCATGCGTGCTACATTTTCCACAATCATTGTCACTTGTTCAGTGCGATATCTCGTTTGCGGCCGTCTCCGATTTGGGTTGTAGCGTAGAGCACAACAGCTCCGACTGCTGCGGTAATCTCCTGTAGATTAGAATTTTTGGGGCAGTAAATGGCATATTGGACTAATTTGAGAGAATAAATGGTCCAGTCCTCTGCAAGAGTTTCATGCTGAGAAGTGCTAGGTGACATGAATCTTTGCTTGACTCGGTTGCTGCTTGCTATGCCCCTTCTAGTTCCAATGCCATGTTGGATGATTGAGATGAGGAAGAAAGATAATAATGCGTGGGCAAGACAGTCTGACTAGTCCATCATCACAGTATAGCTCCGAGTAGTAGCGTTACTGTACTGTACCTGATTGCGTGCCTCATGGACCGGTACCAGAGTATTGGTAACTGACCCCTGTCTATAGCCTGACTAGGGATCTCCTTTTGGCTTTAGCCTTGCGAAGAGTGTCCACGTCTGGAAGTTAAGGAGACGCGTATCTAGTTTGGCCTGGGCTCGTCTTTTCACGCCCATGCGCAGGACAAGGATCCTTTACAGATCAGGTCAGGTCGACCAGGTTCTGATGGGTATAGGTAGGTATGTATTGGACGTGGACGTGGACGTGGATGCAAGGGTCAGTGACATGTGGCTTTTTGGGATATCAGCTGGGGTTTGGTTTGGTTTGTTTTGTTGTGCTGTGTCTTGCTGAGTAGTTGAAGAGTTGCAGAGTTGCAGAGGTTAATGTCATGGTCTGTTTAAGCGAGCCATCCTGGATAACATAACTCCGTCCGTAAGTCGCATCGTCGCTAACGTCTCCTCCTCTTTTACGGCACCACTCCGCTCCAACTTCTCACCCAGAGTCCAGACACCACCACCACCACTAAGTACCAGCCCCAGCAAAATAAGAGCTTTCTTGGCTTCACCCATCGTCAAATACATACAGCTACCCACCGACATACTCAGCCCTTCCTCTTTTAGCTCTCCCCCGGAGCCACAGAACACTACCTGACCGCCTATCTCCAAAACGTCCGCGCTAAAGTGATCCACGACATCACTGTCCAAGCTCTTTTTCCCCTCCCCTGCCCCACGTTTTCGTGGAAATTCGACAGACCACAAGCTATAAAGCTTCCTGTTGCTCCTGTTTGTTCAAGAGTTATCTCAGGATCAGGTCAGCATCTAGACAATACAGTCCCGAAGAGATTTGCAACGTCAGCCCGAAGCGCCCTTTGGCGTCAAGCTGATAACTAATACATACCCCCTCTACCCCCTCCTCCGTGGAAACATACCACGAGAAGATATGTCAGGTTACCCAGGATCTGGATACAACGGAGGATACGGAGGTCCACCTCCTCAGCAGTACCCACCCCAGCCAAACTACTACCCGTAGGATTCGAGGCTCCTCCATTCTTCGTATTAATGCTAATTATTCTAGTCCTCAGCAAAACTACGGACCTCCTCCTCCCCAGCAAGGAGGCTATGGCTACCAGCAACCTCCGCCGCCTCAACAGCCTTATGGCTACTCCCAACCTCCCCCACAGCAGTATGGCGGCTACAATGGTGTTCCGCCAAATGCCCCACAATATGGTAGACCTCGTATGTGACAGATTTGGGCACAGTTGGACTATTCGAAAAGCTAATTGTCTGCTAGCACCAATGCCTTCGGTGCACTCGAACGGTTATGTGAACGGCAACCATCAGGCCCCGCCTCCCCCTCCATCCGGCATGCAAAACTTCGGCCAGGGTGCACCACAAGGCTATGCTTTCCAGTATTCGGCGTGTACTGGAAAACGGAAGGCCCTGTTGATTGGGATCAACTATTTTGGACAAAGAGGGCAATTGCGAGGATGTATCAATGATGTGAAGAACATGTCGGCGTTTTTGCACGAGAATTTCGGTTACCAAAGAGACGATATGGTTCTCCTTACAGATGACCAGCAGAACCCAATGAGTCAACCTACGAAGCAGAACATATTAAGGGCAATGCACTGGCTGGTGAAGGACGCTCGTCCCAATGACTCTCTGTTCTTTCATTATTCAGGTAGGGCCCCTAATTTGTTTTCACCCTCATGGTTACAATTGTTAACATTATCACAGGTCACGGCGGCCAAACCAAAGACCTCGATGGCGACGAGGAGGATGGATATGATGAGGTTATCTACCCTGTAGACTTCAGACAGGTGGGACACATTGTCGATGATGAAATGCATAGAATCATGGTAACACAACTGCAACCCGGTGTGCGACTGACTGCAATCTTCGACTCCTGCCATTCCGGAACTGCTCTGGATCTGCCGTACATCTACTCCACCCAAGGTGTTCTCAAGGAACCCAACTTGGCAAAGGAAGCTGGACAAGGTCTCCTTGGCGCCATCTCATCATACAGTCAAGGTGATCTTGGTGGTGTGGCCAGCAACTTGATGGGTTTCTTCAAGAAAGCCACAACTGGCGATGACGCGTACAACAAGACTCTTGCAACCAAGACATCGCCGGCCGATGTCATAATGTGGTCAGGAAGCAAGGATGACCAGACTTCGTATGTATACACTTTTGTAAATCCTTGAGAATCCCATCTCCGATTCGTACATTTTGGAAATGGGCAAAATAGGGGGCGGGCTTTTTTCTTTTTGGCGTTCGGATACCACAGTGCCGGTGGGGAATTTCCGGGCCACAACTTTATGTTTTATTATTAGCTGCATTTTCCGGATGTTTTGTACCTATTAGAAGCTCTAAGACTACGCTCTGGCCAAGTATGGCTAAGACGTAGACTTAGAGCTGCGAGTCACGTTGGATCCCCTGGGTTATCCTTATCAGATGTTCTAGCATATTCGCCAAGTTGGATCTCGGCGAGCATCCGCTAACGAGATGTTAATAGTGCCGACGCAACTATTGCCGCACAGGCTACCGGTGCCATGTCTTGGGCCTTCATCACCGCTATGAAGAAGAACCCTCAGCAGAGCTACGTCCAGCTGTTGAACAGCATCCGTGACGAGCTCGCTACCAAATACACCCAGAAGCCGCAACTCTCTTCCAGTCATCCATTGAGTAAGCCTTGCCCACCTTACCTTTCTTCTCTCGTTCTTCTCTCGTTCATTTATTAACATGTCACACAGACACCAATCTACTTTTCGTCATGTAAATACATCGGGGGAATCGGCGTCAAATTTGCAAGGAACAAAGCATAACACCACAGTTAGTATTAACGACAGGTAGGGAGGGAGGTATTAGCATCAGTCATGGGCATGGAAATGACATCAGGGTAATGATAGTTATGTAAATTCATGAATTCAGGAACTGCGTTGAGAATCATCTCTGGTATTCATATTCATATCCATATCCATGCAGTCAAACTCAAACACTAAAACAAACACTCCATCCCAGCCCAACCCAGAGATCGTAATAATAAACAACCCAGACAGACGCTCCTGTTCATGCCAATGCCATATTCACTCGCATCAAACTCCAATTCCTTCCAAAAACCAGAACACAACGTCGCAACAGTCAGTGATATATGATTTAACGATGCAAAATTCAAGGAAGCTGCCTGTTCTCCCGACCCAACTTCTCCCTTACTTCTGCTCTCAATTGCTTTTCCTTGGCCTCACGCTCCTGCTTCTGCTCCTGCGCTACAAGCCGGTCATGGATATTCGTGCTCTCCTTCCACTTTGCAGCACCCATTTTCATGCGGACCGTCGAGCGGACGGCTTGGGCCACCATGCGCAGCGTAGGCCTCTTCTTCGGCTTCGGGGCGAACGTGATACCCGTCGAGCTTAGGAGCTTGAGATCTGCTTTGTTGCTGTGGGGGTGTTAGTTTTGATGTCCAACATTTAAGGAAGGAGGAAAGATAGGGCAAACTTACCAAGCTTGATACAACTCGATTTCCAAAGCCATATATTTCTTCGCAAACGCTGCACAAGCCCTGAACGTCTCCTCGCGGCGACAGCGCGCTCTTAACCACTCTACTTGCAGCGCCACGCCTCTCATCTCCTTCTCGTGCTGGTGCTCTCGCTCCGCCAGGGTCTTCTTCACGACCGCGAGCTCAGATCCATCGTTTCCGTTTGTTGACATGGACGTATTGGCGAATCTCACGCCGCGGGTCAGAGTTTGCTTCTCGGCTTCCCAAGCCGCCTGAGCGAAGCGGAACTTTCGTTCCCACTTCTTGAGATCTTCTTGGGCTGAGGTAGCTTTTGATTTGTATGTTGATCGCTCTTCACGCACTCGCTTTAGTTGAGAACGTAGCTGGGATTCGATCGCTGAGATGGATTGGATGTGTTGCTCGCGCTCTTTGACAACGATTTCGAGGGTCTCGACTTGGACTTGAGTCTCACGGAGCATGTCGTGAAGATCTCGGCGTTCAAGAGCCATAGTACGGTCCTCGCCGCTATTTTGGCGTTCAGCTTGAAGAGCCTTCTCAAGACGATCAATCTTGCTCCGGAGTCTTGTAACTGTTGCTTCTGAGGTAGTGTTCTTGGCCGTAAGTTCGTTAACCGCAAGTTGTGCTTGATCCAATGATCGTTCCAGATGGTCACGCTCTGATTCCCAGGCTTCCAATTGAGCTTGAAGCTCAATATTGGCAGCATTGATCTTGCGGCCAGCCTCTTTTTCGGCATTTTTGAGTTGTGATCGCACTTCCTTCAGGCTTTGATGCGTAGAAGCAAGTTGAGCCCGAACTTCGATGACCTCTGACTTTCGGGCTGATCCATTGACGGAGGAGCGAGGTGAAGAAACCTCCAAGCGCGAGATTTCAGCATCATGGGCTTTACGCTCCAGTTCTGAGATCTGGCGTTTAAGACCACGGATGATATCTTTCTGGGCAGCCTCTCGTTGAAGAAATTCGGTCTCCTTTTGATGAGCTGTTGAAAGATCATGGCGGATAATTGAGAGCTCACGTGTAGCTTCGGCCTGGTTCTCACCAGCTTCAATCTGGGTTTCCAGTTCAGCAACTCGTTCTTCGAGCTTCTGGATCGCCTTCTTCGCAAGTGCAAGTTCTCTTTTCTCCGAAGAGCCCCTGAGAATTCGTTGGAGGTCATGAATTTCGGATGACAAGCGTGCCTCCTCAGAACTAGCACGATCAATTTCGTTTTGAAGTTCGCTTTCTACCGTCTGCTGCTGGGCTAAAGCCGTCTTGTTCTCTTCACGCAGGCGACGGACTTCAGCATCAAGCTTCATCTTGGCGGTTCGAAGATCGATTTTTTCTTGGTCAAGGCGGAAAGTTTCGTCCTCTTGCTGCTTAACAGATTTAAGTTGCGTCTGTATTTCGTCGCGCTCTGCTTCCGCTTCGGCTTTGGACAGTCTAAGTGAGTGCATCTCGACATTCATGCTCGCTAGTTGGTCTTGTAGACTTTGTTTGTCCTGTCTGATCTTCGCCAATTGAGATTCGACATCTCTAAGGACGGAGCTCAGTTGCGCCTGGCTACCTTCGCCAGCTTCTGCATTAGCATGGAAAGCCTCAATTTCAGCCTTTGCTGCAGTAGTCGCAGATTCGGCTCGTGAAAGATCTATTTTTAATGATTGTAACTGCTTCCGGAGGTTGTCGGCTTCCTGTTTGGCAGCGAAAATCTCTTGATGGGCTTGCTCGCTTTCGTCATCCAAGGCTGTTTGGAGAATTTCGACCTCATCCTCTAGACCCTCAACCTTTTCAGCCAAAATTTTCTGCTCCCTTTGGCTGAGGCGGAGCTCCTCTTCAGTATCAGCCAAGTCAGATCTCACCTGTTCAAGAGCATTCCGACGAGCTGCGACGTCCTCATTGAGCTCCTCAATTTGCCGACTCAAGATTGCTTCTTGACTCTTGTGCCTATCATTTTCGCTTTTAAGGGCTTCTTGAAGCTTCATCTCCTTACTGGATAAGGTACCTTCGGCTTCCTGGAGTCGGTCGATAGTACGTTGCAGCCCGGCGGCCTTCTCATCGGCCATATCTCGCTCAGATTCCAGGTTCCGTCGCTCGCTATCCCATTTGTCGGCATCGTTGTCGTGTAGACGCTCCTTCTCTCGAATCTCAGCGCGAAGATCTTCGATTGCATCATTGAGTCGGTCTATTTCCCCCTTGTATTCATCCCTGACATCTCGCTCGTTGCTAAGAGCCAGTGTCTTCTCGTGATCTAATTTATCCTCCAAGTCTTCAATAACCTTTTTAGATTTCGCAAGATCCTTCTGAAGGCCAGCTGATTCTTGCGTGAGGGCCTCGTGGCGACTTTGAAGGAGATTCTTCTCGTCATCTTTGTGCAAAAGTTCTTTCTGAATGGTATCGAGTTGCCTCGAGAATGTTTCCCGGTCCTGAGAGACTTGTCGCTTTTCGCTTTGGAAGATGTCAAGCCTGTCCTTGAGTTTCTGCTCTTGGACTTCGCTATCTTGCTTCACTGCCTCGATTCTGTCTTGCAGCTTCTTATTATCGCGGACTCTGTCAGCGTGGTCTTCTTCCAGAGCGGCGTGTTTCTCCCTGAGGTTATCGAGGTCATTCTGCAGACGATGCGCTTTCTCCTCAAGTTGCCGGCTTAGACCCTTTGGATTAATAGACTTATTTGCCATCTCCTCTTGGAGTTCTTCAAGGTCTGCTTGTGCATGCTCCCTTTCCTTCACCGCTTCGGTCCTATCCTCCTTCACATCCTCGAGCTCGTCTCTAAGACGCTTCAAATCACTCTCCAGTTCTTGAATGGTCTCTCTCGCATCCTCAAGTTCTTCTTCACCTTGAGCCTGCTCCTCCAATTCTACCTCTCTGCGCTGAGATTCTTTCACTGATTCTTCCAACTTCGAAATAGTCCCGGACTGCTTCTCAAGCTCATCCTTTAGATTGTCCACCTCATCCTCGCGGTCGTCAATTAAGCGGTTCTTTTCTCGTACTTCAGCTTCCAGATCATGAACTTTATCTTGCACATCATCAAACTGGTTCTCCTGAAGCTTAAGTGTGTTGATTTCGGCTTCCTTGTCTTCAAGCGCGTGCCGAAGGCGTTCCAGTTCCTGTCGCTGGCCTTCGTCGGCATGTTTCAGCTTCACCTTCTGCTGCATTTCCAGAATCTGTTGTCGGTAAAGTTCCACATCGCGTTCTGCGGAACCCAATGTCTTCCGATATCGCGTTAATTCTCTTTGCATAGTGACCTTGTCGACCTTGAGCTCTGTATTCTCCTTGAGAGCTGCCTCACTAAAACCCGGGCCCGCTTTCCGTAGAGCTTCTTCCAAGAAATGGATCTTCAACTTTAGACCAAAGTTTTCCTTCTCAATCTTGTCAATGACATTTTCCTGCTCTCGCAGGGACAGTTGATTGCCATCCTGTAAAACTCCGGGCCCTTCATTCCGTCGTGGTAGCAAGGCCATGGGTGTTGACGCGCTACTGCTGCTGTCGATTTGAGGTATGGTTGTATTGTCCAGATATGTTCCATTTCGAGAGCCACCATAGAACGAGCTTGCAGGTAATGGGCTGAGATCCTCGGGGATGTTGTCCAAACTCCCAGACCTAAGAACTGCTGGTGTTTGTTGAGCATTCTCTTTGCCGTTACGTCGCGCGCTGTTTCTCGTAGCACTCTTGAGTAAAGGCGTGAATTCTCCTCCGCCAGGAAGATTTTTCCTGTCACCGAGAGCAACGCGACTTCGTGGTGTTCGTAGGTTGATCGCGCCGCCGCGTCGACCATTTTGTAATTGTTGTATAAGGTTGTTGTTATCTTTCGAGGGCGATTGGAAGGATTGCTCTGCTGATAAGTCAAAATCAAGCCTCTGAGTCGAAAGGTAGGTCGCATCCCCTAGGTTTGTTCGAGGCGTGTCCAGCCCTCCAATTCCGGCTTGCACCATCTTGAAGATGGGCAGAGCTTCTGTAGATCAGTTGAAATGCAAAATAATAATGAATTAGTGCCCTGAGAATGCAAATGGGCCGTTCGCAGCCATTAAATCCAGAGCAAATGCAATAACGTCCGTTGGAAAAGTCGTTGGCATTTGTACAGACGCGTTCTGTAGTTCTTGTTTACTTGAATCCGTGTTTGTGTTAGCGCGTTGGAAATCCCTAGCGCTTGGCCCAAGCTTCACATCTCAAAAATTGTTCAGCCTCATAGGTCCCCCACCAGCTTAATACAACACACCACACCACACTTCAAGTATAGGCTATTGACAGAAGCCATTTACAAGATCTACAAGCCACTTACATACCAAGAGTGTTCGCTCAGAACTAGGTTGGTTTAGATTCTCTCCAGAGCCTTCCCCAAACCCAAATATCATTGCCGCAATATGGACGCTTCAAACGACGATTTCAACGGGTTTGGAGATGGTTTTGATGGGTTCCCAAAGCGCCTCCCTGAAGACTGTGTCGAATATTCGATATTCATTATCGATTCGAAACTTAACTCACAGAAAGAATTACTCGCACGTTTGGAGGCAGTGCGCAAGGAAGCTTTGAAGCTTACCGACAGCTTGTTAAAGGAATATATTTGGCAGCGTGATGGCTTTCAGGTGGCAGTTGAAAGCGAGAAAGGCACGTCTTATTTGCCCATATCCTCTAGAATTCGTGCTGACTTGAAAATAGGGTTGATGTACCTTCATGGCCTTACAAACTACGGGGATTCGGTCGAAGACGAATGGCTTATTGTATATATTCTCAGAGAGCTAAGCAATAAATTTCCCGAATTATGGATCAAAGTTGTGGACACAGATGGCGAGTTCTTGTTAATTGAAGCTGCCAATGCGTTGCCTCGATGGCTGAATCCCGAGATTGCAGAGAACAGAGTAAGTAAGTGCCTTACCTTAATTTCTATTTTATCTTTGCTAATATAATTGAAAGGTCTGGATTCATGGCAATAAACTCCGCATAATTCCACTCAGTGCAGTCACTCCTTCATCCCAAGAGACGGCCCGAATATCCCGTCCTCTCACCCGCGAGGAAGCCCTCAAGACCCTTTCTTCGAATCCCGGTATTCTCATACATTCGCCACTCATTGAAGCAGAAGCATTCTACCGACTCCGAAACTACCCTACTCAGATTAAAGCTTCTTTACACCATGCAGTTATTGTTATTCCCAGGAAACTAGCCTATATATTGCATGACCGTCCCTCCTCCATCGCCCCAGCTACAGAAGCTTTCTACCTCCGCGATCCTATTGCGATGAAGCCACTTCAATCTAAATCTTCCAAACTTATATTCCCTCCCGAAGACCTTGTGGGGGTTTCTGTACGTTTCACGAAGGTCCTATATGCGCAACTGAAATCACAACAGTTTTCTCCCCCGACTGTATGGAGAGAGAAGCTAGCCCATTCCGAAAACGAGGCTTTATCCAATGGGCCCAAGCAAATGCAACACAATCGGCTCGAATTAGGAATGAAAGTTACCTGCGGCTTTGAGATGCTGCTCTCGGATCCCAAGAACGGAGATAATCGCACAGTAAGAGAGGTGAAGATTATCCTTGAAGACCTAGAAAGTGGCGACGTATATTTACCATCCGATTCCGACATTGCTGCATGGAAGGATGCGGCCAAGGATGATGATGAGTCCTGGCTAGATATCAATTTCGAAGATTTTGAGAGAGAGTTGCAAGGAAATTCTAAGGAAAAGCAAAAGTCTGGTGTTCCTGGTGCATTTGGTCCAGAGGCCCCTCCAGGATTTGGTGATGCAAAAACGCAAGCGGATCTGAAGAAGATGGTCGAGCGATTTGAGGCCTTCTTGAATGACGATGATGCTGGTCTCGATGGCGCGGAAATGGACGAAATGGACGTTGATGACGACGAAGAGGATAGCGATGATAGCGAGGATGAAGATAAGGACGTGAGCTTCGATGAGAACGAGTTTGCAAAAATGATGCGGGAGATGATGGGCATGCCATCAGAGGAAGACAACGAAACAAAACGCAAGCCGGAGAGTTCAACTGCAAATCTTGGCAAGAATAGGATTGAGGAAATTGCCTCCGACGATGAAGATGAGGACGGGGATGAAGCCAGCCAGATTCAAAAAGTTATGCAGAGAATGGAGGCTGAGCTAAACGAAGCCGGCGCATTAAATTTGGATTCAAACCCCAGTAAGCTTGCGGCCCTCAGTGGCAAATCTGCCAAAGAAACAGATTCGACCGCCAAGGACAAATGGGAAGACGAAAGTGATGATGAAGACGTCAACATAGATTTCAATTTGGCTAAGAACCTCCTGGAAAGCTTCAAGAGTCAAGCGGGGATGCCGGGACCAGGAGGCAATATAATGGGGATGATGGGAATGCATTTACCAAGGGATGAGGATGATGAAAGCATATCAAAGAGGTCGTGAATTTGGAATTCGGAAAACGGACATCATCTCCATTAGGGGTTTCTCATAATAGGGTATCAATGTAAGAACCAAAACGCCGTGCTGACCCCTTTCAAGCATTTTACTTGGCCACTTTTTGCCTCTTCGAACTCTCTTCGTCAGACGCCTCCGCAGATAAACTCCTTGATCTTTTTAGTGCATCGCTGACAGCAACATCAATCTTCTCCAGCTCAGACAAGGCACTCGTCAATTTCCTCCGGCCATCGAGTTCTCTCCTACTACTATCTGCCTGTGGCCTGTAATGTTCTGTTACAATGCTCGCAACAGCCCTGTAACATCGGTAAAGCAACAAACGAACCTCCGCATTGGGTTCATCTTCAATCACATCTTCATTCCCGCCTCCTGCTTGCCACCCTTCCAGAAACCCTTCATTGGGACTGTCAAACACCTCACCTATTAGAGGATCCCCAAAGACACCCTGGCTCCAACTCCTGAGCCCCGTCACCTTGACGTGGCCCCCTGTCGAGGAGCTCGAAGCGTTTCCGTCCAATCCTCTGTCAACCATCACGTTCGTCTCGTTGCCAGCATCGAGAACGACCAGCCTAGGAAGAGTAATGGCATCTAAGTGCCACGAAAGTCGTTGGCAATGTTCCCTCACAGTTTCATATGGCAGCAAGACTCTCATATCCTCTCCATCTCTCAAAATTCCCTCGAGTAGGGTATTGAAGGCCTCAGACCATGTCTGAGAGCCTGCGACTGGCGGTGCGGAGGGCAGCGCAACGCTGAATGGATTGGCCATGACCTGAGTGACAGTTCCAAAGGTTCCATTCGGAGACGTGAGAGACGCCAAGGCTCGGGCCATGGATCCGACTTGCCTGTCTACCAGACGGCGTTCGGGGAGGCTGAGATAGACGGAGAGAGTTGATAGGGGTGCCCCGGTAGTTTCTTCGAAAATGCTGTATGGATATGCCATTTCTCTATTGTTCGACGAATGCTTGAGAAGCTTTGGGACTACCTCGGAAAGTGACACGGTATTTGGCGTATCGATTCCGCTGTCTAGTGACCCCACCATCTCAGCAGGTCGGCAATCCGAGCCGGCAATGAAGTATACCAGTGTTGCTTCAGATGAAAGGATACTGGCTTCTTGTCTGAGTAGGCGTACAGCAAGGCTTGGGGCAAACGAGAGGAGAAGCTTTCGATCATCTGACATGCTGAGGGAATAGAGTCTCGGCAGCTGCGTCGACGGCAATTCCTCGACAGGACCCAGCGTTGCGTCGGGGACGACATGGCTGAGTATTTCTTTTAGTCTTCGAACTGGTAGTGAATACATGAGCGATGTCATATTTGGGCGGGAGGATACAGGAGGCCGCCTCGAGGATGACATTCTGATGGAAATTTCCCGGTATTCCTGGGAAGGTGCAATAGTTGTAATTTAAGCTTTTGCAATTAAATAAATAACGATATCTTGGCATGGAACTGAGAAGTCGGTTACTCAAATATACAAGACCAAGACAGAATAGTAGTTAAATAACGCAAAATACATGAGTGTTCCATTTGCAGAGGGTTTTAGTTGGCAGCCTACCCGTGGGATTCGTAACGATAGGAGCGGGTGGCACTGGTTGGAAACAAGCGGATGAGGTGAGATAAAGTTCTATTGAAGCATGGAAATCCAATTGGTCGATACAATACGTGCCCAAAAGCGAGTGAGACGGCACGATTGCAGCAGGCAGGCGACAAAAGTAGATATTTGTCAGATGAGCTCGAAGCGGTAAATGCGCATATATAGCTAACAAGAGGTCGTCAACGGTCACAAGGCTAACCCCAGCAAATGCAAAGAAGCGACGACGCAGCTCACCTGTGCTGTCTGTCTGTCTGTCTTGAAGCGCAAAGCACTGCACTGCACCCAAGCTCGGTCTCACTCTTTGTGCTGGCTGAAATGAAAAGAAGAGAGAGTAAGGCCGATTGGGTGAGATAGGCGAGCATTGGCCAGCCATCTAGACGTCACCTGCTACGTTTACTCGTACCTCGATGTTCGGTGCGGTGCTTCCTTCGCAGTACAGTAAGGGCGCGGCTTGGGGGCGCTGGGGCGCTTGAGGGAAGTAGGGTAGGGAGGTTAGCACGTTTACCGCGACGTGGACACGGCATGAAGAGGGCTTTTTATTGTGGGCGCAGGCACATGAACGATGAATGGGAGCGCGGAATCCAGCCAAGACGAGCATAGGGGACGTACTCCGTAGGGGGCGCATCCCGCAGGTGGGGATGGGATGTTCAGGGGGCGGGGCATGAAATTCCCCTACTGGTTGATAAGAAGCGAATGTGCATGACTTTTGTGGACCGTAGATGCCTTCTGGAACATTGAAAAGCGGTTACTGGGATTTTCTATACTCACAACTCTGCTGCGAAGTGCATTCAAGAATCTGAGTTGACCAGATCGCTTGGCTGCAGATGATACCTATATGTGCAACGAGAAGAAGCCCCAAAGCCGCATAGGAAGCCCTAAAAGGTTGCCTACTCCGCAGATGCACTGCACCATAAACCTAGAGATTGATAATTCCCACCAATCAGCATAACCTATCCACGGAGGTAAAGAAATTGCCCAGAAGAAACCTTCTTAGTCTTGCAATGTCTTGTTGGAAAGGGGTAAATAATGCATCTTGCCAAATCCTCAGAGTTCTTTCTAATGAAGCCTAATAATATGGTGCTACCTTTGAACAATGAAGAAGACATCAAAGCATGTGGTGAATATGCAAAGCTCGAGCCGGTCAATACTCCGTGAAGTATTCGACCTTCTACTCGAGTAATCCTCGTCTATAATACACTCATGGGGTCCGCGTTCGTTAATTTTGGGCAGATCCGGTTAGGTTAGCTTTGCTGATCTCGCAGAGATCGCGCCACTGGACTGGAAGGCTTCTAGCGAGTATTCCAAAGTTCCATGCCACGACTCCACGAGTACAGTACTGGTAAAAAGAGCCCATCTATCTATGCGTGCCACGAATTTGGGATAGAAAAACGGCCAAAGGGGCAATGCGAAATCTAGTTCCGGCACTGATCGAGTAAATGCACTTCATTATCGGCCAACAGTGCGAGCTTTGATGCTCGCTAGTGAGAGTAGTAAGAAGGAACTCGGATTTCATGTCTGTGACTCTGTGAGCTCGAGACGGCAAAGATTGGGGCTATCTGTTCAATGCTTGCAAACCCACGTCACCTCGCTTTCCTACTGCTAGGCAACTATCCGTTAGCGTGCATATAATCGGTAATGAACAAGAGAGCGGTCAGAACTAAGATTATTGGCTTCCTAAGAACTCGAGGTGTCGTTTCCCCTTCGCGATATCCAAGAACTACTTTAGATGTCTCACCACAGCTGTGTTCCATGCATCTCATTCATCCGTATTCGCCCTGTCGATACTCGATCGTACTTGACGTATTGAAAGCATCATCTGTCCTTACGCATTCAAGCTTTAGATTCAGCCTCGACAGAAGCTTTAGGTTTGGAGAGTTCAGCCAAGTTGAATCGCTTGAGTGTCTCCCAATCATCTCCTACAACGCTCATTCCGCATATTGTCTGGTAACCCACTATCAGCTATCGGACTGCCACGTACCACTGCATGAATATCCAGCAGTCAGGTTAGAAGATGTAGTAGAAGATACATACCTGATAGATCTCGACTAAAATGACCTTGTCCGGCTTAGTGAGATTAACTTTATGGACATCCGCGATTGACGAAGCAATCTGTTTTATTACCACGTCTCGCTTGAGAGTGTTGTGGTTGCGTATGGTAGGCCGAATAGCGTACTGTACTTTATATCAGCAGTGCAGGTGACATGGAAAGGTCATAACCAACTTACCGAATAGCTTGTTCGTTCTGGCTTCTCTTCCTTTTTGATTTCTCCGTTATCCTCGGAATTTTCCGTGGTCTTGTTCAGCTCAAAGTATTCTCCAAGCACAGTTTTCCCCACTTCCTCAAGTCCCTTCTCAGTTGCTCTCCCGATCATAGTCATTGGCGTTAGTCGATTAATGTATCTCGTCCCCGCAGCATCTGGCTTTAACGCTACCTCCTTGCAAATCCGATGAACGAAGTCAACTGGATCTATGGGCGGGCGGACTTTGACGAACAAGACACACTCAATGTCAAGGCGGGCCGTGGTGAAAAGTTTAGGTTTCCCTTTCTGATTTTCAATGGCTGCGGCCTCCTTCTGAATGGCGGCCTCGATGTCAAGATCATCTTCGTCCTCCTCATCGTCTTCTTCTGCTTCACCAACGATGCCATAAAACTTCTCAGCAAACTAATCTCAAATTCAATAAAAGTGATCCAATTCTTCGGGGTAATACGAACTTTGTGCAGTAGGCTGCGAAGCTCTACCGTTGCCTTTCCTTCCTGCCCTCTCGCACATGTTGCCCAAATACCAACATCTCCAGGCTCGATTATTCCACGCCCACGAATAGAGGCTAGCTTTGCTTGCTGATGTGGAGTTTGCCACTTTCCTCCGGATCCGCCCTGAATTGCAGTCAGAAACGAAGTATAGTCCTTGATGCAAATTCATCGATTTAGAAACAAGGTACAAAAATTGGAACACATTCGCTAGTAGTAATGGATCTGGCTGGTGCACAGACAAGACGAACATAGCCATGCCCTCTTAAGACAAGTGACAAGCGCGCTGTAAAGTTAGGCAGCATCTTATGTCAATAGCCTCATTCTAATATTTAGATCTGAGCTTATTACTCTCCCAGCTAAAAGATTCATGGCAAGAAAAAAAGGAAGGTAAGTCAGGTAACGAATGAAAGTTGACGGTACGCACCTTGGTCCTCTTTGCTACTCTACCCTTCTCAATAGCAATTGGCCTTTCCTTGCGTTTGTTTGAATTCATCGTGTAGATAGTGCCTTGTCTGAACGTTGGGATGTATATTATATCGGGAAGTCGGCAGGATTTTGTGTGAACGAATAAAAGTCACTAGCGCAAGGCTGCAAGGCTGGATGTCTCTAGGCGAAGACCCCGGCCGAGATCAAACGACGCCTCTTTCTCTGCACGAAGGAAGTCATTATGCGTTTCGTCTGGATGGATCTCAGATCTAACAAGTACCTATGCATGTCTTGATACTGCTCATGACCTTGCCGATAAGACTATCGAGTCGGCAAGCAACGCGTCCTCAACGCTTCCAAAAGATCTTGACAACAAAGGGCAACGCATTTTCATCAATGGCGAAGAAGGTAGCTTACGTAGTCCGGGCTGGAAGAGTCCCAGGAATATATTTTACTTATTCCGAATGTAATAAGCAAGTACACGGCTTCAGCGGCCAGGATTACCAAGGATATTACACTCGAGAAGCAGCACAGACGGCCTGGGACAATTGGCAAGCATTGAACTCTGCACGCCAAGGCCAATTGAGTGAACGCACAACTAGTGTACTAGGAGTGCCGGACCCTGAGGGGCAGGATGAGACAATATATAGTCAAAGAGACGAGGACTCCAGGTCAGTGGCCATCCTAGACGCAACCGCTTTTACATCCGACGCACCCGATCCATACAGTAGTCAGAAGGCCTTATCTCTCTTCTGTATTTTGGTTTGATTTAGATCGCAAAACCCAAATGGACTAAACTGCTTTCTACTCCGTTCTCGTATCTTGCTAACGCACTTCATAGCAATGATAAATGCAAGAGACATGCTACCTTGGATGACGCTGAAGATATACAGCATGCATCGAAAAAGATCAAGGCGACGGCAGACGAATTCGAACCGGTTCAGGTAGAAAGCCAGGACGAACCACCTGTAACACTTACAGCCGAACAGCAAGCCGTCGTAGATATGGCGCTGGACAATCAAGATGTCTTTCTCACGGGTGCAGCGTAAGATAATCTAAAATCCTACTAATTTCATTTTTCGCATTTTCGTTGCCTCTGATTCATTCTACTAAAAACCTAACTCCCCATAATTCGCAGCGGATCTGGCAAAACTGTCACACTCAAAGAAATTATCAAAAAATTAAGAATCTCGGGGAAAACAGTCCAAGTAATTGCACCTACTGGGATTGCTGCCTTGCCCCTCGGTGGGCTGACGGCGTATTCCTTCGCTGGATGTAAGTCAACAAAATTTGCAGAACTTCTAGGCTTTTACTCCAAAATTACGGGGGTTTTCTTGACGATAAAACCGCCGGTCGTTCTTTGCACTCTTCAATAATGCAGTACTAACTATCTTTTCTTCTGCAGGGCAGCCTGACTCTTTACAAAAGCCCATCCACTGCCTACTCGGTGATACCAGCAAGTTTGCAAGGAGAAGGATACGAAAAACAGATGTGCTAGTAATTGAGGAAATCTCAATGGTAGAAAATCAATTCTTAGAAAGGCTGAATCTATTGATGCAATACATCTTTCAGACCACCAAACCTATGGGTGGCAAACAAGTCATTTTTGTTGGAGATTTTCATCAGGCAAGCCTCTCAAATTCGGGTCTACATCTTGCGCCTCTTGAGCTGTGCTCTAGGAATGCTGTCTCTGTTTTATCACGTTTTCCTCCAGCATCTTGAAATTATGGAGGTACCTAAAGTCTCAAAAGTTATGCTAACACTCCAATCTTATAGCTGCCACCCGTCAAGCCTTTTGAGTTTTGTCTTGCATGTGGTGAAGAATATCCGAAGAACAGAAGTAATATCGTTTGCCAAAATGACGACTGCAAAGACGTCGGCAAAGAAAACTTCCATGAAGAAGACAAATACGCTTTCAAGGCGCCAGTCTGGGCGGAGCTGAAGCTGCGTCACGTTATGCTTGAGCAAATACATCGACAAAAAGACAGCAGTTTTCAATTAACACTAAATAAGATCCGAGACGGTAACATTCTGAGCGATGCGGAATGGCTGGCACTCACCAGCAAAAAAGTTCTTCCTGATGGAGTCGTTGCTATCAAACTCATGTCTCGAATCCTACAAGTTCAAGCGCACAATTCGAAAGAATTAGCGTTGATACAATCGAAAGAGATAACGTGGCAGGCACACGATTCAGCGACGAAACTGTACCCCTCACTAGAAGACGATTATGAACCTCGTCGTTCTGAGATAGAGAACAGGCGGAGACAGTTTGAATTCTCTCTGTCCACTGGGGAGCACCGATTTCCAACTGAGTAAGGACCAGCAACGCTTTCATAATACAGTCATCACATTGTGTCTCCTGTATTTGAACTATTCCAGTATTCCTTCAAAGAGAAACTTGTGCTTCTCTGATTCCCGAGATTGTTTCTGGAAAGCAAAAGACTAACTTGCTATTAATTTAGCCTGGTTCTCAAAATTGGTGCCAAAGTCGTTCTTCTGACCAATCTTAGTCTTAAGTCTGGCTTGGTAAACGGGTCACAAGGTGAAGTTATTGGGTTTACGGACACAAGTTCCTGGCAAGAACCCATACTCACAAAGAGTGAAAAGGAGCATCTCGAGCAATTCAAGGGACAAAATCACACCTTGAGACCAGTTGTTCGATTCTCCAATGGGAGGACTCAAACAATCCGTCCCCAGACACAGGGTAGTCAAAAACGCAAGAATCAAGATTCGTACTTTGTTGCCAGAACGCAGATTCCTCTGACCCTTGCCTGGGCCCTGTCGATCCACAAAAGTCAAGGAATGACGTTGGAGTATGTCGAGGTTTGTTCCGACAAACGATTTGAGGCAGGACAATTGTATGTTGGGCTTTCTAGAGCGACAAAACTTGAAGGCCTTACTGTCACGGGCGCCTCGAGAGAACAGATTACGATGCCTTCAGAAGTCGTAGAATTCTACGAAAGCGATCACTGGGAGCACTTGAGACCTTCTAAATCATCGGCAGCCAATTCGCCTACGCACACGGAATCTGTTGTTGGAGAGGAGTTTCTACAGCAGTGACTTTCCAGCTCAGATGGAAACGGGAATTCCAAAGACACCTGGGGCGACCCGATAGCGGCAATCCGACGTTTTCAATACAAATCCCAATGACTAAGGGAATAATCTAGCTATGACGGCGAAACCGATGCCTATGAGGACACAAATGAAAGTTGGAAGATATCAGATAGTGATGAGGCTCCACTGCTTAAATTGGCATGGTTTGTAGTTGATATTACGACTTCGACGCCTACCTGTTTGATGATCTAGGAGGAAGCATCCAGTTTGACCGATCCGCTCTTTAGCCAACAATGTTAGGTAACAGCGCAAGACCAGACATAATTTGGAAGACGCTTCGGGCAGTTGTGGGCTGTAAGAAACCCGCGCCTGACTAGGAGCCAGGGTGAGTAAATCAGGTACCATTCGAGGGACATTGGATTATGCTATGATATCCGATTGTGGCCTGGGAGCTTCAAGGCTAGATTCTGGTCAATAGCGATACGAGTAACTTGGAATGTGGGTGAGATGTATTATTGGCCTAAAGACCTTGCCCGGTCGTGTCTCGACTTGTAGAAATGTTGGATGAATGCACTTTGTATCGAGGTGAAAGTGGTTCGTTTTTGGCATGATCTATCACTGCTTGGGGTGTTCCCTAGTAATAGTCGGGTCTAGATTACAGCGCTAGTCGGACATGTCTTTTTTACGTACACTGATTTCATTATCAACTGTGATAGAAAGCTGCTAGAGATTTATTACTTACTACCAGCTTGCATTGTCCTGCTTCAGCGTTCTCATCTCTTCGATCATTGTTTTACTGTGGGGGAAAGATTCCAAGCAGCCCCGAATATGCCAGGGTTATCCGACCACCAAAATGTTTTCCGAATAGAGAAGAGTGACGCCAGAAGTAAGGGGGCAGAGACTCGAGTAGTTAAGCGGAACCGACAACCAGTATCTTGTGTCGCTTGTAGAACCAAAAAGTTGGTCTCATTCAGGGTCAAAATATCAAAAGTGGTAGCTAATTGATCAGGCTAAAGTGTGACCGTCAGGTCCCGTGCTCATCTTGCGCCAAGAGAGGGCGATATGATGCGGCGTCATGCACCTATTCCAGCGGCAATCGCAATGAGCGCGGTAAGCGTGATAGGGCTGGAGAATCTAAAAATGCTGAAGCGCACCTCCGTTTGCAAAAGTTGGAGGATATGGTCACGGGGCTTCTTCAATCATCAAGTGAAGGTTCCGAAAGGACCGGCGATATTGCACACGCAAATGGCCAACCAGTGGATCAAAACCTGGCAGATCTCTCCCTTGATAGCTCATTGAGAACGGTCGAGCCATGCTCAGGGGCTCGAGGCCATTTGGACATCAGCAGGTCTGAAACGAAGTACCTTGGCGCTACACACTGGACCGCAATACTTGAGAATGTCAGTAGCCATTATTTTAAAATCTTGTCCGAGCATAGCTGACAAGTTGCAGATCCGAGGCATCCAGGTCGCTCTTGAGCCTGAAGAGGAGGAGGATGAGCAAACACTCCCTTCTCTCGGCTGTTCCGATATCTTATTTGAGACGAACAAGTCATTGACACTCGCAGATGTCCGCAAAACTCTAAGTGATAGAGCTAGCGTAGACAAACTGCTTTCCACTTACTTTAACCATCGACACAATCAAACTCCGATCCTTCACCTGAAGAAGTTCATGAGAGAGGTACTACCCTTCATTCCCCGGAGCCCGATGTTCAAGCATTGATTACCTATAGTATGACTCTTTCTGGGCTGACCCGTCTTCTGCGTCTTTTCTATGGATTTCAATGCTCTTTTCTGCCTTGTATATAGGGACCCAGGTAGTTGAAGCCCGTTCTGAAGGGGATGTTGACCTTGCAAACCGTTCTCTGGGAGAGGAATTCTTGGCAAGAGCTGGGCAAGCTCTAGTAGCCGGGAAATATCCCAGAGCAAGGCCGTATTCTGTGGAGTCTTTGCTACTATATACAGTGTGCCAGCACTTCCGGAAGGATAATCAAGAGACGAATTCCTGGCTGTTGATGAGTGTCTGCGCGAGAATGGCTATGCGAATGGGTTATCATCACGATCCTCGCCATCTCGGCCACTTTTCTCCGTTCGAAGCTGAAATGAGAAGGAGAACTTTTTTCACCATCGAGACTCTCGATTTCTTACTTTCGTTCCAGGCTGGATTGCCTTCTGTCATACCGGATGAAGTTTGCGATACCGAAAACCCCAGTAATTTGTTTGATACCGACTTTGACGAGGATTGCGCTGTGCTTCCACCTTCTCGGCCGCCGACGGATCCCACGCCCATGCTATATTCTTGTTACAAGAGTAGGCTTGGCAAAGTACTTCGACGTGCTTTCCGTCTTGCACTAGCTGTCAAACGTCCGTCATACGAACAAACTATGAGGCTTGATAAAGAGCTTCAAGAAATTCATGCCGATGTCCCTCCTAGTCTTCAAATGAGGCCCGTTGTATCATGTTTCGGAGAGCAGTCTTACATGATACTGCATAGATTCAACCTAGATTTGATGTATCTGAAGACTCTCTGCGTCTTACACCGGAATTACATCAACCACGAGAGGTCCAATCCGGTATTCAATTACTCCCGCAAAACATGCATCGATGCAGCACTCAAAATATTGAAATATCAAGCTGAGATACATGCTGCTTGCCAGCTCGGGGGGCAACTTAATCATGAGAAATGGATGCCATCCAACCTCTTGATATACGAGTAAGATAACCCCATTCCCTTTATTTTTTATTGTGGGTGTTTGCATTCTTTTGATTATTGCTCTGAGAATGTTCCACGGCGTCTGAAGCCTTACTTCGCTCCTAAATTTCGCTAGAGTGGACATAAAGCTAACTTGCCATTCGTTGCAGCTATTTATTAGCTGTTATGCTCATCTGCCTAGACCTTTTTGAATCTCGCAGGAAACCGGTCTTCAAAGATCTTCAACAACAGTCAGCCGATATCGAGAAATATGAGGCCCTGAAAGTCTCTTATAAGATTTGGTCTTCTCAGCCAACAATGTCCCGAGAAGATCGGCGGGCTTCGAGTGTTCTCGCGGCAATACTTTCAAAGTTACCACCACCATATGTTCGTGCTACGCCAGTCACTACTCCAAGCGTATCATCGGATAGATCCATAGCCGGAGGTAGCCCAAATGGAATGACGAGTGTTCCATCATGGGGTAAGTCGTGAAACAATAACAGCTCACTTCTCGCTGGCATTGGTTCTTTTGGATCTGATACTACACCTATATGCTGACTCGCACTCATTAGGACCCATTCCCGACTGGAACACAACCGGATCTGGTTCGCCCGGTCAAGACCCCACTATGAACAACTATGCACCATTGGACTTCAACCTTGCAGATCCTCTAAACACAATTTTCACTGGCTCGGAAGATATTGATTGGGTGAGCTCTTTATTCTCGAGATCTCCTTACTTTCGGGCGCTTGCTGACCTGTATCTACGCAGGAACTCATAGATCAGTGTCTGCTTGGCCAGAATGCCATGGATGTTCCAATGGCGAACACTCTCTGAGTATGTCTGGGAAGGACATTGATCTTTTATCTATATCTTAAGGAAAGATAGCAAAATGATGATAAATAAACTATGCAATCCACCCAATCTGGATCCAGATGGTTTGGTGGCCTCTTTAATCATTTGCTGTCTACGTAGCGTTGCCTGTGTCACTGAGGAGAAACACGTGACAAACACCCCCTTTTTTGGACAAACGAGATGCAAAAAATAAAACATACAACAGCAGGTATTCGCTGGTGGTCACCCACCCAACTACTAATCTGCCGATCTGAGGCTTGTGTATGGCAGAGCGGACGGGATGCCCAATTCTCCTCAGTCTATGGTCGTATGTGACAAGTCTAGCCCTTATTCAAATATCTATACCAGTCCTCTGTCAGGTTTTAGTATGCTCGCTCTCATTGTTCCTTCCAGCGGAAATAGAAAGCAGTCAATCACGCAACCCACACCGAACTTACAAACGCCCAATTGTAAACCCCGCCGAGGCATCTTTACTCACAATCGTATAAACAATCGACACAGCAGCACTAAAATTAAGCATCGAAGCGCCTAGCCAAGCAAGAGCAGTGCTGGTCGGGCCTTCCACAACAAGCACGCCCCAACCAAAAACATCCTCTTCAGGTGCAGCGCGCAGGTAAACGTCAAGCAGTGCGCGAGACAGCTCCTTAGGCAGCCGACGGAAGAGCTGCTTCTTCTTACCGCGCCGTAGCATACAGGATTTGCATTGCCGATAGTGCAAGAACGTTTGAGGAGATGGGCGAGTAGTGAGGGGACAAGGTCCGTATTCGTAATTCTTGGCCGCTACTTCTTGTGGTGGAGGAATCAGAGGCGGGCCGAAGGAGATATCTGCTCGTTGGTGCTCTTCGTTGGTAAACTGGACGCATTTAAGGTCTACGGGCTTGATTAGGAGTTTCCGTAGGTATGCGCTTCTAAAACCACGCAGTTTGTCATATTCATCCCACATTTTCAAAAACCATTCGCCGTCGTGGTATACTGTTGACACATCGATTTCGCCCGTGTTTACACATATTGCGAAATATTTGTTCATCGAGGGTGGTGATGCTTGGGCACTAGGCATCGTTGCAGCGGGAATTGTAATGTTTGTTGTGCTTGAAGTATTGCTCGTTGATGGACATCCCTACTAAAGACAAGAGAAGTTAGCTGAAGGTATTATGGTAGGGGTAGTTGGCATATAAATAAAGTATTATCGTTAGAATGCTCCACTTCAAAAGGCTGATTTAGACCCTTCAGGACACTCGAAGTGCCCCGAGGTAATCGGATATTCTTTAGCTAACTACTAAGTGGCACAAGACTTTATAAGGTATCCACTTTCAGACTACATAGAAATATTTCTCAATGATGATAATCGTGGCACGCAAGATTTTATTTGCCGTAGTGCGGTCCCATGGAGTAATTTAATAGATTGGATATTTCTAGGGCTTCAGTTCATGCTAGCAAAGTTATTAATAGCTTAGGACCGTGTTAAGCTTAGTCAATCGTCGACGGAGGTAGATCTAAACTTGATGAGTTTCCTACGAGCCGTTCTTGGTCCTTAAGGGCGCCACTCATAGTAGGATTATTGGCTTCGGGGTTTGAGCCCGATGAACCTTGCGGATGGTCCTGGAAATCAATTTGGGTGCCGAAGAAGTTATTAGGATTAGATCGGGCTCCCATATCCTCTGACATCTGATGCCCATGTCCGCCTTGCTGGTTGTATGAAGTTATACCGTATTGAGGTGCTGCTGGGACTGAGTCATCATATATTGTATATGCACGACCGGAAGTGCCGAAACTGCTAGGCGATAGCTGCTGTTGCTGCTGTTGCTGCCTGTGAAAAAGAGTACGCCGCCGCCGCTCATATTTCTCTTTCTTTAGAGCAACATCCTCTCTTTGCTGTCTATCCAGTTGATCCCGTTTCAATGCTTCCTGTTCTTTGAAACATTGTATTAGTCTTTGTTATTCTTTGGTTTTAAGTTACTTACTTGGATCTAGCTTCTGCTTCCCGCGTACAATTAAGGCCACGCTGTTTTTGTATCTCTCGTCTTCCTGTACTACCGCGGTGAAAAACTTGTTTCCAATCAGGATATTGAAGTCAAGATCAGGGTACAAGAAGAACTCGGCCGTGCGGATCTTTGTTGCTCGCTTCATTATGAATGGCAGGAATATTTTGCGGGCAAAGGTAAACTGTCCACCCCCAAGACCACAGTAGGGTTTCTGTAGCTCTGAAGGAATCTCTTCGACAAGATCCTCCAGTTTGCATTCTTGGATAAAGCCCTGGTCCACAATGTTGATTTCGGATCCCGTGTCCAATTTGCACATGGCAGAGAATCTTGTTTCAATTCCCTGATGTACCGGCAGAAGCTTTATAAGGAACAAGGTTGCATCTGCATCATCAAGTTGCCGGTTTTGCAATTCGGCTTGTAGTCGTTGTTCTTCAATTTCTATCTTGATATGCTCTTCCATGAGGGTTGGCTGGAGGTACTGGGCGACTGCTGTGCTCAAGCCATGCTCCTGGGCTGTATCGTGTCTGAAGTCCTTATGGAATGCTGCGACAAGTTCAATACTGAGACCTGTCAGTCTGATATACCTCTATAGTTGGCTGATTCATAACATTTCTGCTTTTGCTTTAAAGTGCTCGTCCTGCAACTCCAAGGTCGTCGATAGCATCCTACTCTGCTGCTGTGCGACTACATTTACCATGAACCTTTGATTATATTAGTGCTGTGCCAGAGTCAGAGAATTATATTCCCAAAAACATACATAGTTGCAATCTCTCTTATAGTCAAAATAGCTTCCTTGAAAGCAAGACAAGCACTGTACATTTGTCCTCCGGCTAAGAGAAATTTCACGGCTCTGGAAGGATGTTTTTTAGAAGAATCCAGAACGTAATTCTTCTGCAGTAGATACTGCAATTTACTCATTCGGTTTGTACAGGAGGACAATGCAGTAACGGCCGATTCCGGTATAGGGTGCTCGGTATTCAAGAATATCGAGTTTGTCTCCTGTAGCAGAGCTGAAAGGATTGGCAGATCTTCTTTGACAAAAGCATTTACCTTTTGGGCTTTGTCGATTGAGGATAAATTGCTGGGACCTGAGATCTTTGTTATATCGATGAGACCGATGAGACCAAAGATAGATGCTGTAAATGTAAAAGGATCCATGTTTCATGCTCAAGTGAGCCGCCTTCAAAATTTGTTGATGATGGAATATGGCTTTCAGATGGCAACCGCAAGGTGTTCTTACTCGTGGGATCGGTGGATTAAGCTTGACGATCAATGTTCTGAATATCAAAGGTAGAGAGAAAGTATAATCTTCGAGTCTTGCGCTGGCCCAAGGACTGAAAATTGCTCGCGCAGGCTTGGAGTCCTTATATCCTGATTCCAAACCCAACGCAGCAGTAGTGAAACACGAAATGGTCAAGCCTCAGCCACCGTAGACCCCACGATAAGTGAGACCTCTTCACCATCTGATTGGCTACTTCTATTTATAACGCAAGTCAGTGGCATCGGCGCGTCTCGCACATCGCTCTTAAAAAAAATTGTGGCTGAATGTATAGGATCAGGTCTTTTATTAACTCAATATTTAGCTGCAAGTCTACAGCCTTATTAATTCCGGACCCCATGTTCAGAACCTGGAGCTATAAATATGTATTAGAAGCATCCTCACATGCTGGTTATGCAAACAACAATAATATACAGCGTTACGAAAGTCAAACCTGTAATAATAAATTTCTTGCAGTATCTAGTCGTGACTATTTTGGCAAATCATAACTGATGGCGTCACGTCCCCAATTATCAATTTTTCCTGTGGGAGCACCACAGTCCCATGAGATTCCACCCCTGGAGGGAGCGGATTATCCCAAACTTGCTCAATTGATGTATAGAGTCCCCGAGCTTTCTATATTTCGGACATTCCGCGAAGTAACTTTATTGAATCTGTTGAGTCTCCAAGCAGAGCTTTCAGAGATTGTCGAAGAATATGACGCTTCGTACAATGCAGATTCAATAGGAAACGAGGAGGAACCTACAACGTACGAACGTCAAGTTCTAAGCAAAAGCTTCCGCAAGCTTCGTGAGAGTGATCGTACTCAAAGCACCCAATATGAAGCTCTAAAGAACATTGGTTTTAAACTCAATGAGTATCGTGAGTATATCAAACATTCGCTAGTAATATCAATTGTTAATTTGTAGATACTGCCCTTCTGCAGGCATCTGAAGTTTCCAAACTGGCAAAGCCCGAGAAAGTTGATCTGAAACATCTTCGAGGTTGGCTGTCTCATCCAACTGTGGGTGGAAACTTCATTCCCAAGTCGGAAGATGCGTGGAAGGAAATCTATGACGACGATCAGGTAACGCTCGTTGCAAAAGAAGGTGGTCTGATGCAGAGATCATCGACCTGGCTTATGCTTATCTACGACTGGGCCTATGGCCGCCGCTTTGGAGTATGCCCTCATAACATAAGGTTTACAAATAAAAAAGAGCTGACATATCAGAAACCTGAGGTCATCGATGCAAAAACTGGCTCACGATACTATCCAGATTCCTCAACCAAGAAGATCGCAAAGGTTACAACTTCCGTGCTAGCTTCTCTAATACCCGATATCGTCATTCTCGGATTATATTATATTGATACGACAGTAAAGCGAATTGGTACTATGCTTGCATGCACAGCAATCTTTGCTTTTGTTTTATCATTCTGGACGCAGGCGGACGTAATTGATGTCTTTGCTGCTACTGCCGCGTAAGCGATCTCAAGCTTCCCGAAGTCTTGAAACTTTGCTGACAATCTAGTTTTGCCGCTGTCGAGGTTGTTTTCATAGGAAGTGCTATTACAAATAGCACTAGAGCATGAGGATGAGAGGCTTTCATGGACAGCTTGGGAACATTTGATATTCCTTCAAGCACTCAAAGTTACATATGATTGGCTACATTTTGAATATATTTTTCGATACACTTGCAAGCCGCCATTTTGCTTGGTGTATACGTGATCGGAATTAGCTGGAAATTTTATCAATAGTCGTTACGATTGTATGAAAGCGCAAGATAAGACAATGCAGCTTTGGTCCAAATCACTTGCAGGAAAGCATTTGGGTTTCAGCAGCCTTTACGTCAAAATAATAATCATTTCGTAGTCATCATAAGTCAAAATATTCCAAACATCTGTCTCCTTCACTTGCCTTTGATTCGCCTTGTTCAAACGAGGCACATCAGTTAATTAAACGTGGCATGAGTAAGTCACGACTTGGCCTGCATCGCTGCAGCAGAGAGATTATCTCCTCCCAGTCAAAGTCAGTAAAGAGAAATGCCGGTATACTCCAAATACTCGCAAGCGTCTTCGTATGGGATTTGATCATTCAAATCTGGGTGTCCATGGAACCTAATAGTCTCGCCCGGCCCACATTATTACCGACTAGTCGCTACATAGCGCACTATAACAGCTGCTTAATTAGGTCACTAAGGATATTCTTCAAAACATATATAGAGTTTTTATATATAGTATCCGGAATCCTAAAACGGTGAAGTGAGGAGGAATAGATTAATGAGAAGCCCGAGGAAGAAGTTGAGGACGGAAAAGTCTAATGAGAGTGCTACGGGGTTGGAGGGGGTGCTTGTGAAGGGGTATTTTTAGATTGAGCGGTAGGGTGGGGAGTAAGGATGTAGGTTTAGAAGATGGGAGAATAGAGGCTAGGCTGTGGGGATGGGGGAGGAGTGCGAAGAGTTGGGATAGGAAAGATGGGTCTAAGAGACATTCATGATGTGATGAGGGGCTCGGTGTTGAGAGTGTGATTGTGATCTAGTGGCATTTGCAATTAGTTCAGGAAAAAAGAGGTTCTAGATTCTTTCATGGGTAATGAGACTAGGGATAATCCCAATTTAATGTGCAAACATCTAAAAAAGTTCCGCTATGCCTCAAGCCATATCAGCAGCTCTCTCACGCAATTCCCAATCCGCATTTTCCAAACTTTCGTTGCTCGTTACAGGGGTGGTTTCTTTGAGGCGTCTCCATGGGTGCCACTTGTCATCCGTAGCCGTAGCAGGTAGGCCAATGCTATGTGCAGATGAGTCGCCTGTTTTCTTCTTATTTCTAGAGTTGGATAGAAGACGAGACTGAAGGGACCGAAACAGACTTGCGGGACCGTACTTGGCTCGGAGGAGCGGTCCCAATGTTAGAAGGCAGGTAACTATTATGAACACAGGAAGCTCGATAAGTGCCATGAGAATATTGTATATAAAGGGGACTGTAGACAGTAAGCATTTTCGCTTCTTAGAGCTTTTGGGGGGAGTTTGAACCGAACCTTCAAAGAAGCTATTTCCTGTTTCAGGTTTTTTACTATACTGGATCGAAAAGACCATGCGGAGGATTGTCACAATGATGGTACTGTAGATACATTTTAACCTTTATCCAAGCTTTGAGGTGCAATCACGCCCGTCATCAATACTTACATGCTCCCGAGACTAAATATGACTGCCAAAATCAATTTACGCCCAGAGTTCATTTGCAGATTTCGAATCGTAAGTATTGGCAAACTCAGCGTCAGTATGTCGAGTATGGCATTGCCAGCCGTGAAAGCTATCAGGAGAGCCGAAACGTTGAGATCGTAGGGAACTGTGGGATCCCATTGATCGTGCACTTTCTTTTTGTCAAAGATGTTAAGCTAAGATAGAGATCAGTCCCGCGCGTGCTTAGGAAACAACCTCTGCGTACCAAAATAATTGCCAGGTTAAAGACAAACGCAACGCCAATGAGTATGTTTGCCGCGAGAATGAAATTGCGAGAGATAAAAATCCGACTGTAGTACAATAGCAGCGAGATTTTTACAAAACCCATGCCCGCGATCTGACCGTTTTCCATAAATAAATTCGCCTAGTGTTGCCATCAAAGTTAACATTCGTTCTCCTGGAGTACAGGAATAAAAGATAAAAATATGGTGGGCCTACTTTGAGGGCAAAGACTGCATCTTTGAGACTTGGCTGGTACGACGGATCTCCAACGCCAGTAGTGCAGGTAACAATATCAACCATGACAGCTACTGCTGTTGACAAGAGCTACGAAAGTCTTCTGTTGGCATCTGAAGCGCTAAAGTCTTGGGAATTATTAATGACATACCAAGGCTACAAGAACACAGTAGTCATCTGCGCCGAGTCGAGCCTTCTGAAAATATCGACAGTAAAGCCGTAGTCCGACGGCGACAAAGGCCAGCAGCCCGAGAATCACGGTCACGGACACAACAACTGTTGCAGCCTGGCTGAGCATTTTTGTTATCTGGGGCAAGTCACCCGTATGTCAGTGATGTTAATAATTGCGGATAAATGACGACGATTATCAATGAAAGCTGGGAGACATGGGCGTTTTGAATGGAGATAGGAGGAGGGGCAACGAAACGATGCATGCTGAGCCTCTCACTATATGCTCCTTCCTCACTTGAATGCAGCCTATAATGAGCCTTGGTTAGGATGCATACGGTATAGCCAGGTAGCAATTTCGAAAATGCAACCCTAAATTACCTTCCTTCCTATGAGGTTTAGAGATGAAAAGGCATTGATAAGTTTCTAATTATAACATAAACAGCAATTACTAGTTACGGTATCGCAATTCATCTGTCGTAAGCCCCTTGAATGGGATGCATACTCCGTAAAGTCTCGGAGAACAAAAGTATTTCCGTAGTCGTTTCTGTAGCTGTGCGTCGAAAGGATGGGATATTCCCAGCATGCAGACATTGAGGATGTGAGAAAGGTAATATCATTGGTGCTCTTTCACCGAGGGGGGTATCACAGGTCCCCTTTAAGGCGGGCATGTCATGCATATCAGCCCCTTTTGATCTAGCTACAGATATATCGATATAAGACGCCGCAGTCCCGCAGTCCCGCAGCCCATTTTGATCCAGCTACAGATAAGTCGATATAAGACGCCGCAGTCCCGCAGCACTTCGTTTCCGGAGTGTTTATGACCCGAATGGTGTGGCTGAATGCCTCGCGGTTGCAGGGATCTGAACTTTTCAACTCTGCATTATAGGAACAACCACCAGGAAAGTTATATTCGCCTATTTATAGAGAGCGTTCCTATATTTTAATTGTGTTTTTCTAATATATTTAGTAAGAATTATGCTATGTTAAAATTGGGTGTTCTGGGATCTGGGGTATACCCTTGTCGGGACTAATAATACTTAACCGCTCCGCTGTACCTTGATCTAGTTTTACACAAGGGCCGGGCGGGGCTGCGGGGTTTCTAAGCGGGAAAGACACTAAAAAGTATCAACTTTTAGAGCTTATAACTATAGAGTATAAGTTATATAAAACTATAATTCTAGATTTAAAATCTTATTAAATAAGTTCTTGTTAGATTATATTATTATATAACTTAACTTCTATAGTTATAAGCTCTAGAAGTTAATATTCTTTACCTTCTTGGAATTATCCCCTTTAATGCAGCTTTATTATAAGAAGAGAAGTTGCTAGTGTCGGGACAATTGGGATATAGTTATTTGATTATCAGTAGATGATTAAGCATAGAGGCTTATCCTTTATGCTTCTGCAATGGTAATAAACCTAGCTAATTATCTATATTATAACCAATACACAACCCCCAAATACACGGTACTACTGCAGTAGGAAGTGATCACCTTTTGATACCAATAATATCAAACGGATAGCTCGGAGCTGTTTTTCCGAGTAGGACACAAGCATTATATTGCCAAAAACATGCCTAACTAGGGGTTTCAGGTCCTCCGATCACACCATAAGATGAATTAAGGCTGCACCATCCGTCCGAGAAAAAGCACAACCCTGCCTGCAGATAACCGCTTTAGGCTTCGTTCTCGTAAGTCCCGAATCG